CTGACTCGTACGGCTCGGGCAACAAGAGCTCGTCGTACGGCCAGGACTCGACGTCTGACTCGTACGGCTCGGGCAACAAGAGCTCGTCGTACGGCTCGGGCAACAAGAGCTCGTCGTACGGCCAGGACAGCGACTCGAACACGTTCCAGGGCAAGTCGGGCGGCGACAGCTACGGCGGCAACTCGTCGGGCGGCCGTGACGACAACTTCGGCAGCAGCGGCCGCGACGACAACGACTCGTCGTCGTACGGCAACAAGCAGAGCGGCGGCGACTCGTACGGCTCGAGTGGCCGTGACAACGACTCGTCGTCGTACGGCAACAAGCAGAGCGGCGGCGACTCGTACGGCTCGAGTGGCCGCGACAACGACTCGTCGTCGTACGGCAACAAGCAGAGCGGCGGCGACTCGTACGGCTCGTCGAACCAGAGCAGCGGACGTGACAACGACTCGTCGAGCTACGGCGTGAGTGTGATGCTGCGTGTGCTGCCTGCATCCTTGCTCACATGTGGCGCGCGCAGAACCAGAGCGGTGGTGGCTCGTACGGCTCCAGCGGACGCCAGCAGGGAGGCAACGAGTACGGATCGAGCGGCAACACCGACGTGAGTCGAGCGTATGGTGCATCGTCTCTCTGCTGCTTGCTCACACCCGCCTCAGTCTTACGGCTCGAACAACCAGTCCAGCGATGACTACTAGGCGCCTCGCTGTCGAGGCGGACAAGATTCTCGATATGACCAGACCGCGCATCCCCTATGACCTGAATGTGACAATTTGACGCTACTCGCCGATGCGCGTGATGCTCGCTCTCCGGCCCGCTGCCGCCTGCTCTGCGCCCTCCTTCCGAGCCACGTCGTGCAGCACGGACGTAGCTGTCCCATCATCATGCCCTGCATCCGAGCCGCGCTCGCTCTCGGCGTCGTGCTCGTCGGCAGGCTGCATGCCTGTCTGCAGCTCCAGCAGGCCTTGCGGTACGATTGATGAGACGACGGACCCGAGCTGAGAGAGAGCGTCAAGGTGGAGGCCATGCTGAGCACGTCGAGAGGAGCCCTCACATATGCTGCTCGGTTCATCCACGCCGGCAGCTGCGCGCCGACGAGGCGGCTGACGAGCTGCGCAGAGAAGTGGTTGCAATTGTGCGCGAGGAGGTCGTAGCTCAGGCCATGCCACGCCTCGTCGCCCTTCATCTGGCGAGCGCAGGAGCGTGAACACTGCGCTCCCTCGAGCACACGCCGGCGCACTAGACAGCTGCTCACCTCGAGGATGGTGCGCATCGCAAAGGCCACCGCCTTGGCTCGCCGTCCCGTCTGCCGTGGTGCTCGCGACGACGAGCTCTCACCCACTGACGCCTCGAGGAACGCTGCTCGGCCCGTCTGCGGCGCGGCCCAGCGGCCGGTGGATCCCTCTGCCTCGCCCGTGGCCGGCGGCTCGGCCGCGTAGCCCAGGAACCAGGAGCCGACGTAGCGGGCGTCGGGCAGCGGACTGGGGCCTGGCGGCGGCACGCTGCGCGGCCCGAGGCGCGAGAGACCGTCGGCTGGGCGCCCCTGCGGCAGGTCGCGCGGCAGGGCAAAGATGCCCGTCGTGCCGCTGTGCCGACGATGAGCGAGCTGCCTGAGATAGCATGGCACTGCCGGTGCTGCCCGCCCACTCACGGCACGTCATGCCCGCCAAAGGCCCACTCGGTTGCCGTGTCGGGCAGCCAGACGTTGGTGTGCAGCACGCCGACGCCGGCGGCCCACGCCAGCGCCTCCCAGCGCGACGGCGGCAGCAGGCTCCACACGGTGACGAAGCACGGCGTGCCGTGTGCCGAGGCGTCTGCGAACTGCGGCGGGCTGCTGCGTGACGCCGCAGCCGGCAGCGGCGCGGCAGACGCCGCCATGGAAGCGAGGCGCACGATGAGGAGGCGAGAGAGAGAGGGAGCGAGGAGTGTGGAGGCGCATGGCAAAGAAGGACCGGCGCGCAGCGGGCCTCGTGCGTGATGCGCGTCGAGGCGCGGAGGACGCCGACGACGCACCGACGCGACAGCGACGCCGTCCGCCACGTGGGTCGGCGTCTCGCTGCCAGGACGCCGCGGCCGCCGATGCTGCAGCCGGCTGTGGCGGCAGCTGAGTCGCACGGTGAGCGCCATTGGATCGGCTGCTGGCTGCTCGATTCGATTCAAGACAGGTTCGGTGCAGAGTTGGCCCAGCGGGAGGCGCGTGGATAGACCCGCTGCGAGCGCGCGAGGCGCCTGCGACGGGGCGCGGCGCTCGGCACAACCGCGCAGGGGTGCGCCGCCGCTGCAGCTGTCATCCGTCGGAAGGGCGGAGTCGGAGACGCCCGCGAGGGTGCGCCAGCTCCAGCCACGCTAATCGAGCAAAGCTGGGGCCCGTCAAGCGGCGGCACAAGCCGCAGGAGGCGGGACGAGGTGCAGCCGGGAACGGTACAGCCGGCCGGCGTGCGTCGCATGTGATGGCGGGCATGCGTGCCTCGTCGGAATGCAATGGTGCTCCGCCAGGGTGCAGTCAGCGCCACAGCCGAGCAGGCCCCTCGAGCGCGCCACCGTCCTCCGAACAGCTGCCGTATGTACCCCCACGGAGCGTCCCCTTGCTGCCTCGCAGGGCGGTACTTGTCATGCGGCACGCACCCGAGGACACTGCCGCTTTCCGAACGGCCTCTCCTGCGCGTGGGACGTGCCAAAGCCCGGAGGCCCCGACCGTGCAGCGGTGCGTCCACCACATGGGCCTGCTTGATGCTGCCGTCTGCGGCGGCTGGCGAGAGCGCGCTCCGTGCGCAGCGCACAGCTGAAAGCTCGCAGCGCAGAAGGGTCTGGCGCAGGCGGCAGCACCATGATCCGTAACACGCTTGTCCCTGGGGCCAGCCCGCAGAGGTGGACCCCGTCCAAGAGGCCGGCGCGGTGCAGAGACGCACCCCTGGCGGGCACGCGCTTCCGTCGGGATGGGCGCTCGCAGCGTGGGTTCGGCGCGGACGGCGAGCAGGGCGCGCTAGGCGCGGGCATCGTGCCGGGCGCATGAATGCCCACGCTCGACGACGGCCGAGGGCAAAGATGGGCGCTCAACGGCTCTCATCGCACAAGGGCCCGTGTGGTGCCTGGCGCCGTGCCCGAGCGGCCTGCGATGGCGGCACAGCTTGCTGCTTCCGCCGTCGTTCCGCAGCAGCATGCGTCGCTTGTGCATGCGGCATCGGCAGCGGCTGCGGTTGCGGCCCGGAGCGGTGGGGCCGGCTGCTCTGCTCGCCGCGGCTACTTTGCGCGGTGTCTGCTCGTCGTTCTCCGCATGCCTTTGCGCGGTGTCTGCTCGTCATTCTCCGCAGCGCGCTGAGGCAGCTGCCGCTGTGGTGCGCTGGCGCTTGATGCTGAACCCCTGCGGGTGCAACTCTGTCGCCCGATGCAGCCTGCCGTCCTGCTGCCGCGAAGGCCCGTCGGAGCCGTCGGCAGGGCGGGCGAGCGCAGGTGATGGGCCGCACCCAGCGCACTCGCCGGCCGCCGCCGTCGCGAGCCATCGTCTCCCTCTCACGTTCCGTTTGGCCAGATCAGATCCCGCGGTCTTGAGTTCCTTGTCGGAATGCATGCATGCCGGACCTGCGCTGCATGCGATGGCTGCACCGCTCTGCTCCACCCCGCCCGTGCCGCTGCAGTGAGGCGCGCCATGCCTGCGCACCACAGCACAGCAGCACGCCACGCCGCGCCACGCCGCCACGAGGCAGACGGCTTGTCGTCCGTCGAGTTCCGCAAAGCCGCAGCGGTGCGCCCGACGACGCATGAGGGGATGAGATGCGGGAGGCACGCCGCCTCATGACCCGCGGCACGGCGTGTCATTACGCTGCGCTTGCTAGCTCGCCCTGCGCCTGCCGGCGGGTGCAGAAGGGACGAGAATAGGCGCATCGGCTCCGCGCCGCCGCCGCTGCACCAGCAACACGCATGAGGGCGAGGCCCTCTTGGCTCGCGCTAGGGCGGAGTATGGGCAGCGCATCGGGAGTGGTGCGCTTGCGCGGCGCAGTCTGTGCTCTGCCGCTCTCGCTCAGGTGCAGGCCGCGGCTGCGACGCGTGCATGTCGCCAGCAATTCCGCGCTCGTCCGCCCGCGCGCTCGCTCGCTGGCACGCTGCATCGCAAATTCAGAACATCTCGGATGGTGGTGCAGCCAGCGGGCTGGAGGCGAATCGTCCAGGCGACCCCGCGCAGCACCGCTCGTGGCGCGGCCCCTCGCGAGTCCGTGACGCGGCCCGGAAGAACGGCACGCGGAGGGTGCGCGGTCGTGAGGGCGGCGCTGCCGGGGTGTTTGCGACTCGCCGCTTCCACGCATCGCTGCCTGTCTCCGGCGGGCGCCGAGGAGCGGCCGGCAAGGAGGCAGGATGGAGCGCAGACGGGTCGCCGGCGCTGCGGGCTCTTCGGATCGCATCGCTGCGGCAGCGCCCAGAGGCAGAGAGCATCGAGCGCGCTGGTGCTGCTCGAGCGTCTGCGTTGCCGTGTCACGCGCGGCGCGCGCGGTGCCCGATCTGCCGCCGCGACGACGTGCGCTAAGCGTTGGCGCCGCACAGCCAGCCAGCACAGCACTCTGCTGCCTTGACGCTTCTTCAGCGCCGCTCCGCGCGGGCCAAGTCGCAACTTCCGCCTCCTCCTGGGTTCAGCCGAAGCGAGGTGCTGTACCCGACTTGCAGCGCTGGAGCTGCGCTGCGCATGCACGCTGCTGCAGGTCGATCAAATCGCAGCGGCACGGGCGGCGGGCCCGCGTCCGCGCACGCGTCGCAGCGCTGCGGTGCGTGGCTAAGTCCGGCACCGGCTCGCGCGCTCCGCTCCGCCCGTGTGCGCCACACGCCCCGGGTGCAACGCATGCCGCACCGCACCGCAGCGCCAGCGTGCCCTCCTTTTCCGTAGCAAAGCGCAGGGCACCGCCGCCGCGCGGCTCCTGTCTCGTCTCGGCGTCTGCGCAGCGAGTGGGGTCGCACCGCGGTGCACGTCGTCACGCAGCAGCAGCAGCCGAACACGTCGCCGGAGCCTTGGCTGGCTGCTGCCGGATGTCCCATCTTCCGCGTCCGACGCTCCTCGCGTCAGCACCCAGCAGCAGCGAAGCACGCTCGCTCGCGCTTCTCCGCGGCTGTGCTGCGGCCCCGACATCTGCTGCAGGTGCCGCCGCTTGCTTGCCGTGGCAACGAGGTGATTCACCAGCACCTGCGCTGCTGCAGCTGCCTGCACCTCTGCCACCCCCCGCTGCTGCCGCTGCTGAGCTTATCCGGGCGGCCGTACAGGCGGCCAGATCTGCCGTGACGTGCGCTGGGCTGCGCTCTGTTGCGCGCCCGGCCCTGCTGCGGCTCGTCTTGCTGCGTCCTGCTCGCGGTGCCGAGCCGCTGCCTCCTTCTTGCCGCTCTCCCTCCTGCCTCTGACTGCACTGCCCGCCTGCCGCCCGTACCTTGCTCTCGCGCCGCCCTGTCTCCGTCGTGGAAGCCGCCGTCGTGCTGCACGCCGCCTCGGGCCCTTTTGCCTCTTCCTCCCGCTCGCGTAAGCGTACAAGTGGGCAACGTCGCGCCGACAACATCAAAAGGCATCCCCCGTGCCAAGCCTTCACCCGTCGCCGAGACGGGCCTCCTTCTGCATCTGTACCTCTCGCTCCGCCTGCCGCCCTCGCTTTCTCGGGTCAGCCGACGCCCACGCTCCGCCGCCTGCTAGCCCGTGTTTCGCTCTGCCTCTCGCTCTCTCCCCGTGCACACTCCCTCGTGTGCCCGATTCTTCGCTGTCACCTGCTGTACCTTGCGTCGTGCCTCTCGGGCCTGGGCTCTCGTCACGCTACTCCTGCTGCTCTGCGCTCCTTCACCTTGCTGTCCACGGGCCCCGCACCGCTCCGCCCTTGCTCGACAACACCTCCGGCCTGATCTGCGCGCATCTCGCTCCTCGGCCTGCGACTGCCACCGCTCTCTCCACGACGTCCACACCCTCGAGCTGCTGACACCATCGCATGACCTCAATCCGAGTCGTCATCTTCGTCAGCCGCCAACAACGCTGGCTTCGGCCAGCCTCGAGTGGCTCTCAGCCATCCTCTCAAAAAGCTCCTGCCCGCGCCGTCTCTTCGCTCGAGCCTCGCCGCGTGCTCCTCTCGAGCTTACTCTCTCCCTCGCAACATGGCGGAGCACTCTCGGTGGTATGAACGCGATGCCAGCGACGACGCTGCCACGCATCGCGGTGCTGGCAGTGTCCGTCGCCCGGACGGCTACGCACCTAAGCGCCACACACCTCGAGAGTACTTCGACGACCGCGACTCTCGCTACCCATCACCGCCTTCGTCGCCCTCCTCATCGTCGAGAGGCGGTGCCATGTCGCTCTCCAGCATGATGGACTCCGAGCCTCCGGCTCGCCGTGCGCCTGCCATGCCGTCCGGCCGCGTCGTCGCTCGCGACGAGCCGGCTCCTGCGTACGGGCCGTCATCGAGCAGCCGTCCTGGCGGCATGCCGCGCCACGCACAGTCACGGTCGCGCTCGCCGGACCTTGCGCCTACCAGAGAGGCCTCTCGGCCAGCTCCGGCTCCGGCTCCAGCGCCCGTGCGCTTCCCCATGAAGAGTGCGCCGCCTGCGCAGGTCAAGCGCGCGCTCTCCTCGAAGACGTCGCTCGTCAACCCGCTGCTGTCGCCTCCGGCAGGCGTCGTGCCCAGCTCGCGCTCCAGCTGGTTCACGTGCCCAAGCATCCGGCACAACCTGCGCGAGCACGGCGGCGCCGACGCCCGGCGCGAGCCACGCCTCTGCCTCGTCGTCGTGCAGCAGCCGACGGACGCGCTCGGCGTCGGCGACGGGCCTGCCGTGTTCAAGCAGGCACGCAATGTGCCGCTCGACCCGCCGCCGATCTGCCAGCTCGTCATGGAGCACCCCGACGACTGCTCGTACCTGCAGCTGCCCGAGGTCAGCCTGCGTGCACATCTCGTCGAGGCAGATGCACCGTGCACGCCAGTGGAGCCGCGCATCAACAACGAGGCGCCGCTCATCAATGGCATCCACGAGAGCGCCTTTGTTGCGCCCGTCACCACGACGGCTGTGCAGAGTCTCTTCATCTTCACTGAGATCGGCGTGCGCTGCGCCGGCAAGTACCGGCTGCGCTTCGACCTCGTCGACCGTGTCGGCCTGAGCTTCAAGCGTCTAGCCTCTGTCTACACCGACGTCTTTCAGGTGCACGGCGATCGGCGAGACTTTCCCGGCCTGCAGCGCTCGACGGACCTGATGCGTGCCGTCGCGCGTCGTGGCCTCAAGGTCCGGATCATCGACGCACAGCCTTCGTGAGTCTTGCGGGCCCGCCTTGTTGGCCTGCGCTGATCCAGTTTCTTTCTTTCTTTCAGCAAAGGCGCGAAGCGTCGCAGGATGGATGCCCCTCAAGAGATGGCCAGGGTCGTCGAGGACCGCACCATCGACGAGCGCAGCGCCGGGACCCAAGCATATTCGTATGCGTCGCGCGGCCAGCCTCATCCGCCGCCACTGCCGCCGCTCTGGCGCACCTCGGAGCCGTACATGCCGCCGCCTCCGCACACGAGCTCGTCGTGGCGCTCGATGCAAGCAACGGATGCTCGCACGCAGCAACCCGGAAGCAGCCTGCGCGACGCGCCGGAGGCCGTGATGAGTCCTCACGCCGGCAGCACATGGTCCGGCCCGTCCTACGCGCCCTCGACGTTCATGTCGTCTGAGCACTCGGCGCGGAGCTCGTCGAGTGCCTCAAGCATGAGCCCCCAAGAGCCGCCGTACCGCTCGCTCTACTCGTCAGTCGCACACATGTCGCCGCCGCGCCGCGAGGCCTTGCCTTACAATGCGCCTCGTCCGCCGTCCAGCAGCAGCCGAGGCAGCGTCCGCGGCGCCGAGGACAGCGACCTGCAGGCGCCGCCGCCCGGCTCCATCTTTGCCCACTCGTCGCGGCCGATCCGACCAATATACCCCTCGCACGCCTTGCCTGCACCGAGGTAAGTGTCTGCATCCGCGCCACGCCCCTCGACCCAGCCCTCGTGCAAAGTCCGGGCCTGACGCCCTCTCAGCGCACCCCTCAGTCCCGAGTTCTCACGCTTCACCACCGCCGCTGCAGACGAGGCCCCGCGCCACTTGCCAGTCCTGAGCTCCCTTCGCGACGATACGATCGCCTCGAGTGAGGAGCATCGCGGCCCGCAGCGCCTGCCGGCGCCAGGGCACACCCGTCCATCATACCACCTCAGCGACCGTCCGTCCTTTCTCTCGCGGCCCTTCCGCCCCTCCCACATCCTCTAGCCTGAGGTTTCTCTCTCTCCAGGGGCCCCTCATCAGCTAGACGTGTAACCGCCGCATATCCTCATCATCGTCTCGCGCCTCACACATGTACTTCTATTAGCATGGGTAACATTCACTTGTCATGTGCGCAGCGAGAAAGGGCCAGCAGCGAAGCGTCTACTTGAACACGATGACGTTGCGGAAGCGCGGCTTGCCGCCCATGACGTCGTCGTAGGCCTCCTGCGCCTTGTCGAGCGGGTACTCCTGTAGGCGACGTGGTCAGTCGCCTGGCACACAGCATGAGACGCAGCAGCACGCACCGTGACCATGCTCTTCACGCCGTGCTGCACCGAGAAGCGGATGCTCGCCTCGTTCTCGGCCGCGTAGCCGCACGTCATGCCGCGCACGCCGCCGATGGAGCTGATCAGGTCCATCGGGTTCACCTCGATCGGCTTGCCGTCCGTGGGCACGCCGACGACGACGACCATGCCGCGCCGGCCGAGCAGCGGCACAAGCGACGAGATGGCCTCGGCCGACGGTGCCGTGGCGATGGCAGCGGCGGCGCCGCCAAGCTTCTCCTTGATCTCCTTTTTGAGCTGAGAGGAGCGATGGGTCAGCGTGGCGTCGACGAGGCAGCTTCCGGCACACTCACGTCGTCCTTGGCGCTGAAGTACACGTGCGCGCCGAGCTTCTTGGCCAGCTCCTCCTTGTCCGGCGAGCCCGACACGGCGACGACGTAGAAGCCGAGCTTGCGCGCGTACTGGATGGCGAGGTGGCCGAGGCCTCCGAGGCCCGACACGATGACGACGTCGCCGCCCTTGGCGCCCGAGCACTGCAGCGCCTCCCAGACGGTGTTGCCGGCGCCTGTAGGGTGGAGTCAGCGGAGAGCATGGCAGGCACCATGCGCCAGACGTACACAGCAGCGGCGCCATCTCGGCGTGGCTCATGCCGGCATCCTCGGGCAGGCGCACGAGGGCCGACTGGTCGGCGACGACGAACTCGGCGTGGCCGCCGTTCTGCGTGATGCCGGTGACGCGGCCGCCGGCGCAGGCGGTGAAGTCGCCCTTGCGGCAGTTGGCGCAGGTGCCGCAGTAGCCGCCGTTCCAGCCGAGGCCGACGAGCGTGTTCTCGGCCCACTCCTTGGCCACGCCCGCGCCGGCGGCGACAATGTGGCCGACGACCTCGTGGCCGGGGACGATCTTGCCCTCGGCGCCCGGGCCCATGATGCCGGCGGCGGCAAAGTGGTCCGAGTAGCAGACGCCGCTGGCGGAGACCTTGATGAGCACCTCGGAGACGCCGGGCGTGGGCGTGTCGACGGTGTTGACCTGCAGCTTGTCCTTGCCGACGACCTGGGCGGCGCGGTGCTGCTTCGGGACGGCCATGGTAGCTAGTGTGAGGGTGTGTGTGTGGTGGTGGGGTGAGAGAGGCACGGGTGTGTTGGTGGAAGGGTGCGTTCGCCGTCGTGCGGCAGCGGCCTGTCTTATACCTCCACCCGCACCTGCCTCTCTGCGTTCTTCCCGCAGGCGAGGCAAACGAAAGCAAGACGCCGCGGGTCGAGTGCACTTCACGGCCGCATCCGCATCATCAAGCCGCACGCTCCTTCTGCGGCAGGGTGCGGCGGCGCGTGCGCATCATGGCCGATGTCGTGTGCCGCGATCTTAGCCGAGCCGGCGGCAGCACGGCAGTCACGCTGAGCGTCTGATGGCCGAGTCTGAGCCGAGTGGAGCGTCAGCGGACGCAGCCACAGCGGCGGAGTCCGCTGCCTCGCTGCAACAGCGCGCAGGAGCCGCGGCGCAGCCATGAGCCATGTGGAGGTGCGCCTCGCGCCGAGTCGCACGCGTCCAGCAGACTGCAGCACAGGCGGCTCGGCCTTCGTCCGGCCCTGCTCCGTCGAACAGGAACGTGCCTGAGGCCGCGCTGGTGGACACGCAACAGAGCAGCTGGCAGAGTGTCTCGTCTCAGTCGTCAATGCAACGTCGTAAAGTGGGTATAGCGTACAGATGCTGCGGCGTCGCGCGGAAAGGGATGCTGGGCGTGGAGTCGTGGCTAGCTGCCGTTGAGCACGGCGTGTGCCATCGGCGTGGGCGTCGTGGCCGCCAACGTCGCAGCCGCAGAGGCGTGCGCCGAGCTGCCGTGGCGCGGCGGGGCGAGCCAGCCCTCGGCCTCGATGAGGTCGAACACCTTGCCGACCTTGTTGACGTCCATCTTGAAGAGCGTGCGGCTCTCGCGGCGCGAGAGGCGCCCGCGCCGCACGTACTCGGCAATGATCTCCTTCTTCATCACGAGATACGCCGACGGCAGGATGCGCTGCGTCGAGCACAGCGACGCCTCGCTCGCGGTAAGCAGGTGCAGCGACGGGTGCTCGGAGAGGTCGAGCGGTTTTGCTGAGACGGGGGGTCAGCAGATGGTCTGCAGAGAACAGGCATCCTCTCGCTCGGCATGGCGACTCACGTGGCTTGCGCGGGACCTTGGCCTCGGCCGCCGCCTTGGACGTCGGCGTCGCAGTAGCCTCGTCGAGTGCGACCGAGCTGGCTGCGCGTGCACGAGCGAGAGCCGCCGCAGTCGCCGCCGTGGTGTCCGCTCGGCCACGCGGCGTGCCCGCTGCTCCGCTGGCCGGAAAGGCAGCCAGGCCGCCCTCTGCAATCTGCGCAGCGCGCTTGGCGCGCTCGGCCGTCTCGGCGTCGAAGCGTGCGGCATCGGCAAACGTCGTGATGCCGGCGGCGCGATAGCGCTGCAGCTGCGTGACGGCGCGCCGCAGTGCCTCCTCGTGGCAGAGGCCGTTGAGGAACATCTCAAAGTCGAGCGCCGTCTGCATCTGCGCAAAGTGCCGCACGCGCGAGAGCAGCTCACGCTCTTCCTTGGCGCGCTTGCGCTCGGCCGTCTGGTTCTATGAGGAGAGTAGCGGCGTCAGCCGATGGCCTGCCACACTTGTGAGGAGGCCACTCACCCTCTTGTAGTCGATCAAGTTGCGCTCGAAGATGAACTCCTTGCGCCGCGCTCGCCGGTCGAGGCGCTCGTTGTACATTTGCAGCACCGTGAGCTTGAGGTCGAGATCCGCCTCATCCTCGTCCCAGTCTGCCGCGCGGTCGGCGCCGCTTGCGTCGCCCTCAGCCGGAGCAGCAGCACTACCGGAGCCCGCTGCATCTGCCGAGGCGGCCTCTGCGCCCGGCGCCGGCGTGCCGGTCTGGTCCTGGGTCTGCGACTGCGACTGCTTGTCGGTCGCAGCGGACGTGCCGGCGATGGCCGAGGCGGGCGCCGGTGTGCCTGCGGCGCTCTCCGCGTCGTCGTGGCCGTCGGCCATGCTGACGTCGGCGTCCTCGTCGGCGTCCGGATCTGGCTCCTCCGGCTCCGGCTCATCCTCATCATGGTCCTTCTCCTCGTCATCGTCCTTCTCCTTGGCGCCGTCCTCGCCGTCCTCATCATCCTCGTCGCCCTGCTTGCCGTCCTTCTTCAGGCCCTTGCTGCTCTGCTCGCGCTTCGAGGCCATCGCGCCGCCGCCCATGCGCGCTGAGCTGGGGCCGTCTCGCCGCCGGCCAGCCGTGGCAGTCGTGCCGAGCGCCTCGAGCTCGCCGGGCAGGTCGCCGCCGAACTTGTACACCTTGCCAAACTCCATGTCCTTGGTCAGGTTCTCGGCCTCCTGCTCGTACTCCGTCTCGAACTCGAGACGGCCGGGCATGAAGCCGGCCAGCTCGGAGTGCGACGTCGGTGCGGACACGAGCGGCTTCGGCGGCGGTGGAGGCTTGCCGCCGGACTGCGAGCTGGACGCGAGGTTCTGCATGCGCTGGAGACGGGCAGACGGTCAGCACAACACGTGCTGGCGCAGATCGGCTGCTGCTCACCTGCGATTGCCGCAGCCCCTCTATTCGCCGCCGCTTGCGCGTCTGGAACTCATCGGCCTCCATGCCTGCATCGAAAGCCATGTTCGGCCCGACAACTGGCGGGCGCACGCGCGAGCCCGTGCCTGCAGCGCGCTGCTCTTCGGCGCGAATCGCCGCCTCAGCCCGCGCGTCGCCCACCTCTGTGCCATCGCGGCCCTCGATGTACACGTCGAGATAGTGGCGCTCCACCTCCTCCTTGGTGCGGTTGCCGATGTGGTCGGCAATGTCGGCCCAGTTGCCCAGGCCGTAGATCTGCGCACCATCGATGAGCAGCAGCTCCTCGTCGGCGCCCCAGTCGGCCGTGAAGATGGGGTAGGCGTGTTGCTCCTGCAGACGGGGGTCAGCTCAGGGCCTACGGCGCGGCCAGCCTGGACCAGCCTACGTGCTTCGCCCAGACAGTATCGCCTGAGCCAGCCTACTCTGCACCGTGGTCTGTCCTGCACGCCCTGCCGCTGCTCGCACTCACCACCACACGGTAGTCGTGCCACGGCCGGTGCGGGCCTTTTGTGCGTGCGCCCTCGCAGAAGCAGCTGCCGCAGAGGTCAAAGTCCTCGCACTCGGCGCAGCGCACGCGCACGGTGAGCGTGATGTCTGCGCCGCACGCATCGCAGTGGTAGCGCACGCCCGGCTCTGCCGCTGCGGAGAGGGAGTCAGACACAGCGGGTGCTCCGAGGGCGACGGCATGCACGCACCCGTCGGCCCGGCGGGCGCCGCGGCGGGCTTGTTCTTGCGGTGCGAGACCGTCATGGCCGCGCGCGCAACGACGGAACGGGCAGAGCGCGCACTGCGACGGGCGGTACGAGAGCGGACCCGAGAGGAGGCGCGGCTGGGGCAGGTCAGGGGGCTCGGGAAGGGGTCCGGGACGCGGCGGAGCAGGCGGGACGCCGTCAGTGCGCGATCTACGCCCCGCGTCACGTGCCTCCACCGTGGGGCGCGGCAACGTGGGAGCAGCGCCCGGCGTGGGCTGTGCTGGCGCAGCGCTGGCTGCGTCACCCCACCGCCCCGCCCCGCCGCGGCTTCGCTGCTCTCCACACTCGCCGCCTCGCACCTGTGCCAGCCATGCTCACCGCGCCGCAGAAGGCGCAGATCAAGAGCGCCCTGCCCTCGTCGGCATACAAGATCCTCGCCGCCACGCCCGCGCGCGTCTACGCCTCGACGGGCGACGAGTGGCGCTGGATCGGCATCGAGGGCGCCCTCGTGCTGGCACAGAAGAAGGGCCGCGGGCCGGGCTTCGAGATCGTCGACCTCAAGGTGCGTATGCTGTAGCGAGAGACGGGTTGATCGTGATGGATCAATTGCTGCTGCCTGTCGGCGGCGGGCCTGCATGATCGGCCTGGCTCAGCGAGAACATGCCTCGCGTGCCGCATCCGCGATGCTCTGGCAGGCGTGCTAGGGGTCTGAGCCAGCGGTGTGCAGCCCGCTCACCTCAGGTCGTGTCGCGGCGCCATTCTCTTGCTGTTCTGTCGCTGATCCGTCTCGCTCTCGCAGGGCACACGTGGCGTGCTCTGGTCGCATGAGATCTACGAGCCGTTCGCGTACCACCAGGACCGCGCGTTCTTCCACACCTTCCAGGGCGATGTGAGTCAGGCGGCACCACATGCAGCGCTGCCTTACTGACGCACACGCAGGACTGCCTCATCGGCTTCAATTTTGCCGACGAGAGCGAGGCGGGCGAGATGCACAAGAAGGTGATGGGCCGCGCCAAGTATGGTGAGTGTCGCAGCGGGAGTACGCATGCCTGGCTCGGGCTCACCCCTGCCGTAGCGAAAGCGAGCAAGAGCTCGTCGACGAAGAAGAAGGCCAAGGCGAGCGGCAGCGGCGGCAGCGTCAAGGTGACCAAGTCGATGATCTCCGCGCCGTCCAACTTCACCCACGTCGCGCACATGGGCTACACGGCCGAGAGCGGCTTCAGCTCGACGAACGTGGACCCGTCGTGGGCGTCGCTGCTGGACAAGCTGGGCGCCATGGGCGTGTCGCGCGCCGACATCGAGAAGAACGAGGGCTTCATTAAGGACTTTGTCGGGCGCCGCGGTGGCCCGCCGGCGCAGCAAAAGGCCAAGAAGGTGCCGCCGCCAGCGCCGACACGCGGGCCCAACACGGGCGCTCGCAAGCAACCGCCGCCGCCGCCCGCTCCTCGTGGCGCTCGCGTGCCGCCGCCGAGCATGCCGGCCGCTGCGCCGCCTGCCGCCGCAGGTGCTCCTCCTCCGCCTCCGCCGCCTCCGCCGCCAGCACGAGGAGGCGGCTCTGCTGCTGCACCACCGCCGCCGCCGCCACCGCCTCCGCCCGCTCGAGGCGGCGGCGGCGCAGCAGCACCTCCTCCGCCACCGCCTCCTCCGCCAGGGCGCCCGCCCGCTGCAGGTGGAGCGCCGCCGCCGCCTCCACCACCACCTCCGCCCGCCGGTGGTGCGCCGGTTGCGCCGCCAGCACCGCCGCAACCTGGCCGCGCCAATCTGCTGGCGTCGATCCAGGGCCAGTCGGTGACTAAGCTGCGCCGCACCGAGGGCGTTCCGCCGCCGGCCGCTCTTGCTGCGGCCGGCACGGCGACGATGGGCGTCGGTGCTGCTGCGGGTGTGGGTGCCGCTGCAGCATCCGGAGGTGGAGAGGAGGAGAGCAACGGCGCAGGCGGCGGCGACCTGGCGAGCGCTCTGGCGGCGGCTCTCAGTGCGCGCAAGGACAACATGGGCGACAGCGACGACGAGGAGAGCGACGACGACTGGTGATGCGTCTCAGCCTTCCGTCCTCTGTACTTACCATGCAGCCGCCTGTCACCTCTGCTCTTTACCCGTTCGCGAATCATGCATGTCGCTTGCACGCCAGTGTCTGGCACGCCAATGCAGAAGTCACGCATCAGAGCTTCACGGCATTAGACTCGAATGTGGAGCAGCAGTCGAGAGCAAGAGGGGTCGAGAGCGACGTGGTGAGAGCGAAAGTGTGACGAGACAGGCGAGAGCGATTGGTGTGGAAATCATGCTTGTGCGCGACGAGCGAGCGAAGCTGCAGCAGATGCGCCATCACATGAACATGTCGTCGTAGCCGTTCTGCGCAGGGAGCGCGTGATTAGCCGCAGCGCACACAGGCCTGCTCAGGGTCAACTCACGTTGCCACGCGGCGGTCTGACGTCGTCCCAGTCCGGATCACCGCCGGGCCCGCCACGCGGACGCGGGCCACGTCCATTGGAGGGCCCTCCCGCTCCTGGCGCTCCGAAGCCGCCCAGTCCGCCAGGTCCCACCGGATCGAAGCGCGCGCCCGGCGGCACAGGCCCGCCGTACGGGTTGAAGCCGTCGCCGCCGCCGGGATGCTGCGGCCCGAAGCGCTCACGCCACATTGGGTGGTTCGGCCCGACGATCATGCCGCCCCCGTCGTCGCCGCCGAGCGGCGGTAGGCCGCCCGTGCCGCCGGGAAAGAGCGGCGGCGGCCCGAAGCCGCGGTCGCGCTCGCCGACGGCAAAGGGACTGCCGCGCGGCGGCAGCGGGCCCAGCGGACCGCCCGTGGCGCCGGGCAGGTACGGGTCGTTGGACGGTGCACGCGGCTGCACGGGTGCCGGCTGCGAGGATGAAGAAGGCGCGGAGGAAGAGGCCGGCGTGGCGAGCTCCTCGTAGCCCACCTTGTGCAGGCCGGGCACGAGGCGCTGGACGATGTGCAGCTGCAGCTCGCGCGTGAGGTCCTGCACGCGCGACGACGAGACAAAGCCGTGCACCAGCGGCTCCTGCTGTGCGGCGTCGGCGCGCGGGTAGGGCCAGAAGGCCTGCGACGTGTAGCGCGCCACGTCGAGCTCGACGTGTGCGCTGGCCGACTGGCCCTCGAGCGCCGAGGCGACGATGCTGAGGCGCGGCCCGACGACGACGGCGCGCAGCACGAAGCGCAGTGCCGAGGCCGGGTGCGCGTAGCTCAGCGCATAGCTGCCGTCGTGCGCATTCCACGCGTCAGGCAGCACGTTGGAGGTGGGCGGCGGCGAGGCGGGCGACGCGAGGCCCAGCAGGCGGAAGTCGAGGCGCGAGAGGAGCGTGTGGAGGAGTGCGACGAGGCCGTCGTGCGCGTTGGCGAGTGCCGGTGCGGTGCTGTCGTCTGCGCGCGCAGGCAGCAGCGTGGGCAGCACGCTGAGCAGTGCCGAGGGGTCGAGCAGGGTGGAGTCGGGCATGGTGATGGTGGTGGGAGATGAAGCGGCGGAGCGAGACGCGCGCGGCGCGTGCCATGACGAGGTGCCGCTGCTGCGCGTGGCCCGTGCGTCCCCGCGCGTCAGCTGCGCCCCGATCCCGATTGCCGAGGCGCCTCGCCCTCGCATCCGCCCGCTGCTGTGCTGTGCTCCTTCTCCACGCACCACACCCACCATGTCCGCCGCAGCACCCACCGACGACGCACCCTCGGTGCTCACGCACCGCTTCGCCCGCTTCAACCCCTTCCGCGGCAGCGAGGACGAGGGCGGCGACGAGCAGGGCCAGGCCGCCGACCCCGAGCACATCGCCGGCGGCGGCCACGTCTTTGCCGGCCGCGGCGACGAGCAGGCGCGCCGGCAGCTGCGTGTCAGCCATGCGCTGCGCGCCATGCTGGCGCAGCAGGGCGAGATCCGCGAGAGCGACGTCGGCGGCGGCGACGACGAGACGCTGGTGAGTGTGCCTGGCGGTGGAGTGCGGTCGCATGCACTGCTGCGTGGTGCTCGGCGCCGAGAGCATCGTAGCCGGCGGCACTGTCACATGCCGCTACGCTCATGTGCGGCTCGGCTCATCCCATCTACTACCAGCACTCGTCTGCGCTTCAGGACATCCTCGCACGCCCGCAGGTCGCGCACCCCGAGTACGTGACGGACCGGTCACACCCGCTCTCCGAGTACTTCATCTCGTCGTGTGCGTCGCATCCGCCCTCTAGCGCTCCGCAGCGGCTGATGCTCTGTCTCCAGCGCACAACACATACCTCGTCGCTCACCAGCTGTATGGCAAGAGCTCGTCGGACGCATACAAGGCACACCTGAGCGCCGGCGCCCGCTGCGTCGAGATCGACGCCTGGCCCTCGGACAACCCGATGGAGCCCAAGGTCACGCACGGCATGACGCTCACCGATGTGCGTGCTTGCGCACTTCTGCAGCATGTATCACGCTGACTCTCGCGCAGCACATTCCCTTCCGCGAGGTCTGCCGCAGCATCTCGCAGCAGATGGACAAGGAGATCCACGAGGCCAAGGAGCACGGCCTGGCACCGCCTGCTCGTGAGTCACGGTCTTGCCTCAGCCCCCACACTCTGCTCACTCCTCGGTCTTCAGCCATCTTCATCTCGCTTGAGAACCACGCGCCGGCTGACGGCCAGCTGCGTCTGGCGGCCATCATGCGCGAGGAGCTGGGCGACAAGCTGGTGACTGAAGCCGTGCACGGCGGCAGCGAGGCCACGCTGGAGGAGCTGGGCGGCCGCATTCTCGTCATGGTCGAGTACTACGGCGACTCGAGCGCATCGGGCGCCGCCGCTGCTGCGGGCGTCTCGCGCAAGGACAACGACTCGTCGGACAGCTCCGACGACGAAGAGGCGCGCGCGCACCGCGAGCGCAAGAACAAGGCCAAGACGAACAAGATTGTGCCAGAGCTGGCGGCGCTGGGCGTCTATGCGCAGAGCACCAAGCCGAGCAGCGACGCGTGGGCCAAGGAGGAGGTGCTTCCGCCGGGCTATATGCCGCAGAACGCCCTCGTCAACGTCGAGGAACGCGCCGTGCTGAAGCTGCTCAAGGAGGGCGCCGGTGCCGGCCTGGCGCGCCACAATGGCACGGCCCTCGTGCGCATCTACCCCAAGGGCTTCCGCATCTCGAGCTCCAACCTCAACCCCGTGCCGTTCTGGGCGTGTGGCTCGCAGGTGTGCGCGCTCAACATGCAGGTCTTTGACAAGGCCGCCGGTCTCAACGAGGCCATGTTCGCGGCCACGCCCGGCTGGGTGCTCAAGCCGCCGCACCTGCGCCGCAACCCTACGCCGGCGCCGCAGGGCAAGGTCAAGCTGCTCGTCGAGATCGCTGGCTGCACGGATCTGCCCGTGCCGGATGGCCGGGAGAAGGATATCAAGGTAGGACAAGTGTGTCTCCCTCGGCGCACCCTCTGCTGACGCTTCGTGCAGCCGTACGTCACCTGCAGCCTGTATCACCCTGCCATCGACGGCAACGAGAAGCGCAAGACGAGCCACTACCGGCCGCACCACCACAAGAGCTTCTTTGGCAAGGAACAGCCGCCGGCCACGTCGCCCGTGTGGGAGCCGGCCGAGCGTCTCGAGTGGACGTATGACGCGCGGGACGGCGACTTTGCGTTCCTGCGGCTGCTCATCAAGAGCGACGACGCGTTTGCCAAGAACCCGGCGTTCTTGACGACGAGCGTGCGCCTCGTCAGCGTGCCGAACGGTGCGTGGGATGCGCGAGGGGCGACGCCAGGAGCTGACCGACTTCCCACGCGCTTGAAGGCCAGTGGATCTTCTTCAGGTCAGGCTTGGCGTGGTGGTGTCTGACTGACCTAGCTGACCGTGCTCCCTCAGGCTGCTCAACCTCAAGGGCGGCGTCACGCCCGCCACGCTTCTCGCGCGATTCACGCTCTCGCCGGCCTGAGCGCTCTCCTCGTCACCTCTTCTGCGTTCTGGCCCCGTGCAAGTTGCTGTTCTGCGACTCGGCTTTCCGTTGCGCTGTTTGCTATTCTCCGACAACGCCTGCGCGGCGCTCGGCTTTTGACATTCAAAGTCATGCACCCGAGCCTCGCTCGACGCTGTGTCCCCGCGCTCGGGCGCCCTCGTGATGGCGCAAGGGGTCTCGGCTGCGCCACTCGGCGATGGCAGCTCGCCCGTGAGCGCAAGGTGCAGCGTATCAGATGCGCCGGCATCGGGTGGACAGGAAGCCTCGGGCCCGGCTCTCGGCGGAGCGGCGCCTGCTGCAGCCCAACGCCGGGCCCTGTCATGCCAGCAGTGGAAGGCCGGGCGATAAGCACGTGGAGACGGCCGGGCGGGTGTGCCTGCAGGAGCACCAGGTGCGTATGGACAGCGCTGCAGTATCCCCACAGCCGTAAGACGGCATTCCCCGCAGCGAGAAGATCGCATCCAGAGCTCTGCTTCAAACAGACACTGCGGGAGAGTGCTGCTGTGCCCCCGAAGAGGCAGGGGCGACCAGGTGACAGCTGTCTGCAGGCAGACGAAGGGCGCAGGTTCGCGTCCAAGGGCCCTCCGCCTCATCACGTGTGCGCTCCCATGCGCACACATGCTTGCAGCATTGGCCAGGCTGCCACACAGCATGCTCCTCCCACCTCTTCGCCATCTCGCGATGCTGGACTTGCGAGGCCCCAAAGATGGATCTCGCCCTCGGAGACGACCGTGAGAGCAAGCAGCGAGCCTCCGAGCTGCGCCCGAGCCTCCTCGCTCCACCTCGAATGCCGCGGCCAGCCAAAGGCGACATCGCCGGCCGAAGCGCACCCTGAATGCGCTGCGTTGCGGATCTGAAGCTGGCGCCTTGCATGCCTGTGCGCTGCATGCTGCTGCTGGCGCTGCGGCAGGAGGTGCTGTGCCTGCGCGCTGGCGCTGTGCCTGCGCTGCTGCGGCACGCGTGCGATAGCGGCGCGCTGATAGCAGCGTGGCGCGCAGGCGCGGGAGCAGTCAGGCGCGCGTGGTTCGGCCGCGCGTCGTCCTATCTGCCAGCTGCTCTTTCATCCGCCGTGCGCCGTGCGCTCGATAACATCGCTTCTTCCCGCACCGGCACAGCGCCCCTCTTCGCCGGGCAGCAGCAAATTCGCTGTGGAGAGAGACATGCGCACAGTGCCTGCCAAGAAGCCACTTGCAAGCGAGCGATCGCGGGGCAGCGCGCCAGTGCGGGAGAAGGGGGCATGCCATGACGGCTCCGAGGGTCTTGGCCGTCTTGCGCAGGCCTTCGGGCGGCAGATCTGCGCTACGAGCGGTCCTCCGAAGGCAGCTCAGGCGTACAGAGATGGCTGAGAAGAGGCTCGGCCAGTGAGAGACGCCACAGTGAGGCGACCTCGGGAGCGACACGCGGCGAGCGAGAGCGTGCCAGGGAGTGGACCGCCACCTGAGCCGTCGGCTGCTGCACCATCGGCTGCAGCGAGATGTAGCAGCTGCAGCTCGCTGCTGTCGGCTTTTCCCGTCCCGGAGGGGGCCGTGCCAGGGGAGCGCTCACACCCGCCTCGGCCCTCGCAACTCCGCCAATAGCCTGCCCGACGCCTCGCATTGCACAGATAGCAGCGAGACGCCGCCGCCGTCCCTGCCGCCGCGGCCCGCACCTGGAAGAACGCAAGGCAGGTGCGATCGGCCCAGCGATATCAGCGTGACACCCTTCGCCGGCGGCAGGGTACATAAGAAGAAGCGCACGCCTGGTCAGGACGCCCACCCCACCACACCACCATCCCACCCACCCGCACTGCACCATGGGCCGCTTCTGTCTTCGTTCGCCGCAGCTCAACCCGCTCTCGGGCAAGGCGCAGCAGCTGCCGATCATCAATCCCTTCGACCGCCACGGCCGCGTCTTCTTTGCGTCGTGGATGAGCTTCATGATCTCCTTCTTCGCGTGGTACGCGTTCCCGCCGCTGCTCGCGCGCACGATCCGCGCCGATCTGCGCCTCACGCCCGAGCAGGTGCTCAACAGCAACATCGTCGCTCTCATCGCCGGCTTCCTGATGCGCGTCGGCGTCGGCCCGCTGTGCGACCAGTTCGGCCCGCGCCGTGTCATGACGGGCATTCTCGTCTGCGCCGCCATTCCCTGTGGCATGGCTGGCCTGATCCGCAACGTCGCCGGCCTGTACGCCATCCGCTTCTTCGTCGGCCTCGCCGGCGCCACGTTCGTGCCTGCCATGGCCTGGTGCTCGAGCTGGTACGACCGCAACGCCGTCGGCACGGCCAACGGCTTCGCCGCCGGCTGGGGCAACGCCGGTGCCGGTGTCACGTACTTCGTCATGCCGGCCGCCTTCGACTCGCTCGTCACCAACATGGACCTCACGCCGCACGTCGCCTGGCGCGTCGCCTTCATCGTGCCGACGATCATGCTGCTGTCCGCCGCGGCCTTTGCCTTCTTCCTCTGCGAGGACCTGCCGACGGGCAAGTGGAGCGAGCGCCACCTCATCGCCGGCGCCATTGTCGATGAGCCGGCCGCCGCGCCCGTCGCTAGCTCTTCGGACTCGGGCTCCGACATCGAGGTCAAGACGGGTGCCTCGACGCCCACGCCGCCGGCGGCCAACCCGGACAAGACGTCGGAGAAGGGCCGCGCCGCCGCCATGGCCGCCGCTCAGGGCCAGACCATCTCGACGGAGGCCTACGAGGCCGGCATCGCCCCGACGCGCATGGAGGTCGTGCAGAAGCCGACGCTGCGCGGCACGCTGCCGCTGCTGCTCGCTCCGCAGACCGTCATGCTCGCGCTGCCGTACGCGTGCTCCTTCGGCGGCGAGCTTGCCGTCAACTCGATTCTCTCGTCGTGGTACCTCAAGCACTTTGCCCACCTCGGCTGGACGCAGACGCACGCCGGCCGCGTCGCCGCCATCTTCGGCCTGCTCAACGTCGTCACGCGCCCCGCCGGCGGCTTCCTCGCCGACTGGATCTACGGCAAGATGCCGGCCGGCCGTGGTCTCTTTGCCAAGAAGACGTGGTGTGAGTCAGCGTCAAGCGTCTAGCTGCGGTGGTCGACATCCGCTGACCCCATCTACTCCAGACATGTTCCTCATCTTCATGCAGGGCATCTTCCTCCTCGCCATCGGCTTTGCCGGGCCGAGCCTCGGCCCCGTCGGCCTCGTCGGCCTCGTGTGCGCCATGGCCGTCTTCATGGACGCCGCCAACGGCGCCGCCTACTCGCTGCTGCCGCACGTGCGCCCCGAGATCAACGGCATCCTCTCCGGCTTCGTCGGCGGCAGCGGCAACCTAGGAGGTATCTTCTGGAGCGTCGGCTACCGCTTCACCAACTACGCCCAGGGCACGTGGATCATCGGCGTCGGCTCGATTGCGGTGGCCGTCATCTGCATGACGATCCCGCCGATCTCGCGCTCGCAGCGCCTCGCCGGCGGCTACATGTCGACCTGAGCGTCTGTTCCGCTGGATGACGCCTGTGTACGCTTTGATTCCCCTCTTGTCATCATGTCACGCAATTCACGATTATAGATGTTGACGAGGGCGGTGAAGATGAGGCGATGAGAGGGGGAGATGAGCCTGGGTGCTGCGGCGGCGCCGGCCGGCGCTGTGGTCAGATCGACGAGGCGCGTCCGGCGCGCCGGCGCTGAGTTCGCCGTGCCGCAGCACTCGGCGCAAAGAGAGCGTGCTCCGCCAACGCGGGGCGCCGCACCGAGAGGCCGAGCGAGACACGCCCGGTGCTCCTGCTCGGCGCAGTAAGAGTGGCCGTGACTCCGGCCAGCTTGGAATGCCGGCTGCGCCCGTCATCGCGACGGCTGGTAACCGCCTGTCATCCTGCGCGCCGGCGCCACGGCCCGATGTGATGGGCGATGTCCCTCATCGACGTCGTGTGGGCGTTGCCATGCATGCTCTGCCATCTTGCCGCAGCGCCCCGCCGCTCCGAAGCGTCGGCTGCCGGCGGCGGCGCAGGCTTGAGCGCTAGGAGAGCGGCCGTGCCTCATCTTGCGCTTCCACGATGACGAGGCCACTCTGCGGCTGCGGCAGGCGGCTATTGCGGGCGCTGCGGCGTGCCTGCCTCTGCCGCAGCCGCCTGCCGCCGCCGCCGCAGCCGCCGGCGGGGCGTGCGCTATTCACAGCCGTTGGCGCCCGTTGCGCTGCATCTGCGAGATGCGATGAGCAACGCAGCCGCCGCCCGCCGACGCCTTCGTCGCTGCCGCTGCCGGACGATCCGAGCGCTCCGAAGCACCCCACGAGGCTTGCGCCAAGGAGGGCAGCACACAGACAGCGAGGCGCCGTCGCCGAAGAGGGCAGGCCGCGCAGAAGGGATCGCCCAGGAGCGCCACAGCACGCAGCCCCTTGCTGGGCGCTGAAACGCCGCGGGCGCGGGCGCTGCTCTGCTGCCGCGCCGCGCCTTGTTGCGGAGAGGGGCCGGAGATGCGCACACGAGCACAAGGCACACTCGCCGCGGGCGGGCGGCGGGCGCGGCACTTTGTGCGAGGTATTTGCGGCCCGCCCGCCTGCGGCACAGCGCCTGTGTCGGCGCGCGTGCTGCACGACGCGCGCCTCGCGGCCGCGGCGAGAGGGCGCGTGCCGCTGGTGCTGCCGCCGCGCCGTGCCGGCGTGGTGCCGCTGGCGCTGGGCCGGTGCGGTGCGCGGCGCGTGGCCTGCCTTCAGCTTGCTGCTGCTCGCGCTGCGCCGGCGCCGGCTCCTCGCTCCCTCATCTCGCCCTCAGCCGCACTCTCCCCACCACCCGGACCTGGCCACCGCGCGGCGCCATCTCCTCGCGCCCGTTCCTCTCTCGCTTCCTCGACGTCGACCCCTCTCTCGCATCACCGGCTCGCCGCCAACGCGCAGCTGAGCTGGCCGCGTTGCCCTCTCTCGTCCTCTCCACCACGCTCTCTTCCGCACTCCACTCCTTTTGAGCACGCTGCCTCGCCACGCCCACATCGCGCCTTCTCCCTCGCGCACCCCACACACACTCTTGTCCGTCCGTCGATGGACACCCTGGCCGAGCGCAGCTACTCGCACGACTCGCAGTTCGTCGGCCGCGACGCACGCCTCAACTCCATCTACGACAAGTACCTCTACGACCCGCGCGACCTCACGTCGCCCGACCCGCGCCTCCGCGAGCTGGCACGCAAGGCCAGCAAGCTGCAGCACGCACCGCGCAGCGCACCCGCAGCAGCCAGCGCCGACGGCATGTCGGCCGCACAGCAGCGCAAGAAGCGCCAGTCGGCCATCGGCTTTGCGCCGGGCACCAAGGGCGGCAATGCCGGCGCCGCGCCGGCGCACCGCCGCGACGACAGCGGCGGCGGCGCCTGGGCCGGCTTCATGATGGGCAACGGCGCCGTGTCGGACAGTGACAGCGACAGCGACGCCGAGGCGGACCGGCGTCGTCGCCCGCCGCCGCAGAAGGCCGCAGAGGGCAGCCGCGCCGTGGCGGCTCGCAGTGCCGCCGCTGAGCCAGATGTCGCCGCCGCCGGGCAGCGCGGAAGCTGGACTTCCCGTGCCGCCGCCGTCGGCTCGCGCCCGCCGGACAGCGCCTCGCAGAACCCGCCGACGCTGAAGCTGCTCGGCCTCAAGAGTCTCAAGGACGGCGGCTCGCCGATTGGCCACTCGCCGGCAGCAGGCGACTCGCACTTTGCGGCACAGCAGGGAGCGCCGCGCAGCACGGCACGCACGCCCGACTTTGAGATGATCGCCGGCGCCGAGCAGCGCGACGCGCGCCGCAACGACGAGCGCACCATGAGCGCGAGCGACTATGGCGATGAGGTGGATGCGCGGCACGGCAGCACCATCGACTTTGGCCGTGCGATGCAGCGCGGCGCGGACGAGGCGCGCCCGAGCCGCGGCGTGCACCTCAGCGACGACGGACCGGCGCCGCCTGCCTCGAGCCAGAAGGGCCGTCCCGTGAGCCCGCGCACGGCGCTGACCCGCCAGCTCGGCCTCGTCACGCCGATGCCCGAGCAGCCCGCGTCGATGGCCGCGAGCGGCGACTACTTCGGCGGTGGGCCGCCGGCGCCGATGAGCGCCGGCCCGTCTGCACCGGCGGGCTACGACTCGCGTGGACCGCCGCCGGGCAGTCTTGACTCGCGTGCACCGTCTTCGGCGCCGCCGCACCCACGCACGCTGCTGCCTGCTCCTTCTCAAGGCCCGCCGCCACCGCAAGGCCGTGCTCCGCCGCCGGCACAGCTGCGCGCTCCGCCGCCGCCGCAGCAGGCCATGCGTGGCCCACCAGGCGATCGCTTTGGCGGCGGCGCACCTGGCGTGCCGCTTCAGCGAGGCATGCCAGGCCCGCCGGGCCCGGGCATGCGAGGCCCACCGTCGCCTCTTGGCGGACCGCAGCCGCCGCCGCAAGCCATGCAGCGTGGTCCGCCGCCGTCGTACGGCAGCGACCCGCGCGGCATGCCGTCGCCGACTGGGCCGCCTGGCGGCTTCGACCGCGGCCTCGCTCCCCCTGGCGCCATGCGTGGCCCGCCGAGCCCGCGCGGTCCGCCCGGCCCTGGCTACGGTCCGCCTCGCGGTCCGCCCGTACCGCCGGCCGGCTTTGCGCCGCAGGGCAGCCGGCCGCAGCAGCCCCCGCCCGCCGGCTTTTCCGACTCGCGCCCGCCGCAGAAGGGCGCCGGCAACGTTTTCCGCCGCTCGATGGCCTTCTTTGGCGGCGACGGTCCCGGGCCTGCGCCGCGCCCGCCGAACGGCAAGCGCCAGAGCGCCTTCCGCCGGAGCATGGCGTTCATCACTGGCCGGCCGATGCCCGAGCCCGCGCCGGCGCCGCGTCCGTACGAGGACGACGACGCCAACGCGCCGCAGCCGCGCGTGCGCGGCTTCGTCGAGGAGAAGCCCAAGTCGCGCAAGAGCATCTTCTTTGGCGCCAGCGGCATGGGCGACGAGTGGGACGTGAGCGGCCGCGGCGAGCGCTTCTGGCGCCGCTTCTCGCTCGCGCAGCAGGTCGCCGCCAAGCCCGACGCCACGAGCGCGGCCTTCCGCGCCAAGGTGCGGCGCCGCCAGCGCATGGTCAAGTGTCTCTCGTTCCTCGGGCTGCTCGCCATCATCGCCGGCATCGCCATCGTCATCGTCTGGCGCGAGGGCAAGTCGAAGACGACGGACATTCCCGGCTCCATCAACCGCGCCGAGAACGGCGGCACCTACACGCCGCCGTCGGCCGGCGTCAAGACGCGCCGCGACACGGGGCTCTACGGCCTGCCCGCCTTCCCGGCGCCGACGCACGCGCCCGCCGCTGCACTGCCCGACCTCTACGACGTCGCCATGGGCAGCAAGCGCTCCGTGCCGTTTGGCGACGCGGCCGGCGCGGCCCTCGCACGCCGCCAGCAGCACCGCCGTCTCGAGCACGACGCTGCCGCCTAATTGCCCCGTTTTCGCCTTCGATGTCATCTCACCTGTTCCCCTCTGCATTACCCGCTCCCACTCATATTCACACTCGCGCGCGCCCGCGCCCCACACTCACTCACTGCCAATCATTGATCTCTCGCTGCATTGTGTGTCGTGTGTGTGTTGAAGCGCCAGGGGCAGCTCATGCGGGCGGAGCGACGCGGCGTCGAAGGCTGCGTGTCCCGCCCCTGTGCACAAGTGGGCAAGGAGCGGATTGTAAACGCAGCCAGGAGCAGGCGCGCACAGCAGGGCGCACAACAGCATTACTATTGCCCTCCTTCTCTGCACAGCAGCACCCCAGTTGAGTGCAGAGCAAGGAAATTTGCCAATGGTGGCTTGAGCTGGCTTGAGCACATTGCCGTTGTGCGCAGAGCACAGACAAGAGAGTGCTGCGCCTCAAAGGTGCAGATGCATTGTTCCAGATTGCAGTGCATAGTCAAGACATGGCCACTCCATCAACGCAGTCTGCGCTTCTCTACAGACGGGCCAGACCGCCTGCTCTGCAGTCCTCCTGAAGGATATCCCTGCCAAGGACGCACAGGGCGGCAACTACGGACTCTTCAGCAAGGCTGCTGGGCCTGGGCCGGCGCTGCTACAGCTGTCATGAACCAAGCGGCAGATTGCCTACGGAACCCTCTGGAACCCTGCGGAACTCTATGGATCCTCAGAGAACCCTCTGGAACCCCATGGAACGTCCTAGAACTCTACAGAACCTGACAGAAGCGTACAGAACTGTGCAGAAGGTTACAGAACCTTACAGATCTGCCTGGAACATTCTACCAGGTTCCATCCATTTCCACTACCTTCCATCCCCTTCCATGAGCTTCCCTCATGGAACACTGTAGAACGCGTGTTGCGTCTTCCCTGCTCTGCCCTCTAAGGTATATAAGGAGGGCCTCCCCCACCCCCACATGTAGATAGTCAGTTCTGATCTTGCATTGTCACACCCTCCTCTCCGGCAAGGGTCTAGGTTCTTGACTAGGCTTCCAGAGCTTACTCAGATCCTGCGTGGCTGCCTGCCAGACTCCTGTTGCCTTCCTCCTGGGCCTTGCCCACGTGACAGGTCTAGGTTCTTGACTAGGCTTCCAGAGCTTACTCAGATCCTGCGTGGCTGCCTGCCAGACTCCTGTTGCCTCCCTCCTGGGCCTTGCCCACGTGACAACAGCACCTGTACGCACTCATTGATGGAGAGAGCGGTCTAGCTTCTGCCAAAAAGCCAAGCAAGCTCACTGCTGCCTCAGCTCTGCAGAGCTTCTCAAATCTTTGGGCATGGTCACTTCATCAAGATGCGTACTTTCTTGTGCACATCATCTTTGCCCTGCGGCGTCTCACTCTTCTGCAAGTAAGGATTGTGCGCGTTGCCTCCAACGTTGTTATCAGAAAAAATAAACCTCGCAACATTCCTGCGCCCCATTGCCACTTGCATTGGCTCATAACGGCTGCGGCGCATTCTGCTCAGACTTGAGGACGTGCCTGTAGAGGAGATCAACGCCGTCAAGGAGATGCTGCGCAGCACCAAAGGGGCCGGAGATCAAGACTGCAAGGATTGGCAGAGCAAGCACAAGGACGGCAAGGGCCTACAGATGGGCAAGCGCGGCAAGAACAAGCAACTGCTGAGCTCCACTCACTTCACGCAAGAGGCTACACCAATGCACACTCGTTCTCCGTTCAGCAGCGCTCCTTCCCAGCCCAGAGCCTATCTGGCCTTTGACGCCAGTCAGTCTCTCTACACTGGCAAGGCCCAGCTTGTTCACATCATGGATGGTCTGGAGCCATTTGTCATAGTCCCAACATTTGACAAGGGCGGCGTCAAGTACAACCCAGCCAAGGGTGTGATGCTCTCGCAGCTCATATACCTCGCACTTGCTGTGTGCAAGCGCAGTGAGATGAGCTCTCTTGAGGGTGCATTGCTAGTCAAGTACCTCAACAACAATCTGCCTTCCACTTTTGTTGATCTCTTCAGCCGTCTACGTCTCGTGTACACAGTACAATCACATATGCTTGTAAGCCTCTGATGCACTCTGCACGTCAATGGTGCGGTAGCAACAAAGCGTCCCAAGCACATCCAGCGCCAGATGGATCTAGGACACACGGCAAAGAGCAAGGACGCAGACAGTGAGATGGCAAAGGCCATGCAACAATTCAAGCAGAAGAACCGCATGGCCTACCAAAGCGTGCAGAAGGACTTTGTGCCAGCGGCAGTAGGTGCCTGCAGCTTTCTCGCAATGTGTGGCAACTGACACTGCATTCAGCCAATATAGAATCAACCCGCTCTTGCAGTGGGCAATGCCAATCTGCTCAGCAGTCTGCGCGGCGCGGTGCCTCCAAGTCTGCCATTCAACGCCGCTGGAGGTGTCAAATCTGCAGCAAGCGGTGCGCTAGACGTTGCACCAACGCCTCTCTCCGGTCCAGCAGCTGCAGGTTCCTTGACTCAGTCAGCTCTGGCTGGTGGGGTTCATTGTTTGGGCGCGGGCATCAGCCATGCATGCCGGACGGCCTTGGACAAGCTGGTGCGGTCACGGCCACCGGTGAGATTGCGTGGCCAACCTTGCGGCACCGCCTCGAGAGCTCACCGTCTGTCCGCCCCAGCCAATTGTGCTCACCGCTTCAGAGATCCAGACGCTCATTGACAAGCACAACGTCACAAAACAACAGATCACTGATCAACTCAGCGCCATGCGCAAGCTGGGCAAGAAGAAGGCGGAGGAGGATTGCGCGCACTCTACCAAGAAGCCACTCAGCAGGGCGGCCGCCAAGCAAGCAATCAACGCAGCAGAAGCCGTTCTTGAGAGCGCCACAAGCAAGACCAAGAAGCAAGCGGCCAAGGACGCTCTTGACCAAGCAAAGCAGGCCTGTACGGCGGCAGAGGAGAAGAATATCTGGAAGAGAAAGGACCGCGAGGAAAATGGCCTGAGTGAGAAGACGGTTCAAGTTTGCAGGAGCCGGGAGAGAAAGAAGGCAAGGGAGGAGGCCGCAGCGGCTGCTGGGGCCCTGAGAGCAACTCAGACGTCAGGCAAAGAGAGCAAAGGAGCCACAGCCAGTCACTGATGGAGCAAACAAGTAGACCGGCGGCATCATGAGGCCCTGGCCTGGTAGGGCATGGCGTTGGCAAGAGGGCGGGCGGAAGGTGCCCGACGTGGGAGCAAAAAGGAGGCCCTCTCCGGGAATCGAACCCAGGACTCACGCACTTTGGACAGCATGCGCTGCTTATCCCTAAGCGAGTATTCTGCCACTAAACCAAGAGAGCTCCGTTGTATTTGTTCGATTCAAGCATGTACAGAACCTCAACAACACGTGTGTGAGGTTGCCTGCCTTGCCTGGCCTCTTGCCTGCACTGACAGCCACTGGCACTGCCTGGCGCCTTCCTGCATGGCTGCTGAGGTGCATTGCCCATCATCATGCCCTAATGCCTTGTAGCTCTTCTTCAGTGCTCATCTGCAGCTGTACCATTGCCAAGGTCTGCCTGTAGCTTCACTCAGCTGCCCGTGAGATGGCATGCTTGGGTGTGAGACAACGGAAGGTCTGCGCCTGGTAGTGCATCTCCGTCCGCACCTGCTGCTCGATGTCTGCAGGTAGAGTGGGCAGCAGGGGCAGCAAGGTCCGGCTGGCACGTGCGGGCCTGGCGGACGGGCGGAGAGGCGGGCTAGGAGGAGGTGGAGAAGGAGGAGAGGGCCCGCATGTCGTGTCAAGCTCGTAGTGCATGTCCACCAAGTGAAGAAAGATGGTAGGCTCAGCGCCTGCCTCGGGATAAAAGCGGTGCATCTGGCCATCGTGGCTCTCAGAGAAGACCAAGATGCGGAGGTCAAGGGCGTGGGCTGCTGCTAGCAGGCTGAGCTTGTTGCCCCAGGTGCTAGGTTGCTCCATGTCAATGCACCAGGCTTTGAGGCTTGGATAGTTGGACACCGCTTGAGCAGCATAATTGGCATTGTGCAGGTTGTTGCGGATGTGCTGACACGCCTGCGCACAGATCTGGTGCCAGCGCTCTTGGTCGCCAAGATGCTGGGCAGCAATGGCGCGGAACTGGCAGTTGCCGTTGCCTTGGATGTAATGCAAGCGCCTGCAGTTGCCGGCCAACACAGCAGCACGTCTGGCGGCGCCTTTGACGCGGCCCTTGACTTGGTCCATCAGCTTGTGCATGGTGGCGTTGTCGAGCCTGTCATTGTCGAGCTTGTCCTCATTGAGCTTGTCATTGATCTCAACTGCGGGCCGCTCCTTGGTGGGCTGCTCCTCTGGCATAGCTGTACGCTCGCTGCCACGCTCCTTGCTGCCCGTCTGGCTGCCATTGCCATCAAGGAGGTCTTTGACGGCCTGCCGCAGCTCTCTTGTGGGCTTGTAACGCGCCTGAAAGCCTCCCTGCGCACTGTTGATGGTGCCCGAGCACAGGGCAATCAGGACGCGCTTGCAGTCCTGCGTACGCTTGGATGCCCGGTACTTGTATTGCCCAGCCTCGTGGCCAAGGCCGTCAGGTACGTTGTAGTACCAAGATGGCCATGGGCCAATTGCCTTCTGGTCCGTAAGCAAGAGCCAATTTGTCAGACGGCAATGATTGCCTCCTGCCTGCGCCTTTTGATGGTCCTCCTCTGAGCAATTGACATCTCAATGGGTTGAGCCAATGTACTTCAGCAACTTGCGCACTTGCGGCGCGGCGGCACTGGCAGCATCAAGTTTGGCCTGGTAGCGCTTTTTTAGAACGGAGGCGCACGGAGAGAGAGACTCAAGTGGACAATCTCTGGACGCAGGACCCGTTGCCAAGGTACCTTCATGAGGTGCGCCCAGGGCATGTCTGCCAGAAACGCCTTTTGATACGCTTCAAGACACTTGTGGGTCAGCGGCAAGGGGTCCTCGCGGATGTAGAGACTCCGGCCAGGCTTGGCATTCTTGCTGAGAACGTCTTTCCAGGCGCCTGGGCGGAAAGTGAGGCCCACGGCGAGCTCAGACAGAATTGGCGCCATACTTGGGCTGTTGAGGAAGGCTTGCGCAGGCAAGGCGCTTGACTTGGAGAGAACAGCAGAGGCGTGACCCATGCTCCTCAGCTCCCACTCTGCATCAATGACGTTGTAAAGACGTGCCTTTTGGGAGCTGTCAGGACTGACCCTGCGTTGCTGCATTGACGCACTCACGTTGAGTCGCTTGCCAGGCTGAAGCACCTCTGGCAGGCTCGCAAGCTCATGCTTGGCGAGTTGCTAGGTGGAATATGCAGAGTGAGCATTGGGTGTATTTGTGGTGGAGCAGCAGCACATGTTCTATGCAGCAGCATGGCCGCGGCGGGAAGGCCGCGGAGCACGGCTGCGGCGTGGTGCGTCCGGTGCTCCACACTCACCTGAATGTCGTACAGTAAATAGCCCTTCTCCACACGCTTGCGCTCCGCGTGTTTGGACTGGCGGGAAGACGGGCCGGACTGGCAAGAGGACGGGCCGGGCTGTGCAGACATGGTGCAGCGGGGCAAGGGAGGGGGGTGGAGGTGCGGTGGGAAGACTGAGGCAGCCCGGGGTGGCTACGCCCATGCGCGGCACCGTCCTAGTTGCCGCCAGGGGCACCGCCGTGCCAATGCCGTGGATTCTTGCGCCAAGGCATGCAGGTCCCTCGACGCAAAGCCTTCCTTGGGCGTGTGGCGCGTGCTGTGCTGCTCTGACGCTGTCATCCAGCACTTCAACGCTGGGGGGGGGGGGGCAAGGCATTGACGGCTGCGCCAGCGCAGCATATCTCCCTGTATGCCCTCTGTCGCGTATACAAATCTGGCTGCTCTGTGCTCGTGGTTGACTTGCACCAGCGCACCTGCGGCGCACACGCAGCAAGTTCATTCATGTCGGAGGCAAAGACGGGATCCAGCACTCATCCTCGCCGAGGACGCCACGTTCATTCTCAGCCAGCCGCTGCCCGGCTTCGCAGTGTGGTTAATATGGTGACATTCAGGCATGGTATAATGTGCGCTACGAACTGCCAAACGCCTCGTCGAACGCGGCGTCGAGCAGGGTGTATATGAGGTGCTTGTTGAGTCGCTGCGCAGGGCGAGGTCAGTGAGAGATGCAACGCAGCGCGTGCCCTGCTCCACGCACCTTGTTCTGCAGCAGCGCCCACGTCCGGCGGGCGCCGCGACGGGCGTTCTCTCGTCCGATGAAGGAGGCGGCGACGTCTGTGTGGCGTGTCAGCGCAGCAGCAGAGATTGCCACGTCTGCACTCACCAGGTATGATGGTGCTCATCTTGGTGTGCGCACTCTCGCGCAGCGCGGCCTTCTGCGCCGGCGTGCGCGGCACCGAGGCCGGCTTGAGCTTGCCGTCGGGCCACATGAGGTTGCGCAGCGTCGCGAGGTGCGCGACGATGGCCGACGCCGACAGGGCCGCCTGCACGCCCTCGCGCAGTTTGCTGCAGGCCAGCGTGAGCAGAGGTGTGGCGACGCACGCGTGCTACACTCACCGTTCGATGGTGCCGCCGAGGGCCTGCTGCAGCACGATCACCAGGCTCTGCCGCCGCAGCCAGTGGTCCTTCTCGCGCAGCTCAAACAGCTCAAAGAGGAGTGCACACAGCGGCTCGGTGAACGGCGTGCGGCCGGCAGCGGCTGCCTCCTTGAGCTCGGCGGCTGAGGCGTTTGGCTCCATCGCTGCGGTAAGGCTGGCGAGGTCCGGCGCGGCGCCGAGCAGCGACGCACCTGACGACAGACGTGTGGCGATGACCTCGAGCATCGACGGCCCGAAGATGAGGTCATCGATGCCCTCGGCCACGCCCGAGACGCTGCGAAAGAGGCTGCGCACAAAACCGTGGCTCGCAGCCGGCGTGTCGTCTGCCGTCTGCGTGCGGGCGCTCGCGGCGGCGGCGTCCAGGAGCGAGCTCGGCACGGTGGCCTGCGTGGCGCTGAGGAAGATGCGCAGCTCGGGGCTGGCACACGCACCGGGAATGCGCACGAGGGCCTGCACAGGATCAGCAACGACCTCAACCTTTTGACGTGCGACTCACCTTGAGGTAGCGGTTCAGCGACTGCCGCCGGCTGTCGACAAACGGCGCGTGCACGAGGCCCATGAGCCGCTTGCCGGGGAACAAAGACTCCAGCGCGCGGACTTCAGGCAGCTGAGAGTGCGCAGGTCAGCGCCGCACAGACGCACAAACGTAGCATATCTCACCCGCTCGCGAAGGCGCACATGCAGCGCATGGAACTCGGCATACCGGCGGCTCACCGCGTGGCCGCTCTGCACGCGGCTCTCTGCATCTTCGCCTGGCTCGTCTGCCGCGAGCCGGATCACCTCAATGATGTACTGCACATAGTCCTTGCCGTCCTGCTCGTGGCCGACCGACGTCTGTGCAATGCTGACCTCGGTGCGGCCCGGCAGCAGCGCCGACTGCGCGTCCCGCTCGGCGATCTGCGTGCGCTCCCAGCAGTGCTCGCGCAGCTCGCGTGCCACCGTGCTGTGGCTCTTCTGCAGCAGCCGCGTCTCCTTGGCGCTGGCGCCGGTCAGCTCGGCCTTGCGGACGAGGGCATCGAGCAGCTCGAGCTGGCCGTTCAAGCGCGCGATCTCGGCATCGACGCGCGCGAGCTCGGCGCCATAGTCCAGGCTTGGCCGGGCTGTCTGCGCGCGGATGGGGTGGAGCTCGGCGACGTCATCTTCGAGGCTGACAGTCGCAGCCTGCGTGGGTGACTCCTGCGTGTCGTCGCCAAAGACGGCCAAACGGCGATGCGAATGCTCCTCGTCTCCGCCCGAAGTCCCAGAGCGCTTGAACGCTGGCCGCAGATCGCGCTTGGCCGTCGCGAAGCGTGCCTTTGCGGACACAGTCGCTTCAGAGACTCTGCGGCTGGGCCCGGGAACGGGGCTCCGCGCGCCGCTGTCCGAGCTAGCGACGCTCAGGGGACGGGCTGGCCGACTGCCAGCAGCTACGCGCTGCCGCGCAGGGTCGAGGCTAGGCTGGCCGTCTTCGTCGATGATGCTGCTCAGTGCGTGCTGGAGCGCATCCATGCGGTCCGCTCGCAGCGTCTCGCCCGCGTTCTCCTCCGCAGCCTCGTCCTCTGACACCGCGTCCTCCTCGCCGAATAGCGCCTCTTGGAATAGCGGCGCCCGGCCGCTCGAGCCGCGTGTCGTGCCGGCGCCGCCGATGAGGAGGTCGAGCTTCTGCGTCATGGCCGGTGCGCGCAGCTGGCCTGAGCGGAGCCGAGGCGAATGCGTACCCTCCTCGGCATCGCCAACGAGCGCGCTTCTGCCGCCAGCTGCGAGAGGGCTGGCTGAGGCGAAAGGCACGGCCGCCAGTGCTGCGCGGGATCGGATCTTGGGCGTGCCCGCTTGCAGCACGCCGTCTGGAAAGACGGCCTCGTCTGGCGACGCAGGCGCGGGCGAGCCGACGACTGCCTGTTTCTCGCGTGCCAGGTCATCGACGGCGCTGAAGAAGCCGGCGCTCTGTCTGAATGCGGGCCAGTCGTCTTCCAGCATCTCGCCTTCGATCTCACGCTGCGCCTTAAGCACGCTCTGGCGCAGGACGTGCACGGCGCGCCGGCTCGTCGGCGCTTCGGGCGACGTGTCCAAGAACCTCCGCACGACGTCGATGTGCCTTTGCGAGATACTCAGACGCTCTGAGCCGAAGTAGTGGTCGGCGAAGAGACGCAGGTCCTCGCGCAGGGCCTGGACCTCGCGCGGCGCGGCATTGCCGCTCGCAGCCGCATCGCCCTCATCTTCGCTGTCGCTCTCGACATCCTCCAGCGGGCCCTTGAACATGTCGACGCTGAGCCAGAACTGCGGCAGCATGCCGCGCTGCTTGCGCTCCATCCACTCGAGAAAGTGCGAGATGGCGCTCGGGCTGCGCAAGATGTCGCGCAGCTGGACGCTGGAGGACGACACGGCGGCGCCCGGCGCAGCAGCCGCGAGCTTGTCGCTGCCATCCTCGGCTTGATCGACACCGAGAAGCGCGAGACGCGCATCCACAGTCGATACCGCAGTCTGCAGGCGCCGCAGCGCGGCCTGCTGTGCGGTGCCAGGGCTCGCGGCATCTAGCAGGCCCTGCGTCTTGCGGATCTGCTGCACGAGGTCGCTGCGCGTCCGGCGAGCATCAAGCACGTTCATCGTCTCGATCGACGCCAGGAACGACGCAAACGAGCGCGACTTCTTGTCCGTCTGACGCGTAGACTTGGCGGCGCTCTTACCCAAGATGGTCTGCCACGGCGAGCTGGTGCCGCTCGCGTGGCCTCGGCTCGGCAACGCCGTCTGCTCCTGGTCGAGCGCGTCTCGCAGGCGGCCAATGAGTTTCCTGCACGGCATGGGTCAGAGCGGCACGTCAGAGCTGGGCCGAACCCGACTCACTGCTCTTGAATGGCAGCACCAGCCTGGTAGCATCGCAGTCAGCATCGCTGCTTCGCACGTGCAGCGGCTTGCTCACCTTCTGATCCAGCAGCGCGTTGAGGGTGTCCGGCTCGGAGAGCGCATCGATCACCGGCAGCAGAATAGTACACGCCACCAGCTCCCGCGTGACCGTCCACACTGCAGGGCTTGCGCTCTCGCGAGCCGGCATGATGACCCGCAGCGCCCGCTCGACGAGCGCACGCAGATGCGTCCGCTCGCTGTGCCGCGTGTCGGCGCTGGCAATGGCGCCCACAGCTGGGTGCAGCACGCCGTCGTTGTATGCGCGCGCCAGAAACACATCGTCCTCGGCCGTGCTGTTCGCCGGACTCAGCTCGCTGGCCGCACCACGCAGCTGTGCCGTGGCGTGCCGGTGCGCCGCCATGTGTGCCGTGACGATGGGCAGCAGGCGGCGCACACCCAGCGTCGCCACGTCGACCTCAGCCGTGCGCTCCAGCGTGCGGGCCAGGCTGGCGCGGATCGCCGCCTCGATGGCCTGCGGGAAGTCGCTCGGCGGCGCCTCGCCTGGCGGTGCTCCACCGAGCGACAGCGGCGTGTGCCATGCCGAGACAAAGTCGCGCAGCACCAGCGCAATCAGCCCGTCAGCGGCCTCGCTGACTGCCTTGGACGGATGCAGCGGCGCCGGCGGTGGCCTCGGGCGGCCGAGCTCGCGCTGCCGCCGCGCCCAGCGAGCGGGCTCGGTGAAGGCCAGCGGGCGCATGCGCAGCGGCGGCCGCGGCGAGGCACGCTCGTCGGCGAGGTAGGAGAGGCCGAGGAGCGCGGCGGGCAGCAGCAGTGTGGCCGCGACGAGCAGCAGGGCCAGGAGGACGAGCAGCGGCGCGCCGAGCGTCGCGATCTCGACTGCCGCGAGAGCCACGATGCCGCTCGCAGCCAGCGCCAGCAGCCAGGCCGAGTGTGTCGAGGCAAAGGCGACGACATGGCCCTGCCCGGCACGGGCGTGCCGGCGAGCCGTCTGCATCAGCAGCGCGCTCAGGTGCGGGCGGCGGCCGGGCGAGGGTGCGGCGCGCGGGTCATTGGACGCTCGGAGGTGGTGGCTGTGCGCAGGACGCCGGCATCGAGCGGGCGCAGGTGCAGAGGAGGGCCCGCTGAGAAGAGAGTGCGGAGGTGAGGACGGGGCCGCTGCCCGCAGCGCGCCGCGTCGTTGTGGCCGGCACGCGTCGTGCGCCGCCGTGCGCGGGACAGCACCCCGCGCCAGTCCCTGCTCTTCCTCGAGCCGCTAGCTCGGGGAAATGGTGTGGAGCAGGCTTACCGGAAGCTAGTGCGTCACCGTACGACGGCTTCACTGCCAGTGGCGCTGCCCAACACCTCGCGCTGGAGCGGCAGAGAGGAGAAGCGGTCAATGTGGAGCTCGCAGAGTAACAATTGGCGTTTGGCAGAACGCCATGATCGCACCGACCATGCTTGCCGCTACACCAGCCGCTCAATCAAGGAGCTGACTGCTCTGATGGATCGCTACAGCTGCATGTCTGCTGAATAGTGAGCGCAAACGTGCACCCTTTTGATGCGCAGTGGCGCGGCCCTCTGCCCATCTCGCTATCGTCTGCCCGGCGGCGGGGACGCGTGAGCTCCAAGGCAGCGCGCCGCGCGGCGCGGCCGTTCCCACGTCCGCCTTGCGATGGCTCTTGGCTTGCTGCGCCTGCTCCGGCCGCTCTCGCTGGCTGCACGGCGCGGCGGCAGCAGGCACCCGCCGGGCGCATGGCCGCATCGCCGCAGCCGCCTCGGCCTCGCCTCCAGACCACCATCCCCCTCGCGCCGCCCGCCATGCCGCGCCTCTCCAAGGCCCAGCGCGCCGCAAAGGAGGCGCGCAAGGCCGCCGAGCTCGCCGCCGTCGAGGCCAATGCGCAGGTCGCCGCCGGCGCCGCCGGCTCGTCGGCCCGCACCGCGCCCTCGGCGTCGTCGCTCAGCACCAACGCCGCACCCAGCGTCGGCGCCGAGCTGGCCGCGTCGCCTGCCGCCGGCACGGCCGCGTCGTCGTCGCCGCCGCCGGCGCTGCGCGGCGCCGCCAGTGCGCTCGTGCCGCCCGCGCCCGACACGGCGGGCGTCGAGTACGACTCGGACATCTCCACGTCCGGCGACGAGGCGCACGACTCGGCCGCCCTGCGTGCCGGCGTGCAGCCGGGCGTCAATGGCGGCGCATCCGTGCCCGGTGCCGGCGGTGCGCCTGCGCCCAGCCGGCGCGACCGCGACAGCAACAGTCCCGACGAGCTCGACGACGGGCCCGACGTTGGCGAGGAGATGGAGGCGCGCTGCGGCTGGGAGGACTGCGGCGAGACGTTCCACAGCCTCGTGCCGTTTGTCGAGCACCTGCATGACGGTGAGTGGAGAGAGAGTGCCGACGCGGGTGGGGCATGCTGTCTGGCGCCTAGCTGCGCCTAGTACACACACCAGCTCGGTTGCTGATGCTGCCGTGCAGTGCACATCGGCATCCACAAGTCACGCTACTCATGCGAGTGGGTCGGCTGCTCGCGCCGCGGCAAGAACCAGACGAGCCGCTTCGCGCTGCTGTCGCACCTTCGCTCGCACACTGGCGAGAAGCCCTTCGTGTGCCCCAAGGCAGGTGAGTGAGCGCTGCGCTACGGGTACCTGGCGGCTCTCACACATGCCGCCGGCAGAGTGCGACAAGTCCTTCACTCGCTCCGATGCGCTGGCGAAGCACATGCGCGTGCAGCACTCGATGCAGGCGCCGTCGATGCGAGGCCGTGCCGTCGCCGCTGCGGCAGCCGGCGCCAAGCATGAGGATGGAGACGACGACATGGGCGACACGAGCATGGCAGGCGCTGCAGGCGGTACGAACGACATCGCAGACGAGCTGCTCGACCTCGCAGAGGGCGACGGCGGCAGCGACTCGGACGCGCCGCCGGCCAACTACGAGACGCAGTTCGGCCGGGCGGGCCCGCGCTTCTCAGACGCGGAGCTCGGCATTCAGCGCGAGGCGCTTGATCCGTCAGCGCTGGTCGGCGAGGACGAGGAGGCATGGGAGGCGGACATGGCGCCGGTGCTCGAGTCCGCGCGGCGGGCGTGGACACGACGAGCGCGCGACCGGTGGGACGAGGCGCATCTGGGCAACGGACATCAAGCGGCGTCGCCCGACGCCCCGCCGCCACTCGGCCCCGCACCCGGCGACGTAGAGTCAGAGGAGGACGTGTCGGGCCGACGACGTGGCACCCGCAATGCTGGCCGGCGATCGAGTCCCAATGGCAGCTCGGCGACGGCCAGTGCACGTGCGCGGCGCATCTACCTCATCGAGAAGGCCAAGCTGCGCATGGCGCGCTCCGAGCACGAGCGCCTGCGCGAGCTCGTGCGCAGCCTGGCCGCCGAGGCGCGGCGCCTCGAGAGCGACAAGCGTGTGCAGCTCGAGCTGGCGTTGACCAAGGAGCTGGGGTGAGTGTGGCACGGCCAAGAGCGCGAGACCTCTGCTGACCGCTCCCTGCGCAGGCCGGACATCAAGGCGATCTTCTCGCCGCCGCCGTCGCCGCAGCGCTAGAGACACTATTTCCGCCGCATGTAGTCTCATTGGCTCGCCAGGCAGGGCGAGGGTATACCATAGCATTTGAACACCAGGGCAGCAGTAGCGTCGAACGACGACATGCGCGCGGCAAAGCAGACGGACAGCGGTCGCCACGACGGGCGATCGGCGGGGCGTAAGGGAGGCTCTTTCGTGTAGCGGAAGGCAGAGGAACGGGGAAAGGACGGTGGTGAGAGTGAGGCGGGCACGCGCATCGCGTACGCCGGCGGCGGGCGCTATGAGAAGCGCGCTGCAGGTATAAGAGGCTGTTGCGTTGCCGGTGGTGCGCAGGCTTGCAATCAGAGACGGTGACCTGCAGAGCATGTCAGCGGCAGCACTTCACCTGAAGTCAGCCGATGCGCTCACCAGGGACGAAGATGAACAGGCAGCTCAGCGCGGCCGTGAGAAGCGCCACGAGAAGCAGCACGCCGCCGGCACGCTGCAGCAGGATGCGCCGCACGTACGGCTCGCGCACCTTGATCAGGTGGAACGGCGTCGTCTCGCTGCGCATGGCCAGCGCGAGCAGCGGGTCCAGCTCGTACTGGTGCGAGATAATGAGCAGCACCGCGACCGTGAACGGCAGAATGACCTGGGCGCTGGTGTCAGAGGAGCAGCAAGGCGCGGCGCACAGAGTCCACTCACCCAGCAGCGCATCGCACGCATGACATCAAGGAAGATGAAGCTGAAGCCCGTTGCCAGTGCGGCCCACAGCGCAAGCAGGCCAAGGCTCAGCCGCACGAGCGCCGAAATCGGCGTGAGGTTGCCGAACGCCTTGGCGCGCAGGAAGCGCGGGAAGACGTCTGCCTCCATCGTGCGGAAGACGTACCTGCAGAGCCTGCGTCAGCACGGCACAGCACACGGCATGGGCCTCGACTCACTCCTTCTGCGCGTGGAACATGTCTGGCACACGCGCCAGCGCACGCTGCTGCTCCTCGTCCTGCGGGTGCGGCACGGCACTGCTCGAGATGGGAAAGCTGGCGATGCGCAGCTGCGCCGGGAGGTAGATTTCCTTCTCGCTGCCGGGCAGCAGGTAGCGCGCGTAGATGCGCTCCGCCGACGCGATGAGGTCTGTGCGGCTGATGGCCGAGTTGCGCGCAATGACCGTCGGCGCATGGCTGGCGCGCTTGTTCATGAAGCTGCGGCGCTCGGCGCGCGAGTTGGGCGCCGTGCTGGGCTCGGGCGCCTCGGGCATGTCGTCGCCGGCGACGATGCTGCCGGGCCGCCCGTAGCCCTGCGGGCCGGCGCGGTGCGCCTGGCCGCCGTCGGCCTCCCAGCCGGGCTGGTTCCACGGCTCGTCCTTGTCGTCGTCGTACGGCGCCTGCTCGATGCCGTTGAAGCGGTTGTAGATGCTGCCGCGCTGGCGTGCCTCGCGGTAGTAGCCGGGCCAGTCGTCGCGCACGCTCGTGCCCGTGCGCTTGAGGTCCTTGAAGTAGGCGCGGCACAGGTTCTCGTGCTGCTGCACGTCGAGCCAGAAGTCGAGGCTGTCCTCGCTGCCCTCGCGCTGGAGGAAGAGGTAGTAGCAGTAGAGGTCGACGGGCGGCAGCGTGCGGCGCGCCAGCACCTCGGCCAGCGTCGGCAGCCGGCGCCGTGTGGCCGACGACTGCAGCGAGAGGGCGCGCGTGCCGTTTGGCGTCGGCGTCTCGCGCTTGCTGTCGTCGTCGGGCGACTGCATGCTGGGCGCGGGCGGTGCGGCGGTGCGGCGGCGGCGCGGCGAGCGGCACAGAGAAGGGCGCAGCGGGTGCGCGAGTGCAGAGGAGGCGGAAAAGAGTGTAGGTCGTGCGCAGTGAGCAGCCGGCTGCGCGTGGTGGTGGGGCTGGGGGCGTGAGGTGGCTGTTGTCGTGGAGCTTGGCGACGCCGGCCGCTGAGCGTCGCGGCCGCACACACCGCGCCGGGCAGGAGAGCAGCGCCTCAACAGCACCCGCCGCCGCGCGCCGCTCGCGCCGCGTGCCGTTGATGGATTCGCCCAAGGCGCCGCCCCTGATCAACTATGCGCCAGTCGCACGCGCCCAGAGATGCACACACGTGATGGGCCGCCCGCCAGCCTCCCCGGGCAGCCCCTCTCGCACTTCAGCACCACCAAGACGGCAACGACGATCACATTGGAACATTCAGCTGCGGCCTGACATGTGCACAGGCGGCTTTTGAGCAAGCGCTGTGAGGAGCTGCGCTACGCCGAGGTGCGCTCGCTCGTCGGGCACGCCTGCGCCGGCGACACTCGCATGTCGACGAGCGGGTTCGCCGGCGTGCCCGAGCGGGCACGCGCAAAGGCGATGGCCGCGAGCTTGGCGGCGGTGCTGCCGCCCTCGTCGTCGGCGCCGATGCGCACCACCCAGCGCTCGGCACGATGCATGGCCGACGGCGCGGTCGCCGAGCCGTCCGTCGAGCTGCCGTGCTGAGGCAGGCCGAACGACGAGCCGTCCTCGCCGTGCTCGTCAAACGAAACCTCGCGCGCATCGATGCCGGCCTGGAACTCCGAGTTGCGCAGGCTGCGCTCGCCCGGGACGACGGAGATCTGCGCCGCGCCCTTGGCGAGGCGCGAGAGATGCTCGTGGAGATCTGCGTCATTGTCGAGCCCGCTGTTCAGCATGCTGGAGAACGTCGAGCTGCCGGCCGAAGATGCAGGCGGCGCAGACATCGCACGCTCCGGCAGATCGAGACCCGAAGAGAGCGCCTCTGATGCTGTGGCGAGGTCGTCGACGGGACGCGGCACTGCGGCCAAGGCATCGTCGTCGCTGCGCTCGGCAGAGCTGGCAATCTGCTCGGTGATGGGCGCACTGCGAGGCACTTGCTCGTGTGCTTGAGTCTCGGGCTCGCTCTCGCCGCGGCAGTAGAAGGAGGACTCCGACGTGGCCGCGCGGCTCTCGCCAGTCGAGCTGAGGGCTTCGGAGCTCGAAGGCAGCAGGTGCTGCCCCTCATCTATGCAGTCGCTGCTCGGCTTGGCGGGCAGCGTCATCGGCGACGTGTCGACCTTCCAGCGGAGAGCGCCCGGCGGCACCGCCAGACGGCGCGGAACTGTCCTCGACGACGTGTGCGTGGCGTGATCCTCTGCCATGCTGCCCAACGAGGGCGCGAGGCTTGGACCATCTGGGCGGTGCAAGTCGCTGCGCTCGCTGCTGCCGCGGAAAGCTGACAGTCCTGCAGCCGAGTTCTCCGTTGCGCCGCTCCCGCTGTTGGTCGCCGTCGTAGGTGACGTGGGGCCTCCTTCGCCTGGAATCGGCGCGGGCAGGGCGCTCGCAAAGTCCGACGCGATCACAGACGGCGCCGAGCCGTAGAGGGACGAAGCGTCATCCGCAGTGCAGCTGGATTGGCTCGAGCTCGAGTCGCTCTCCGAACGGCGACCCGTGCGACGCATGCGACGCTTGTGCTCGATCAGGCTCAGAACGAGGCCGAGTGCGGTCACTGAGAGAGAGTCAAGTCAGACTGCGTGCGCTATATCGTGCGACGTCTCGACTCACAATTCGACCAGACTAAGGCAGGCGCAAGACTGGGGTCAGCAACCGTGGCACGCTGCCGCACCTTCGATGGCCGCTCACGCAAGTTCCAGCCCGGTGCAAAGCTCCAGCCGACTTGCCAGCGAGCGAGGATGATGCACGCGGATGCAAGAGCGCAGGGCAAAGCGTAGCGCCCGCCACCCGACGACGGGTCGGCTGTGGCCTCGTCGGCACTCTTCTCTGCATCGATCGTGCGCGACTGGACGCTCGGGGCGTTTGCGGCTAGGCTGGAGGCAACACTCAGCACAGATGATACGGCGGGCCGCGCGGTGCTCACATGTGGCACGAGGCAATGCCAAGAATGCACCAGCACCTTGCAGCCAAGCCCAGCTGCGAGACGTGGGCGTCAGCTGCGATGGGTTGCGAGACCTGACAGCGAGTCTCACCTGGCGCGACAGCAGCGTCAGATCGAGGAATGCGGCGCACTCTCCGACGAGGAGCAGCATTGCCGTCCACGACCTGACGTGCAGACGGATGTAGATGCGCAGGCACGCGACGACGAGCAGGCGTGCGGCGAGGCCGAGAGTCCAGAAAGCCACAAGCCTGGAGTACGTCGGGTCAGCACAAGCAGCGACACGCCAGAAGCTGCGGCTGCGCACCAGACTTGCGAGCGTGCGACTGCAAGCGAGGGCACAAGGAACGGCCGAGCGATCACGCAGAAGCCAAGGATCACCTGTCATGAGATGAGCATCAGGCTTCGAGGCGTGGGCTGTGCCTGTCCGAGCTCACTTGGACATTGCAAGCGATAACGATGCAGAGGATGGCACGGCGCAGCGCCGGCACTTTGAAGGTGCGCCGAAGATGCTGAGCAGCGCCCAGGACAAGCGTCAGATGCAGCAGCGCTCGCGGGCCACGCACGCATACATACCGCGAGATAGGCGACGGCAGTGAGGACGCCGGCGAGGAAGAAGCTCAGGAGGCTTGCCAGGACGGCGAGGAGCGAGCTGCGTGGCCGGCAGGGCGAGATGGCTTCAGCTGACGTCGATTGCACTGCAGTGAGGCTGCGAGAGACCCAGCAGCAAGGACATCGTCGTGGCTGCTACTCCAGTTGGGCATGGCGGGGCGCGGCAGAGAGCGTGCGTTGGCACGAGGGGCGAGGCGAGGCCCGCGTGGAGCGAGAGCGTGGAATGGATGCTCGAAGAGGCGATGTGGTCGCAGCGGGGTGGTGGTCGAGACGAGAGAGCGTGCGTAGGCTCGCCTCCTTGAGGCAGCCAAGAGCGCCATTGCAAGGCGTCCAGGCGAGCAGAGCCCCATGGCGCCAGGGTGCACCTCGCTCGACACACCCGGCGTCTCAGCTCGCCGGCCTCTTGCACCGCCGTCTCTGCGGCCCGTCAGCTGTCACGTCTCAGGCCCCCGCTAGAGGTACATGGCAAGGCGGAGCTGCTCGTGCCTGCAAGAGACGTGCATCGCGGGGCGCAGCGGTGCAGGCACGGCGCACGGCTGCGCGCTGCCGTGCGTGGAGAGATGCAGCCGGTGCGCAGATGCGTGGGCGCAGGGCAAGCCGAGCAGGGAGCAAGAGGGCGCAGCGCTCAGGCGAGGGCTGCCATTTGCTTCATGCTGCTCCATCGCTGTTGCTGCATGCTGTCGCCTCGAGCGCAAGCATTTAGGCGCAGTCGTCGGATCGTTCTATCGTGAGGCAGAGAGAGCAACACATCCGGCGGCGCGAGCAGCGAGACACGCGCGTGCCGCTCGACTGGGCAGCGCAGCGCACAGATGCAGGCACCGCGTGCCTGCAGCTGCGCCGAGGCCCGAGGCCTACGATGCAAGATGCGTCCAAGGGGGCTGCAGGGCAGCTGCATGCTATGTCGGGCTGCCCACCACGGTGCACCTGCAACTGCAGCGCTGCAGCACCACAGCAGAGCGAGCGGTACGCCGGACATCTGCCTCTGACTCAGCGTGCAGCAGAACAAAGCAAGGTGCAGAACGAGGCGCAGCCGACGAGCACGAGCTTTTCCGGGTCGGCGCCAGCGCAGAGCGGCAGACCCAACGCCGCTGCCGATGCTGCATCTACCCTGCAGCTGCGCTAGGCGACCCAAGACGCCGTCTACCGCAATCTGAGCTCGAAGACAGCGCCAAGGCTTGCTGCGGAGCTGCGGCTTGAGCATCTCCTGCGTGCTGGAAGCAGCACCAGCGCTCAGCGCCAGCCGCTCAGCCTGCGCCTGCAGCCGAGCCACAGGCACGCACGCAGCTGAGAGGGCCCAAGGCGGCGCATCGACGCGCCTTTCCCCCCTCGCGGCCAAATAGCTGCTGCTCAGGGCTGTGCGTGCGCTGCATAAGGGCCGTCTTCGGATGCTTGTTGCTTGTTAGAGCCAATCTGGGTGTGCGCTTCGGCCGTCACACGCGCACCGCATCCGAGAGGCGCGAAGACAGCACCTCGGGTCGCCGGCCAAGCTGCTCCCACGCTTTGCGCGCAACTCTGCCTGCGCTCGGCCGTAACTCGGCGTTCTGCCAAGGCTGCTGCTCTTCTCTCCTCTCCACCACATCAACAGCACAGGCGTACCTCATCTCAAGCAGCGCCGCCGTCGTCAGCGAGTCAGCATGACGCAGGAAGCACCGCAGGCCGGTGGCTCTGCCGCCAGCGAGACACCGCTGCCGTACGTCGTGTACGCGCCCGACGACTTCCACCCGGACGGCATCGCCCGCGCGCGCCAGCTCTTCCGCACCGTCGTGGCGCTGGGCGACGACGGCTGGCAGCAGTGGCCGGAGCACGCCGAGGGCCTCATGTCGCGCATCCGCCACGTGCACGGCGCCGACATCCGGCGCGCCGTGCGGCTGCGTGCCATTGCCAAGCAGGGCGTCGGCCTCAACTCCATCGACGTCGCCGCGGCGCGCGAGTGCGGCATCAGCGTGTGCAACTCGCCCGGCATCAACGCCGACTTTGTCGCAGAGCTGGCGCTCGGACTGGCCATCAGCGTGGCGCGCCGCATCGGCGAGGGCGACCGGCGCATGCGTGCCGGCGAGGCGCTCATTGCTACCGAGCTCATGGGCCACTCCGTCTTTGGCCGCACGATTGGCATCGTCGGCATGGGCCACGCCGGCCTCGCCACGGCGCGCATCTTCCAGCGCGCCCTCGGCTGCCGCGTCGTGGCGTACAGCGGCGGGCACAGCGCGCAGGCTGGCTGGAGCGAGGTGCCGCACGAGCGCTGCGACTCGCTCGAGGAGCTGCTCAAGCAGGCTGAGATCCTCTCGCTGCACATTCCGCTCACGGCCAAGACGGAGGGCAGCATCGGTGCCAAGCAGTTCGCCCTGCTGCCTCCCAACGCGATCCTCATCAATTGCGCCCGCGGCGGCGTCGTCGACGAGGCGGCGCTGCTCGAGGCGCTCCGCTCCGGGCGCCTCGGTGGTGCCGGCCTCGACACGCTGGCCCACGAGCCAGCCACAGCCGAGCGCTACGGCAACGGCCTCTACGCATGCAGCAACGTCGTGGTGTGTCCGCACATCGGCGCCGCAACCGAGGATTGCCAGCGCATCAGCGCCATTGCCGTCGCCGAGAACCTGGCGCTGCTGCTCCAAGGCAAGGTCTGCCCAGGCACGGTGCCATGACCAACGCAGGAGACTACATAGACGCATAGACATGCCGCGTGACGTTGCAAACATCGGCTACAGCTCCCAGAGCGAGGACGAGGTGTGTGCAGCAGCATGCGCGGCTCAAGAGGCGGCGCAGCGCGGAGGAGCGGGACAGTGTATGAGATGCTGAGAGAAAGAAACGTGATGATGAGAGATGCTGAGGGTCTGGGAACGAAGAGGCAAGACGCTGGCCAGCGCAGGCGGCTAGCAGTCGCCAGCCAGGCGGTTGCCGGGGAACTGCATGTTCATGCCGCCGCGCGCCCGCGGCTCCGTCCACGTCGTGAGGTTTGGGTTGTGGTACGCCTCATAGTGGCGCTCGATGTACTCCTTCGTCGGGAAGTCCGGCGGGTCGCAGCCGACGTTGATCTTGTCCTCGTCCTGGTAGACGCGCACCCAGTCCACCTCCATGCGCGCCGGGAAGTGCAGCCGGTCAAAGTCGACGTACGAGAACGCCGAGCTGAGGCCGAGGTTCATGATGATGTACATCGGCTCCAGCGGGATCGGGCGCGCCGAGATCTCGACGGCCGGGTCGGCGGCGAGCGCCTGCGAGCCGAGGCGCCACTGCATGTCGTCGCCGACGGTCCAGGTGATGTGCGAGTCAGCGTCATAGCCGGGCTTGTACTCGAAGCCGTAGCGCTCGAAGCGGCCGCCCGTGTCCTCGTACACGTCGTTGTCCGTCGTGACGAGCACGGAGGCCGTCTGCTGGTACACGGCGCCCTGGTAGGCGTTCAGCTCGTTCTCCGTGCGGTTCGAGCCGTAGAAGACGACGGCGTCGCGCCCCGTCGTGAGGTTGAGCGCGTTGTTGAACGGCGCCAGCTGGCAGCTCATGGACACGTGGCCCGCAGAGCCGGGCCGCACTCCGGCCGACGCCTCGATGATGTCGATCTCCGGTGCTGCGCGTCCGACGTAGCTGCCGTCCGAGTGGAACGGGCCCGGGTGGTCCTCGCCCGGGCAGGTGCAGCGGCTGAGGCGCTGACCTGGCAGGTAGCTGAGGCTGGGGCCGTACTGGTCCGGGAATGCGCCGCTCGTCTCGGCAGCGACCGGACCGCCGCCCCGGCTGGCAGGGTAGGTCTGGTTGGGCAGAGTGCCGACGTCGCAGGCTGGCGATGCACGTCAGTATCGAGACTGAGGCTGTTTGCCAAGGCAGCTCACCGTCATAGGTGTAGGGCCACAGGCCGTCGGTGGTCGCACCGTGCCCGGCGCGGCCCAGGTTGCCCATGGTCCACGCAGCGGGCCAGAGACCGGCGATGTCGTGCGAGCCGGGCAGACGCAGGCTGACCTCGATGAAGCTGTGGACAGGCCATATCAGTGCTGAGAGCCGCGATCGCATCCTGCGCAACACGTACCCGCCCGTGAAGCAGAACTGGTTCCAGCTCTGCACCATGCCGCTGCGGAAGTTGAGGTTGTGCGTCGGCTGCTCGATGAGAGTGAAGACCATGCGGCCGTTGGCCGTGGTCACGCCGGCGGGCTCGTACCATTCCTGTGCGAAGGCGACGTGAGCACAGCAGCGCACGGGCGTAGTGGAGAAGCACACACGTAGTCCCCTGTGCCCCTGAGCGCAAGCGACGTGAGCATGACAGCGTGCGAGAGGAGAGGCGAAGCGCTCACCAGTAGTGCAGGTCAACGGCGGTCCAGAACGGGTCGTCGCCGGGGTACTGCGCAGATGTCAGCTGCGCTCGTACAGTGCCTGCTCATGCGTCACGCACGAAGCTACGGCCGTCCTCCTCGAACTCGTCGCTGAAGACGAGCTGCATGCGGCGCTGGCCGTCGAGCGACATGCGCGTGAGCGCCTCGGCGGGCGTGTCGGGATCGACGAGGCCGCGCACGCCCGTGAAGAGCTGGCCAGTGCCGTTGGTGCCGCCGAGGTTGAAGCCGCCCTTGTTCGACTCGGCCTCCTTGAAGAAGTAGGTGAGGATCGGGTAGCTGTACAGCGGGCACGGTCAGTCATGCGCCCTGCCGCAGCGCACCGCACAGCAGCGAAAACGCACCCGGCGAAGAGCATGAGCAGCGCGGCGGCCAGCAGCACGAGGCTGCCGATGTTCATCAGGCCGCGCAGCGTGAAGATGGTGCCCGTCGAGTCCTTGAAGCCGCGCCCGCCGCTGTAGCGGTCCTTGATGGGGTCGATGTTGTGCAGCCAGTCGTCGGGCTCGGCCTCGCCGGGCCGCCCGTGCCACAGCGCGGCCGGATCGCCGTCGACGGCGTACTTCTCGCCGCTGCCGCTCGAGCGGCCCGAGTGCGTGTGCGACGAGACGGAGGCCGACGTGCTGCGCAGCGCCGCCGCAGCGCCGGCGAGCGCCGAGGCCGAGGTGCCGCCGCTGTTGGTGAAGCCGCCGGGCGCGTAGCGGCGCGCCGAGCTGCTGCCGGACGACGAGGGCACGCCCGAGCGCTGCGAGCGTGCCGGCGACGGGCGCGGCGAGATGAGCGGCGTGTGCGACGACGACGAGGCCGAGGGCCCGACGCCCGACATGTCGACGCGGTGGTAGTCGCGAGCGTACTGCGGCATCGCGGCGGCTCGGAGAGGCGTCTGTGAGTCAAGTCAAGCAGGTGAGGTGAGTGAGTCTGAGTGTGCGTGTGGGCGGAGGGCGGTCGCGAGTGTCGATCAAGGTGCGCGGAGGAGTCTTGAGGCAAGGCGAGCCGGATGCCAAGCAGGGGTCCGCCCACCACTGGCGGGCGACGCGAGCACGAGGCGGTGCGAGGTGGAGCCGACGCCGGGCGCCGTCCTGTCACACATGCGGCGGTGCATCGCCTCTGGCTGCTGCAGCGACGTTGCGAGGCGAGGCGGCGTGCACGGCGCTCGCTGCTGCGAGCCGCAGCGCCGGACGGCGAGCATCATGATGCGGGCGGAGGCTTGGCATCGTCGCAAGCGGGCGCCCCTTGCGCGGCCTGCGGCGCGTGTGCGGTGCGGCCTCTTCGCGGCTGCGGGCCATGGGCGACGTCGTGTGCGCTGCAGCGGGTGCATGCGCCTGCAGCTGCAGCGCTGCAGCTTAAGCTGTCGCCTCGGAGCTCCGCCTTGGGCTGCTGATCGACCTCGGGTCGTGGCGTCGCAGCAGCGCAGCGCCAGCAAGCAGCAGCTGCAGCATCAGGGGGATGCCCGACGGCTGCGCGCTGAGGAGGTGGCAGGAGGCACGGCGCGACAGCAAGAGCGGCGGCGCTGCACCTCGCCCGGCCGCGCACCGCTCGGCGGCGCTGCGCCAGCGAGCCTGCGCGGCGTCACGCAGATGCAGCCGCAGGAAAGGCAGCCAGCGAGCGGACATCAGCAAAGCTCAACCGCGGCCAGAGCAGCACCAAAGCAGCAGAGCGCAGCACCAGCCCAACATGCAAGAGCCCTCCGCTGCGGTCAGGCACAGCGCAAAAGGCCGCGCCAGGGGCCAGTAAGTCGCCAGAACGCAGCCACCGCCTTCCAAGCCGCGGCGAGGTGCAAATTTGCGCGAGCATCCTTCCTTTTCGCGACGCAGCGCCTCGCAGCGTTCAGGGCACATGGTGGCAGAGCAGCACCGAGCGATGCTCCGAGAGCAACGACGCACCTCGCACGGCTCGCGGCCGGCACCCGATCTCGCCGCAGGACGACGCCCTGCTTCTAGCGGGGCGTCAGCCGCTCCCCGCGCCGTGCGCACGCGCCGCGCACATCAGGCCTTCGCGGGAGACGTAGAAGACGTGTGGCCCAGAAGCGGCGATCCCGTCAAAGCAGCATCGGTGCTCCTGCCCCAGCTGATGCTGCGATGGCGGAGCAGAGCGGCAGGCGGCAATGCCGGCGACCTCTCTGTCTGCGTGCGGTGCGGCCAAGCCTACGTGTGCAGTTCTCGGCGCGCGGCTCCGCGCCTCCGCGGCCCCTTGACGCGTGACCGTCGAACTCGCAAGCCGCGCGCGCGGGCAGCAGCAGCAGCATGCAGCAGCAGCAGCGGCAGCAGCAGCAGCATCGCAGCCGCTCAGCGCCCGACACGACATGCGAGCTGCTCACCTAGGCACAGCACAGCTCGGGCGGTGTCAAGAGGAGCCGGCACCCGCCATCGGGGCGAGGAGCCAGCCCGGACGGCCGAATGTTCGCGTACATCCCTCCCCTCCCTCCGCCGCCTCTGCCCACGAGGCAATGTGGCAGGCGTAGGCCGGATGCTCTGCGCTCATATTCGGCTGAGCGGAGCCTGCCGTCTAGTCGCCTCCGAATCGGTGGAGGCTTCAAGAGGCGATGTGGAGGACGACGAGACTGCTGCACGTGAGCGAGCAAGCCGAACAAGGTTCAGCATGGCGCGGTGGCTTGCCACCCACATGGCGGCATTGAGCGTTGAGGCGGATGCGGAGTTCATCCAGGGCAGGGCGATCTCAAGACTGCGAAGCAGATGCATCTCCAGCTCTCAGGCTCGGCCGGGCGTCGTTCGGCTCTGCTGAGCGAGATGCAGGCGAGGAGGCAAGGGGCGCGACGTGATTTGCCCGTGCCCCTCGCGCGCGCGCGCGCCTCGCGGAGGTCGCGCGCGCCGCGTGCGTCGCTCCAAGCCTCCGCGTCACAGGAGGCCGTGCCTGCGAGGTGCAGCCCGAGCGCAGCGCAGGAGAGGTGGCGAAGCGAGCTTCTCAGCCGCAGCCGCAGCACTCAGCCTTCGCTGGTGTGGGTCTGGGCTACGGCAGATCACGTGGAGAAGGCGTCGTCGGCTCCGGAGGATTTGGCGAGCCGGCATGCGCGTCGCATGCCAGCGGTGCGCGCCGCGCTTCCTTCTGCGTGCAAGCCGAGCGCCGCAAGTTGCGCAGGCGTGCTTCTTCCCTCGCTCCATGCTCGCTCTCGGCGTCGCTGTGCGCTGGCGGACGGGCGCGTGTGTTGTGCTGCGCCTGGCGCCTCGACGCCGGTGCCAAGCGGCATGGGCTGCGCGCCGCCGAAGTAGAGCGGGACGGAGCTTTCCGAGGATGCGCTCGCGTCAAGGTCTTGCTCTCTCTCGACTTGGCCGAAGCACGAGCTGCGCCCCGTGCTGCTGCCCGTGCTGGACACGGATACGGCGCGCAGCCCCAGGGGTGGTGACGCGCACGGCGCACGGCGCTCGTCGCTGCTCAAGGGGCCTCTCGGCGACGCCAGCACCAGCTTGCGGTGCGCGACCTCGAGCCGTCGGTCTGCGGCGTGCAGCGTCTCAGCACCAGCGAGCGCGGGCAGCAGAGCGGCACGGCCGCGCCGGCCCTCACGCTCAGGTGCTGCCGCTGCGGCTTGCTGCTGATGCCCTCCTCGCCGGCAGCTGAGCCAAGGGTTGCTGTTCGGGGCGCGTGGGAGGGCTTCTGCGGGACTGGCGCACACACTGGCGGGCCGCCTCGCATGCCTTCGCGCGCGGCGGCACGCGCGCCGATGCGAATTTAACCCCCGAAGCACGCAGCAGACAGCGGGCCGCCCTCGCCGGCCGCCGGTGGCACCTCCGTGCGGGCAGCTGGCCAGTGAGCGCAGCGCAGCTCAGGAGAGAGCGCGGTGCTGCTTGGAGCGCTGCAGGAGAGACGGCGGCTGCGCGGGTGCGGCACGGGCGCTCGACGAGGAGCTTTGCGCGCAAAAGTGTTGCTCTCGGTGTGCATCTTCGCGGCAGGCACGCGGGGCACAGCAGCGCCGCAGAGCAGGCGGCAGGCCGGCCGCCGGCGTCTGCTGCACGCAAGGCCCTGGCGGCGAGGAGGCGCCGCCACACCGCGCACTCGCCGCGCCGCGCGGCATCAGCATGCAGCAGCGCAGGACAGGAGCACGGCTGCGGGCGCAGTGGCAGCACGAGATCAGCCTGCGAGCAGCGCTCCAGGCGCCTCCCGAGGAACTGCGTGCTGATGGGCGTGACGCCGTGCCGTGCGCATCGCGATGCGCTCTGGCACGCAGGCGCCGACCCCTGGCGGTGGAGCGTGAGGCTCTCGGAGCGCTGCTGCTGCTGGTGGTGCCGGCGCTGCTGCGGGTGGCCACAACACGCCGTTGGCACGCCGCACGCCGCCTGCAAGCCCCAAGCGCAACGGCTCGGCGGCAGCTGGACCCCAGATGCCGCCGGCGCCGGAGTGTTGCTCTCGCTGGAGGCGCACAGCGGCCGCACCGCTGCACAGCACCCTGCGCTGGCCACCCCCAGAGGGCCGCCTGCACCTCGCTGCAGCGCTGCAGGCCGTGTCAAAAGCATACGCCTGCCCATCGCGCTCCCTCCTTCTCGTCCACATCCTCCCGCCGCTGCGCCCTCGTGTCCCTCGCCGGCCTCGCCCACCTCCGCCGATCGAGCTTGCACCTGCTGCGCCCGCGTCCTTCCTTTCGCACACCACATCCCACCCCGTCCGACGTCCTTTCCGCTCGCCGCCGTCGCCGTCGCCGACGCCACCCACACTCGTTTGCACCTGCCATCCGCCGCCGCACGTCGACCTGTGTGCGCGTGAGCCGCTCCCACTCATCCGACTGCCCCGCTCCGCCTTTCCCTTCTCGCACCCAGCACACCTTTCGCCATGCCGCGCATTCCCGTGCGTGTCGAGCCGTACAGCTCGCCGTCGCGCCAGCACCGGCACTACAAGAACAAGCGCGACCAGGTGCTGCGCGCCCTCGGCAAGGCCGCCTACATCAACGGCAGCCACTTTGCCATCATGTGGGTCTCGGCGCGCGGCGACGTCGAGACGTACGCCAGCGAGGCGCTGCAGAGCCGCCTCGACGACTGGTTCGTGCAGGGCGGCATTGCCGAGGAGGCCAAGAACCTCGTCATGGGCAGTGCCGACCAGCCGCGCTCCAATCCGTTTGACACGGCCGCTGGCGGCGCCGGCGCCGACGACATGTCCGACGACGAGGGCGACGAGGGCGACGAGAGCATGGGCGCCGCCGCGCGCAGCATGCACGGCACGCCGCTCATCCACACCGGCGACGTCTTCCTCGACGACCAGCCGTCATCGTCGCACGCCGCCAACCAGGCGCGCATGGACATGCGTCCGGCCTTCAGCCGCTCGGCCTCGTCGAGCCAGACGTCGCGCGCCCGCAAGCCTGCGCCGCTCGACACGAACATGGCCAACGAGGTCTTCGGCCACCGCATGCTCGACGACGTGCCGCACTCGGCGCCGCTGCCGCTGCACGACTCGCTTGCCGGCCCGTCCTCGGCCGGCGGCCCGCGCAGTGCCGTCCCGCGTGCGCCCATGAGCCGCAGCGCCTCGGCGGCGCAGCAGCCGCTCGTCGACGTGCGCCTCGAGAACGCGGCGTCGCGCACGGCGTTCCTCGAGCTGCGCTTCAGCCAGTTGCAGCAGGGCATGTGCAAGACCGTCGCAAAGGCATGGATCAAGATCATCGAGCCCAAGAAGCAGACGCGCTGCCCGTACAACAAGGGCGAGGAGGGCAAGCCGGCATGGTGGCCCGAGGGCGTGCGCCACAAGGAGCCCGACCACCTCATGAAGCCGGAGCGCCATCTGCTGCTGCTCACCATCCTGCGCAGCGAGCGCATCCAGGTCGCTCGCCTGCAGCTCGCCACCGCTGAGGTCGTCGCGCTCATCCGTGCGGACCGCGTGAGCCTGCTGATGGACGTGTACCGCATTGCGCGCGAGGAGGAGAAGATGCGCGAGGCCGGCGTCGACATGAACACGCCGATGACCGTGGGCGTCAGCAGCACCGACGGCTGGAGCGAGGACGACCAGGCCGCCACCTCGGACGCTGGCCGCTCGAACTCGCCGGCCGAGGACGAGGAGGACCGCATTCCGGGCGGCCGCACGCTCACTGCGTCCAAGAAGCGGCCCGCCGCCTCGGCTCTCGCCCGCTCCGCCTCGACGTCGTCGATGCGCGCCGCCAAGCGGCCAGCACATGCCACCAGCATGCGCACCTCGAGCGGCATGCTCGACGTGCCGCGCCCGCTCTCCTCCAGCGGCGTCGCCGGCGCCTCGACGTGGCAGCTGCACGACAACGCGACCCACACGAGCGCTCGCAAGCAGCAGGCTGCCGCATCGCAGGCCGCTGCCGCTGCTGCCGCTGCAGGCTACGGTGGCCCCGGCTACCAGCAGGTGCACGGCCTCATCACGCCCGTCTCCGCCAACGCCCACCTCATGGACCCGGCCTTCATGCACGCCTCGCAGCAGCAGGGCCCCGTCACGGATGCCGAGCGCTACGGCTACATGTCGGCGCCGCAGCCGCCGCATCAGCAGCTCTACCCGCACGAGCAGCACTACGGCGCCTTCGACGGCACCAACGAGCACTCGGCCCGCAGCGTCGCAGCACACCAGGGCAACAACGTCTTCTCGTTCAGCGCACCTGGCAGCGCCCGCAACGCACCGATGCAGCTCGACGACCGGACACGCCTCGTCCACCAGCACCAGCAGCAGCAACAGCCGCCCGTCGGTGGTGCTCTCGGCCTGCAGGGCGTCGACAGCAGCGCTGCTATGGGCTCGTGGGGCGGCTTCTCGCAAGAGCAGCAGTACGCACAGCAGCAACACCAGCAGCAGCAGAGCTGGAACGCGCAGCAGCAGCAGCAGCTTCAGCACCAGCACCAGCAGCAGTCGCACCCGCAGCACACCTGGCAGACGGCGGCGCACATGCACAGCCGTGTCGGCGACTCGTCGGCCGGCGACACGAGCTTCGGCTCGTCGTTCGACACGTCGCTCGAGTCCAATGGCCCGGCGACGCCGAGTCCCAAGGCTGCGCAGTCGTACATGTCGCAGGGCGCGCACGAGGCCAAGGCCGTGCTCGGGGCCCACCACGGCGGCCCGGCATCTGCGTTCGAGGCCTGGGTCAACCACCCATGAGCCCACCCGGCGCTTTCACCGCTCTCCCGCCCGTCCTTCGCCTTCCGTCTCTCGCCTCCTTTAACGCTTCCGTCACGACCCGACCGCTCATGTATCTCTCCCACGGCCGCGCATCGTCCGAGCACACGACTTTTGTGACGCCATGCCGCCATCTTCTCTCTTCACGCCATTCCACTCTTGGGCCCACCATTGCCGCTCGCGCTTCCCTTCCACCTCATCCACCCCTTGCAGACGCCCGCGCACCATGTACCTGCGCCTGTCACTGCCTGTCACGCATCTGGCCCTCGCTAATACCCATGCATTATCCGCGACCCTGTGCGAGCGGTGGTGTTCAGTGAGCTGGGCGCGCCAATCACCGATGTGCGAAGCGAGGCTCGGACATGAAGCGCTCGCCGGCGTCGCTGATGGCCGACCTGAAGCCGCTGACGGTCGAGGGCTCGGGACAGCCTGCGACTGCTCGGTGCTGCAGCGCATCGGGGAGCTGCGGGACGGAGCGGTCAGCATCCACCGCAGCAGTGCAGCATGGCGACACTGACCCATTTCTCGATGCTCTTGATGCGCGCGCTGTTGACCGGGTGCGTGCTGACGAGGCCCTTGATCACGTCGCCGCGGCCGCTGCCGCCTTCTGAGGCCTGCATGCGCTCCCTGTGCGCCGGCACTGTCAGCATGGATAGCGCCGAGAGCGAGCCTTGCGATCACGGACCAGAGCTTGGAAAGGCATGTCAGCTGGGGTCATCCTTCTGAGCCAGTGCAGCAACTCACATGTGGCGCCTCGCGCGGGTCGAAGCACGCCTTGGACATGAGCTCCAAGCCTGCGACAGCATCAGTGAGGGCGCGCAGGACAAGCAGGGGCACCACGCACCCATGTGGTCGGCTTCTGTCTCCATCTTGCGCGAGTTGGGCAGGCTGAGCAGCAGAGTGGCCGCCGCGCGCGAGATGCCAATGTCGAGACCACACAGCTCGGCGACCAGGGCGAAGGCCATCAGCACCTTGAAGCCACTGGCCTTCTCGGCGCTGTGCCGTGCGATCGTGTGGCTGATCTCTGCCAGAGCCAAGCAGCCGTCAGCACTGCAAACAGAGCGGCGAGCATAGCTCGAGCACGCACCGTGGCCGAGCACAGTGGCGAGTCCGTCATCGTCTTTGCAGATGCCGAGAATGCCAGACATGACTGGCACGCAGCGTCAGCGAGGCGCAGCAGAAAGCGCGTCGGGGCGCGCACCGAAGATCTTGCCGTTGGGCAGCACAAAGGCGTTCTTCTCGTTCACATTGACGACGTGCACGTCCCACTCGATGCCGCGCGTCGTGACCTCGCCGTCAAGCGTTCGAATGAGGCGCTCAGCGACAGCGCGCACCCGGCGAGTCTGTGCACTGTTGCTGGGCTCGAGGCGCGAGCGGTACTCCTGCAGCGTCTGCTTGTACGCATCGTCTCCCATCTGCCGCTCCTGCGCCGCCGAGACGTCGATGAAGCGCAGACGGCCCGTGGTTGGCACGCGCTCCAGATGCGTCACATAGTACGTGCCGCCGGCACCGACCACGACGACGATGAGCAGCGGCGCGCGGCCGCCCAGCCGGCCACCGCCGTTGGGGCTGCCGCGTCCGCCAAAGCGGCTGGCGAGCTGCGACAGCGCCGTGGCCGAGGAGGCACCAGCGGCACGCTCGCCAAAGCGCTTGTACTGCGCCGGTGCCCGAGCAGTGGTGTGCAGCGGTGCTGTGGCCGTACGCACGGCCGGCGCCGCCCCTGTCGCACGAGGCAGCGCCGGGATGGCCCGGCTGCGCACCGCCTGGCGCACGGTGTTGCGGAGCATGCTTGGTCTTGCGTCCCTGATTCCCTGTCCTGTCCGCTTCGTCAATGTCCTGTCTTCTAGCGAGCGTGTCTGCCTTGCAACTGGTGTGGTGCAGAGACAAGAGAGGATGCGCATGTGCGGCCCATGACGTGCGTGCGCAGCGCCGCATCAGGACAACGCAGCGCCGTGCGGGGCGCGACAGCGTGGGAACAGCGCCCCGTCGGGCGACGCGGCCGACGAGCAGCGTTGATGCGCGCCGCTCCCGCACTTCTTCCAGCTTACGCGCTCACCGCACCCTGGCCCGGGCCCCCTGCACTCCTCCACCACACCCTCGGCATGCTCGCCTGCCTGCGCCCCTGCCGCGCCGTCTGCAGCACGGCTGGCCCCAGCGGCGCATGTGTGGCCGGCACGCACGCCGCCGCCCGCCGCCTGCCGCCGCTCGCCCGGCCGGCCGCATGCCACGCCTTCCACGCCTCGGCCGCCGCGCCGTCGGGCTCAAACAAGTGGTCGAAGATCAGGCACAAGAAGGCCGCCAACGACTCGGCACGCGGCTCCTTCTACGGCGCCCTCTCGCGCGAGATCATCGCCTGCGTGCGCCAGCACCCCACGCGCTCCGCCGACGCGGCGACGAACAGCCGCCTGGGCCTGCTGCTGCGCAAGGCGCGCGACATGGACGTGCCCAAGGACAAGGTGCAGGCCACGCTCGACAAGGCCTCGCGCGCAGACGGGCCCGACGACAAGACGCTCACCTTCGAGGCACTCGGGCCGCCGCCGCAGGGCGGCACGCAGCCCGTGGCCATGATCATGTGAGTGGAGCTCAGCGCATGTCACGGAGGCATGCTCTGACCCATGCGTCGCAGCGAGTGCGCCACCGACTCGCCCTCACGCACGCATGCCAAGGTCAAGGAGCACTTCAACCGCGCTGGCGCACGTCTCAGCTCCACGTCGCACCTGTTTGACCGCACGGGCATCATCCACCTGACGCCTGCCGAGGGTGCGGGCTTCGACGAGGTGTTCGAGGAGGCCGTCGAGGCGGGCGCGGAGGACGTGCGCACGTACGAGGACGAGCATGGCGAGGGCATCGAGGTGAGGCACACCCGTAGGCTCGCGTTTGAGGTCATATGCTCACACGCTGCTTCTCCTGCAGGTCATCTGCAGCCCGAGCGACCTGCCCGAGCTCTCGGCGGCCCTGGGCGCACGGCACTCGGTGCACAGTGCCACCTCGGCGCTCATCCCGTCTGGCCCGCCGCTGCGCTTCCGCGCCGCGCCGGTGGATGGCGAGCCTGCCGAGGAAGTGGACGAGGATGAAGAGGCGAGCGGCTACGTCGATGAGGAGGACATCGAGCGGCTGGACCGGCTCATGGAGAACCTCGAGGAGGAGGCCGACTGCCAGCGCATCTGGAGCAATCTCGACGGCTGGCCAGCGCGATGAGGCGGTATGCCTGGACACAAGCAATGCATCATCTCGACCTCACGCCCGCTCGATCTAGGCATTCATGTCATGAACGAGAAGAAGCGTTGTACATGTTTTGGAATGATGCATGGACGCGGCTAGAAAAAAATGACCTCTCCTCTCCCCATCCCCGCTGCAGCTACTATACGCGTCCCAACGCTTAGTAGAAGTAGCCGAGGATCTTGCCGGCAACGTGCTTGCGGCGCGCCTCGGTGTGGTCGAGGATGCCGGCCGAGGTGGTGAGGACGATGCAGCCGAACGAACGCTGCGAGTGAGAACGATGAGCAGGAATCCTACGCACAACACACCCCTCGCGGCAACTCACAGCGGGCAGCAGGTTGGAGACGTACTGCTCGATCTGGCCGAGCGAGACGTTGAAGCGCGGCGAGATGACACCGGCCTTGTTGATCCGGCCGTTGAGCTGGACAACGATCTTGCCGGAGCGGTGGTCGTCGACGATCTCGAACTCGCCGATGTAGCCTGGATCAGCGCCAAACGCGTCAGCACGCCGCGGCGGACAACACGCAGAGCCACAGCACGCAGCAGGAAGAGCTGTCCCTCAGCGCCGGCCTGCAGCATGCCGGTGGAGGAGCCTGCGTCCTGCAGAGCCAGCAGCGAGTCCCGCGCGCCCTATGCGGACGCGCAGGAGGTCGGTTGCTATCTCGGACCCTTAAAGATGAACGCCAATGGATGGGTGCCGCGAGGCTCCCGGTTGGCTGCCCATTAGTTATAGGCCCGAGTGTCGGTGCTGCTCGCCTTCGTCGAAGCTGTCCCAAGCCTGACGCAGATGCGAAGAGCGCTTCTCCACCGGCATCACTCCACCCACGCGAGCACTCGCACTGCACATGTCTCCCGCGGCGCGCCATGCTCCCGCGCGTCCTGATGCTGATCACTCACCGTGCTGCTGCATGACACTCAGGAACTTGACCGTCACCTTGGACGACGGGCGCACAAGCACCTGGCGCTTGCCCTTGCGCTCAGCGTTGACAATGCTGTTCAGGGCGTCGTTCTGCAGAAGCGTGGCGCGCCGTCAGCCTGGCCGCTCTCCGCGCAGATCCCGGCAACACGAGCCACTCACGAGAACGGAGATGCGGACCATGATGGGCAGAGGTGTCGGAGCGAGAAGTGTCCTTCTGGAAGGGTACAGGGCTGCATCAGCCAACTGTTCCGACCAGCCAAATGTGTCCCTCCTCATCGGCCCTCCTCATCGCAGCCGCGGCATCGACGCCAGCAGCGCTGCACGCAGGCGCTCGGCGCGCATGCGCTCCAGCCGGCGGGCGCGCACATGATGCGCAGAGACGCGACAGCGAAGAGTGCGAGTGCAGCGGCGAAGATGCGGTGCGGCCGGCGCGGTTGCGGCGCGGGATACTTACGAGGGGGCGGGTGGGAGATGGTAGCGAGAGCGGGTGGGGCAGCGACCGCGTGACGAAGGCACGAAGAAGCGGCGTAGCACGGGATGCGAGGCAGTCGCTCGCGCGTGGGCGTGGGAGCAGAACCAGCGCGAGCCGCAGCTCGCGCGCTGCACCCGTCTGCCTGGCGGGCGGCCGCGCCACGTGGCACGCGCCGCGAGAAGGCGCCTGCAGCCGCCTGCGCCGCGCCCGCCGCCGCCCAGGCCGCCGTCCCGCCGCGCCGTCTGCTTCCTGCCCTCACCGCAAGTCATCTCCTCCGCCCCTTCCCGCCTCACTCCTCACCGACATCGTAAGTATGCCCCGCACGAGCACGCATGCCGCATGACCGCTCGCTCGCTCGCATGGCGCAGGCGCGGCGCAGACGCAGCGGTTGTGGGGTGGTGTGCTGCGTGCAAGTGTCTCGCAGCAGAGCCGGTCCTGACGCATCTTGCCGCTGTCCTGCGCACCTCTCTCCTGCAGAATGTGAGTAGCTGTGACGGCGGTGGTGGCCAGGTCCGGCCTGAGCTGCGCACTCGTGCTGTGCCCGACAGAGCTCCGGCTGACCCCGCGTTCTTCTCTAGCATGGGTCGCGTTCGCACGAAGACGACGAAGCGCGCTGCTCGCGTGCTCATTGAGCGCTACTAGTGAGCATTGCCCAGCGCAACGGTCGACAGAGAGGGACGGACCGAGAGCAGAGGGGGCATGGGCGAGCGGGAAAGGTGTGCGCGGCGGATCCACAGAGCGGAGGACAGAAGCGACACGCGCGATGCGCTGCGGGCTGTGGTGCAGGCTCGCGAAGCTGGGAGCAGGGGAGTTGAGATGAGAGGGGGGCGAGAGAAGCGTAGACGGTGAGATGTTGTGCTGCCGAGACACATGCTGATGCAGGCCCGCTTCTGCGCGTTGTGCAGCCCGCGCCTCAACCCCGTCGACTTCCACACCAACAAGAAGGTCATCGACGAGGTCGCCATTGTGCCGTCGAAGCGCCTGCGCAACAAGATTGCCGGCTTCACCACCCACCTCATGAAGCGCATCCAGAAGGGCCCCGTCCGCGGCATCTCCTTCAAGCTGCAGGAGGAGGAGCGCGAGCGCAAGGTGCGTGCTGCGGAGAGAGGAGGCGGGAGAGGCGGGCGCAGTGAAGGACGTGAGAGGCTGCGGAGGAGACAGGCTAGATGCAGGATCGATGGAGGAGGTGCTAGTAGCAGGCAGCTGCGTCGCAGAGTGGCGGAGAGGGCATGTTGCGTGAGGAAACCCGCGAGGGCCATGCGAGCTGGGCGGTAACCGGTTCTGCCAGCTCGTTGCGCAAGCCCGGACTGCTCTCCGTGAGAGACAGTGTGCTATGCTGCTATTGCACTCTGCCGTCGAGGATGCTGCTATCAGTGGTGTTGCGGAGATTGCTGCCCCACAGCTCGACAGCCGCTGACGCCTCGTCCACCCACAGGACCAGTACGTGCCGGAGGTCTCTGCCCTCGACACGACGGCGTCCGGCGGCCTCGAGGTCGACCCGGACACCAAGGAGATGCTCAAGGCCCTCGGCCTCGACTCGCTGCCCGTGTCCGTGTCCGCCCCGATCACGGCCTTCCAGGCCCCGGAGCGCCGCGGCCGCACCGTTGTGGGCGCTGGCCGTCGCTAAGCAGAAGCCAGCTAGAGCTTTGCGCGTGCCATCCATCGCGCAGCCCTCTTGCCGCATTCTGTATCTAGCTTCGTCCGCTTCTCGCATTCCCAACGGTTCCTGTCCCATGCACATCCTCACACGCCGGGCGTGTGCGCTCTGAGTGCTGACGGACACTCGGCTCGCGCATCGCTGCCCACGGCTGCACCCACCTTCCTGAGCTCCTCTGTACACCTATCAGCGCCGCTCGGTTCCGTCAATCACACCAAAATGCCTCATGCTGCACGTGTGACTGGGGCGCAGGAACTCTATGGGATTGCGCTCAGACGCGGAACACGAGCGCCACGCCCTCGTCGCCGGCACACACGACCTTGAAGCCTTTCCGTTGGCCGGCCTGGGCCGTCTGGTACGCGCCGATGCCGCCCGTCTCCGCACCTTGCGTGTAGCCGTCGTCGGGGCCAACAGCCAGCGCGAGGATGCCGTCGGTGAAGCCCTTGTGCGTGGCGATCAGGGCGCCAGTGCGTGCGTCCCACGTGCGTGCCGTGTGGTCTGCTGAGGCCGTGGTGAACAGTGGCGAGCCAGTGTGCAGCGAGAGCGTCGTGATGGCGGCGTCGTGCATGATCTCGCAGCGCATCTTGCCCGACGCCAGGTCCCACACGACCGCCTTGCCCTCCGTGCTCGCCGTGATGGCGTGCGTGGGCGCAGCGGCGGGGCCGGCGCCGAGCAGGTCGACGAACTCGGCCGCCTCGATGCTCTCGCCCGACGCATGCCCGCGCAGCTCGCCCACCACTGCCGGCGCGCCGCCGGCGTCGAGCGAGCCGATGTTGACGACGCGCACATCGCCCTCGGCGCCGCCGACGAGCAGCACGCGGCTGTCCGTCGACACGGCGAGCGCAGTGATGCCGGCGTCGAAGTGGAAGCGCGCATCGCCGTTCTGCAGCTTGCCGAGCGGCGAGCCCGACCGCGGGTCCCAGACAATCAGCGTGCCGTCCTCGGAGACGGTGACGAGCTTCTTGCCTGCAAGTACAAATGTGAGCGTAGTGCAGCACTGCGCAGGCGTGTGCACGCACCATCAGGAGTCCACCGGCCAGCGGTGACAGCAGCAGTGTGGCCCGAGAAGACGTTCATCACGTTGCCAGACGGTACTGCAAGGATGGATGTCAGCAGGTGCGCAGCTGCGAACGTCGCACCTTGCTCACATTGCCACATCCAGACGGTCGAGTCGGAAGCGCCGGCCACGAGCACGTTGCCTTTTGGGTGCCATGCGAGCCACTGTGAGCAGGGGTGTCAGCACGGCTGAGGCATGCGACCATACCGAACAGCTGCAGCTCGACTGCTTGCAACTTCCGCTCGTGCCCACACTCACCACGACCTCGTCCGGGCCCTCGAGGCTCTGCACGAGCGCCCAGGCCGCGCCCTGCTGCGGCTGCGCCCAGACGCGCACGCGGCCGTCCATGCCGCCGCTGGCGGCAAGCGTGCCGTCTGCGCTCCACGCCACGGCCGTGACGCTGTCGGTGTGGCCGTCGAGGCGCGCGACGTCTGCGCCGTCGTGCGTGTGCCAGATCCACGCGCCGTCGTCCTCGCCGCCGGACAGCGCCAGGCCGGTCTGGGCGAAGTTGGGGTGCAGCGCCAGCGCAAAGAGCGACTTGCGGTGCGAGTAGAAGGCGGCGATGGACGTGTCCTCGAACGTCTCGCCGTCGGGCTGCTGCTGCTGCTGCTGGGCTGCAGCACCCTCGCCCTCGGCCTCCTCGTCATCGTCCGGGCCCGAGTCGTCCTCCTCCATGGGCTCGTCGCCGCGCGTGTCGTCGATGACCTCGTCGATGTCGTCGGCGGTGAGGCGCGGCTCGTCGTCGTCGGCGCCGTCGTCGGCGTGCTGCTGCTGCATGCGCTCGTCGGGTGCGCTCATGGTGTGTGTGGCGGTGGTGTGGTGGAGGTGAGGGACGCAGCGATGCCACGCCGGCGAGCCATCTTCTTGCGCTGCGCCGCCAATTTCTCTCGGCCGCAAGGGCAGCGGCCGTGGCGGCGCAGGTGCCCGACTCCCGGCGCGGCGGGTGTGAGAAAGGGGCGTGCAGCGCCGTGAGCTGCTCCACACGACCGGCGGCGCACCAAACATGCCGCGCGCCGGGCTGGCGTATCACGGGCTCGCCCCGCGCTTGCACCTCGCACCCCACCGCTGCGAGAGCACGTGGCGCGGCTGCGCCTCTCCACCACCACCCTCGCAAGCAGACGCCCTCACTCGACACACACACCCTGCGCGCTGCCATGCCGCGTGCACAGCCCATCAGCATGCCTGGCAGCCGCAGCGGCGGCAGCAGTGGCACAGCGCGTGGCGGCGGCAGCAGCAGCAGCAGCGGCAGTGCCGGCCTCGCTGCCGCCCGCTCGCCCGCCTCTGCCTCGCCGCACGGCCTCGCCGCACCGAGCAGCGGCATGCCCGCCTCGGGCTCATCGTCGTCGCTGCGCCTCGCCGCCTCGGCGCGCAGTCCCTCCTCGCGCGCCCCCTCGCTCGCGCCCTCGTCGGCCTCGCGCCGCGGCTCAGCTACCGGCGCCGCGCCGCGCCTGGCCACGTCGCCCTCGCCGGCACCGCCGCTGCAGGCACAGCGCAGCATCGTCGCTGCCGCAGCGAGCCCGCGTGGAGGTACAAGTGGCAGCAGCAGTGCAGCGGAAAGCCGGCTGCGCGGCGTCGCCAGCACGGCATCGCTGCGCCAAGCGGCTGCGGCGGACCGGGGCAGGCCCGCGCCCGGCGCAGCAGCATCGCCGCCTCGCTCAGCAGATCCAGCCTGCAGTCCAGCAACTCCGGCTTCTCAGCCTGCATCGTCAGCCAGTAGCGCCGCTCCCGAGCCGAAGACTGGGCCTGCTTCTAGCGGCGACGCCTCCGCTCGCCCTGCCGCTGCTCCCAGTGCGTCAGGCAGCGCTGCGCCGCGCTCCTCCTCGACAGACAGCGCCGCCTCAGCGAGCTCGACTGCGTCGCCATCGAAACGCCCGCTCTCGCCACCACACTCGCCGTATGACGCTCAGCGCGCCGCTGTGCGCCGGCGCACCTGGTGGGGCCTCGGTCCCGAGCAGGAGGTGCCAGCGCCCGAAGCGGCGGCGAGCGCAGCGCCCGCCGCGGCCAAGCCTGACGAGAGCAGCAGCACTCCAGGTGAGGGCATAGCTCCGCCCAGCCAGCGAACAGCCCGTCCCCCCAAGGCTACGCCAGTGTCCGATGAGCCGCCGCCGCCCATGAACGCAGACGAGGCTGCGTTCCGAGAACGCCTGATGCGCGACGCAGGGCCCAGCACCTCGGCAGCTGCGTCATCTGCCGCATCGCCGTCAACCCTCGATCCCACCAGTGGGCCTCGCCTCCCCTCTGCTGCCAAGCAGCAAGTTGAAGCAGCAGCTTCGCGCCGCTCATCTTGGTTCGGCTGGGGCGGCGTCCATGATGCGCTGCCCTCGCCTGCTGCGCCGGCAGCCGAGAAGCCAGAGGTCAAGGCTGAGGAGAAGCCTGAGGCCAAGCCAGAGCCGAAGCAAGAGCCTAAGCTCGAGGTCCCGACTGCAGCGAAGCCCTCTTCGACGCCTGCGAGAACAGCTCCTCAAGCACGCGCTCCACCTTCCGCATCAGCTAGCGCGAATCGACGCAGCTGGCTGGCGCCGCGCACCGTCTCCGACCCGCAGTCAGGCAGCGCCTACGCTGCTGTTGCCTCGCCGCTGCGCCGTGTCTGGGGTGCCAGCTCGGCGAGCAGCGTCGCTGCCAGCGATGGCGAGACCACGCCGATGGACGAGGACCCGCCAGCGCAGAGCAGCGAGCCCAGCGCTGCACTGCAGCAGCAGCCGGAGCAGCAGGCGGCAGGCTGGGGATGGAGTCTGTGGGGCTCGCGTGCCGCTTCTGCGCCCGAGCCTCAGCCCGCGGAACCCTCCGCCCCAGCAGCGCCTTCGGCGCCACCGGCTCAGGAGGCTGCAACCCCTCCGGCACCCGCTTCAGAAGTCACCCCGATGGACGAAGATCCGCCTGCTGCCGAGCCACAGCCCGCACCGGGCTATCTGGCCTCTTGGTTCCCGTCGTGGGGCTCGCCGGCTCCCGCCGCTCCTGCTGCCGAGCCGGCAGCTGCTGCGCCAGCCGCGCAGCCAGCCGTTACCCAGCCGACGCCTGCCGAGCAGGTCAAGGCAGCCGCCTTGGCACGCCCGGCACCGCTGCCGTCGCCCAGTGTCGAGGTCGAGGCACGCAATGCCGTCATCAACCCGGCCACGCGCAGCGGCTGGGTGAGCTACTTCTCGAGCAAGGGCGCCAAGAGCGCAGCCCATCGCATCGAGGACCGACCTGAGGGCCCGGAGGTAATGGAGATCGACGTCGGACCCTCGGCTCCGGCACCGGCGCAGCAATCGAGCAACAAGAAGACCGCTGCTAGCATCGCATCTGCAGCGACTGAGCCGGCGCAGCCGGTCGGCAAGGCGGCCAAGACGCTGGTCCACAAGGCGTCGACGGCATCACTTAGAGCAGTCAAGCCGGCGGCGCCAGCTGCCAAGGCAGGCAAGCCGCCCGTCGAGGGACCGCCGACGGACGCACCGCGGCCTGACCCGGCGCCGCCATCGTCGCGACCTTTGACGCCAATGGGCCGCGGCGCATCGGGACAGGGCAATGCCAGCGGGCCCTCGTCCAAGCCCGGCTCCGTCCGCCTGCCGCCGCCCAACCTCATCCTGCCGTCATTCGAAGACACCTTCTCGCGCCCGCCACGCAGCCATGCTCCGCTGCCGTCCGGTGTGCTAGGCCGCACACTGTCCGTTGTATCGGCCTGGGCCGGCGGACGCAAAGCGGCGCCCACGAGCACCTCTTCGACGGCCTCACGCATCCGCAAAAGCTCGAGCATCATGGAGTCTGGGCCCGCGGCACTACTGCGCAAGGAAGCTACGGCGAGCGAGAACCGCCTACCGCGTACGTGGAGTGTGATGGGCAACCGCGAACGCGAGCGCACGCGCGGCTGCAAGGAGGGCGAGCGAGTCGTCGTCATCGGCGTGCACGGCTGGTTCTCGCAAGGCCCGCTGGCCAAGATCTTTGGCGAGCCGACGTGAGTGCTGCGGCAGCTGGCTCTGCGACCCGGCAAGTGCTGACTTGACTCTGCAGCGGCACCTCGATCAAGCTGGCGAGCATGATGGCCGACGCCGTGCGCCGGCAGTACACTGCTGCAGGCCTTGCGCCGCCAGAGGGCGAGCGGCTCACGGTGATTCCGCTGCAAGGCGACGGCAAGGTCGGCGATCGGGTCGACAGGTGAGATGGTGCTGTTGCGCTTCTTCAGATCCTTGCTGACGACGCCGCGGTTCCAGACTCTACGCCGCACTTCTGGCCAAGCAGGAGTGGGTCGAGGCGGTCAAGCAGGCCGACGTGCTGTTCGTCGCGGCGCACTCGCAGGGCTGCGTTGTGGCCACACATCTGCTGGCACGCCTCATCGAGCAAGACGCTCTGCTGGCGCCGCGAGCGCGCATTGCCCTGCTCGCCGTCGCGGGCATCCACCACGGACCGTTCGGCTCGCTGCGCAGCGGCATCAGTCACTATTACCTCAACGCGTTCGAGTCGCCGGCCGCCAGCCAGCTGTTCGAGTTTTCGTCCAGCACGAGCGCCTGCTCGCAGCAGTACGCCGCCGCCCAGCGCATCGTCCTCGCCGCTGGCGTCAAGGTCGTGTACGTCGCGTCCGTCGACGACCAGGTGGTGCCGCTGTACAGCGCCCTCAATGCGTCGACCTCGCACCCGTCCATCCTCCGTGCGCTCTACGTCGACTCACAGGCATTCCCGCGCGTCGACTTCCTCACGAACCTGCTTGCCTTCTGCGTGGCGGTGCGCAACGCTGGGCTGCCCGACCACGGCCTGCTCTCGCTGCTCTCCGCCTCCGTCGCCGGCTCGCTGTACGCGGGCGAGGGCCACTCGAAGTGCTACGAGGAGCCGGCCACGTACGACCTAGTCTGTCGGTACGCCTACGAAGCTACCAGTCCGCTTCGCGAGCCCACGACGCGCGCCGACGAGGCGGGGCCGCCCAAGGGCGTCTTCGAGAGCTTCGAGGCGCAGCAGCGCTGGAACCCCTACTCGCTGCCGTGGGCGCTGCGCGGCATCCTTGAGGACGCCGCCGTGCGCGACCTCTACCACCGCGACATTGCCAAGCTGCTGCGCGACTACAGCGCCTGGGCACCCAGCACAAAGACGCTCAAGGACGTGCAGTGGCGCCTCGAGCCGATGCGCAGCATTCCCGTGCCGCCAGAAGAGGAGGAGCCAGAGGCGCCCGCGCCGCGCTCCTCCGCGTCGTCCGTGTCAAAGCTATAGATCCCTCCCGGCCCTCGACTCGTCTCTGCCCCTTTTCTCTATCCCCACTCTACTTTGCATACCCCGCTCCACACTCATCAACCCTTCAATTCACACCGGTCTATCTCTAAGCATTGCATTGCCCGTTCACTTGACGCCCAGCCGCGCGGCCCGCATCTCGCCCAGCGCACTGCGGCCGAAGAAGGCAGCCGACGCGCCGCCGACGGCCAGCCAGGGCAGCAGCTGGAAGAGCGTCAGGTGCCACCAGTAGACGCCGGCCAGCAGCTCGAGGAAGAGCAGTGAGCCGAGCAGCCCGAGCGTCGAGATGCCGGGCGAGCGCATGTTAAGCGACGGCAGGAGCTGCGAAGACTGCAGCGCGTGTCAGCGCTTGAACGACGAAGCGCGGCGCCAGGCTGCTCCGGCGCCCAAGCCAAGGCCAAGGCTGACCTTCACTCACCAGCGCAATCAAGAGAAGCCACGGCACTGCCACCACAATGGCCGCAAAGGCGAGCGACACGGTCTTCCGCGGCATGCTCTCAGTCGAGGTCGGCCCAAAGGTGTGGTGCCGCGGCGGCAGCGGGCGGAAGGACTGCGTCTCCTCGTTGCGCTCACGCTGCGAAAGTGCCACGGCAGGTGCTGTGGGGAGCTGCAGGTCCGTCGCGAGGCTGAGCCGCAGCGGCGCGTACGTGTCGTCCGAGGAAGCGAGGAGAAGTGTGAGGGAGACGTGCTGGTCCAGGTTGGCGAGTCGCTCAGGCCTCTGTGATACGTGTGCGCTGTCAGTGCTGGAGGACAATTAGCCACTCAGCAGCTTTGCTCACGAGAGACCACGAGGCACGACCACGCTTGAGGCCAACAGGCATGCTCTGCGTACGCCCTTGCGCGTCATGCAGCAGCACCGAAGCCTGCGCCGGCGTCGCGGGCTCGCCGTGCACGTCGCGCACGCTGAACACGAGGCGCAGCAACTCGTCAGCGGCGAGCGTCTGGGCGCCAAGCTCGGGCGCAGACGTCGAAGTGAAGCTGCGCGCAAGACGGTAAGCGGCCGGGCCCGACAGTACGCTGCAAGAGCAGGCACGGCAGCCAGCGTGCATCGACTCACGAGCGCGAGAGGCGCACCGAGCCGCCGTCGAGCGTGGCGATGCTGAGCTTGGCGTCGGCCAGCTCGTACGGCGCCGCTGCGGCCGCGACGGCGGTAGCGGCCGCGATTGCGGCAGCGGCGAGGCGTGCAGCTGCAGAGGCGAGACGCATGGTGAGCGGGGTGGTGGATGAGGTCGGGAGCGTGCCAGCGAGTCGCAGGCGCGGGAGCGCGCGCCGCTTCCGTGCGTGCCGTGCCTTCTCGACCGTGCGCGGCGGGCGGCTCGGCGCTGCACGGCCGCCGAGGTCCGCCAGCAAGCCGCTCCCACGGCGCATGCACGCGATCGGTCAGCGGCGCCGCCACGGCGACATCCGTGCGCGCGGCCGCGCTTCTCGCTCTCGCCTCGACCCGGCAGCCCAGCTTGCCTCTCGCACCAACCCCTACCCATCATGCCGCCCGCTGCACCCACACCCGCAGCGCCTGCTGCTGCTGCGGCACCCGCCGCGCCCGCGTCGCCGCCCGAGGAGGTGCTGCTGGCGCTGCTGCGCCACAACCTCGCCCTCGTCGCCCGCTCCGTCGCCCACCTCGAGCCGCGCTTCACGGCGCGCGCACTGCGGGCGCTGACGACGACGCGCCGCCGTGTCACAGCGCATCCTGCTGTGCTGGCGACGGCCGTGCAGGAAAGCATCGCTGCGGGTGAGTTGCGGACGGGACATGAGGTGTAGCGCGCCTGGTGGTGTGCAGGTCAGACGGTGATGCATGTGCGAAGACGGGGAACCGGTAGCCTGCACACTGCACTGCCTGGCAGACACGCCTCGTCATGCTCTGTTGTCCGCTGGTGTCTTCTGACACGCCACTACAGACGATGCACGGGCTGCTCTGCTGCGTCTCCTGCCGCAGGCCTACACGCCCATGCCCGTCAAGACGCCCACTGCGCCTGCCGCCAAGGAGAGCAGCGATGCCATGGACGTGGATGCGCCGGCTGGCGATGCCAAGAAGCCGGCCAAGGACACCATCGCCAAGAGCGACAGCAAGGCCAAGGACGACAAGGATGCAAAGGCCAAGGAGCCCGCCAAGCCCGCGGCGCCGGTGCTTGACCAGCCGTTCAAGCCGTCGCCTGAGGCTGCGGCGGAGCTGGAGGCATACATGAACCTGCTGGTGGTCGTGTACCTGCTCGACAGCGGCCGTGTGCAGGAGGTGCGTGCTGCAACAGGCGGTAGCACTGGCGGCCTGCGATCGCTCCGGCTGACAATATTCGTCAGGCACTGCCGCTCGCTCGGTCTGCCCTGAGCGCCGCGACGGCGCAGAACCGCCGCACGCTGGACCAGGTCGCGGCGCGCCTCATCTTCTACCTGTCGCGCTGTGTCGAGCTGGCTGCGAAGGCTGGCAGCGGCAGCGGCCTTGCTGGAGAGCGTCCGTGAGTGCCGCGCAACATGAGTCTAGCTCCGCCTGTGACTGATCACAGCATCGGCAGCTTCCTGATCTCGCTGCACCGCACCTCGACGCTGCGTCACGATCCCGAGACGCAGGCGACGGTCATCAACCTGCTGCTGCGGTCGTACATCGGCGAGGCCAACCTGCTTGACCAGGCCGACAAGCTTGTTGCGCGTGCGCCCTTCCCGCGCGGCAAGGCTGGCAACGGACAGATCGCACGCTACGAGTACTACGTCGGTGAGTCGGCCCCGGCAAGACAGGCGAGTGGCGCGCAGCTGACAAGTCCGCATCCAGGCCGCATCCGTGCTGTGCAGCTCAACTACTCCGAGGCGCACGCACACCTGCAGCAGGCCATCCGGCGTGCGCCCTCCACCACGCCGGCGGCTGGTCAGGCCCCGGCTGCGTCGGGCGCTGCCAAGGCTGGCGCGGCCAGCAAGGCTGCCCCGACCGCCGGCAGCGGCGCCATCAGCAGCAGCACGGCGCCAGCTGCGGGCTTCCTGCAGACAGCCTACAAGTTCCTCGTCGTCGTGGAGCTGCTGATGGGCGACATTCCGGACCGCAGCATCTTCCGGACCGAGGTGCTGAAGCGCGCGCTTGCGCCGTACATGGAGATTGTGCAGGGTGAGCGACTGCTTGCCAGGCGTGCCCCGCAACGTGACTGACGCCAGCCTCTGCAGCGGTGCGCGTCGGCGACCTCTCGCTCTTCCAGAAGACGCTCACGACGCACGACGCCCTCTTTGCGGCGGACCGGACGCGCTCGCTGATCCTGCGGCTGCGCCACAACGTCATCAAGACGGGCATCCGCACCATCTCGCTGGCGTACAGCCGCATCTCGCTGCACGACATTACGCAGAAGCTGCACCTCGAGAGCGAGGAGGACGCCGAGTACATCGTCGCCAAGGCGGTGCGCGACGGCGTCATCGAGGCGCGCGTCGACCATGAGCGCGGCGAGATGCGCAGTGCCGAGACGGGCGACCTGTACGGCACCAACGAGCCGCAGGCGCAGTTCCGCCAGCGCGTCAACTACTGCCTGCAGCTGCACAACGAGAGCGTCAAGGTGCGTGCTGGCGAGCGTCGGGGCTGTGTACGAAAGGGATGGGCGACTCAGGTGCCCTGGATGACGTGGCCGCGCCCATGCTGCCCAGTCTGCACCCGAGCTGACCCTCCCACCCCCTCCAGGCCATGCGCTACCCGCTCAACAACCACAAGGCCGAGCTCGCGTCGGCGGTGGCGGCGCGCGAGCGCGAGCGCGAGATTGCAAACGAGATTGCCGACGGCGACGTGAGCGACGAGGACGACGACTGGGTGTAGTGGCTGATGCTGGCGAATGAGAAATGCATCCTCTTGCCTGGAACGCATCGGGGGCCGGTCTGCGCGGCGTGTGACCGCGGCCTGGCCGGCATCAGCGAGATGCTCACTCACGCGAGGTGCCTCAGATGCATGCGTCCTTCCAGCTTGCAGTCTAGTGAGGGGCTGCGCACTGCTCCCAGCTCTGGGCCCGCCGGCACAGATCTGTCAGCGCTCAGGGTCAAGGTGCCCCGGCGGTCGGCGTGTCTGCTGCACACGCTCAGTGTCACCTTGTTCCGCCGTGCCTCCGGCTAGTGTTCGTGCTGCGTGCCAACGGCTGATTGCGCAGGCTTATTGAGGGGGTCAGAGTGCCAATGCCACTTCATTGTGACTCCACAAGACGGCACACGACAGGGGCGAGCCGCTTCGACTCTGGCCAGGGCGCGCGCGCCGTGTGGGCGCTGCCGAGTTGGCCTCTGAAGGAACTCGACTGGAGACGATGCACAAGCGAGGAGTGTGCAAGGCAAGTCGAGTGGATCTGATACTTCAGGTTGGAGCTTGATGTGCCGGCGGCAGCATCTGATGGAGGCTGAGTCGAGTCTTAGTGGCTGAGCGCCGCACGCGTGCCTTGCGGCGGCGGGCCGCCTTCGCGCTGCTGCGCGCTGCGCACGGCCGGCCGGCGCTGGCCTGGAAGTGCGCGCCGCCGCCGCCGCCGCCGCTCCTTCCGTCCCGACCACCTCATCACACCTTCCACCTCTGCGCATCGGCCATCTCGCACCACCTGCGCCGCTTCATGCGCCGCGCCCTCGCCGGCCATGTCCAGCAGCGGCTGCTCTACGCCGCGCTCCGGGCCCGCGGGCCCGCGTGATGATGAGCTGCTGAGCGACAGCAGCAGCTCCCTCTCCGACGCCGCCGCGTCCGGCAGCGAGGTCTCGCACAGCCTTGCGCCGGCCAAGCAGAAGCAGTCTGCAGTCTCTACGCCCGAGCAGCAAGCGTCGGCGGCGCCCACGCCGAAGAAGCGGGCGTCGGCGTCTCTCACGCCTACGCCGGAGAGGAAGAAGCGCGGCAAAATCACGAGCGACTATGCGCCGTGCCGCCCGCGCAGATCGACGCATGCGACCCAAGTAGCGGGCGGACTGGAGCTGCTGAGCGCTACAGTCCCGCCCTCAGCGGAAGCGCAGGCGCGGCGCAACGAGCAGAAGCGTCAGGCGGAGGAGCACGGCCGCAGGTGGGTGCGCGGCTATGCCTACGTGCCGGTAGCGCAGCCCGACGTCGGCGGCAGCGCGGCGGCCGAGAGTAGCACCTCGGCGTTGGCAGTCGAGGACGATACTGCAGGTGTGAGCACGTCTGCACCGGCCATTGAAGGCCCCGCTGCCGACAGCAGCACCTCGACAATGGCCATCGACAGCGCAGCGGCCGGGCGCAGCACCTCGACGTCGTCCGCTGACGTTGCGGCGGTCGAGAGCAGCACCTCGACGGCGGCTATCGATGGCACAGCGGCCGAGAGCAGTGCTTCTACGTCGGGCGCTGACGGCGTCGCCTCCAAGCGGCTGGCCACCGCTTCTCCGACGCCAGAGATTCCTGCGCACGACTGCTCTCAGGAGGCCTCGGCGAGTCCGCTTGCCGCAAGCAAGCGCCGCTCCGATGCGTCGACGTCGAGCGCGATGCCTCAGTCCGCGCCTCGCCTGCCGGAGTCCTCCGACGACGAGAGCTATGTCCCGGTCCCTCGCAAGAAGAAGATCGTGCGTCCGCGCGTGGTCGTCAGCGACGACGAGCCGGACTCTTCCCAGCTCTCCGACGCGCCTTCCGAAGTTTCGGTGGCGCTAAGCATCGCCGAGCGAGACTCAGACTCGGACGAGCGGATGGAGACAAGCGCTACGTCTCAGTCGTCGACCGAGCGCAGTATCGGCAAGCGTCGTCAGCGCGTATCGTTCGCCAAGCCGGGCGCCAGCTCTGAGGCTGCCGAAGCGTCGCTGCAGTCTGCGCCTCTGCAGTCGCCGCAGCAGGCGAGCCCTCCGCGCAGCCGCTCACGCGGCCAGAAGGTGATCGACTACTCGCAGACCAATCATCCGCCCGAGGCCTTCAGCGACTCGGACGAGGCCGGTCCGTCGAGGAAGAAGGTCAAGGCCTCGTCGTCGAAGACGCAGAAGAAGACTGCGGCGGCCTCCCCGAAGGCACCAAAAGCGCCGCGGGCGGCACGTGCTAAGTCAAGCACGGTCAGCAACAGCGAGCGCGTCGTGCGCCAGCGTGCGATGAACGCCCGTGAGACGCTCGCAGACGGCACGGTCGTCGAGCGGCAAATCTTCTCCTGTAAGAGTCCGCGCTATGCGGGTCACACGCGCTGCATCCAGTGCATCAAGAGGCAGGGCAACGATGGGTGCCGCTTCCTCGGCATCCGCGTCTTCCCTGTTCAAGCCGCCGTGATCCCGATTGCTACGTCAAGCACGAGTGGGCCCAGCGCCGCTGGCGCGATTACGAAGAGTGCACCGTCGGACGAGGCCGCCGCTGCAGCGTCGCACGAGGCCGTCCCGTCGGATCAGACTGCGCCTCTGCATCAAAATGCGCCTTCGGACCAGTCTGTGCCGTCTGCCATGGACTCGACTGATCTTGCGGAAGGCGGAGATCCGTTCTTCCTCTCGCAGTCTCGCGCAGAAGAGCTGCCGGACTTCCCGCTTTCTGCGGATCTGAATCGGCCGATGGATGAGCGCTCGGCGAGCCTTATTCTCGTGAGTAATCAGTCGTGGCCCGCGCCAGCTATGAACTAACCGTGCTGCTGTGTCCAGTCGACCGCTGCTCGCCACCTCCAGCCGCTGCTCGAAGCCGAGATCGAGCATGCTAAGCTGCCTGGCTGTCTGCGGCGCAACAGGATCTTGTCAGACGTTCTGACATGTGACTTCTGCTCAACGAGTCTGTTCTCCTCCTCGTACTTCTGCGACGCATGCGGCTACGAGCTTTGCACGGAGTGCATCGAGACGCTTCGAGAGCTCGGCGAGCACCCAAAGGCGGAAGGCCTTGCGGCGTGCACTGCCAAGAGGGACGCAGACTACAAGCTCATGCGCCGCGCACATCCCGTTGCGCGCTTTGTGCCGGCCACACGCCTCGATACTGCTGAGCTGCAAGCCGAGCTACAAGCCATGCAGGAGGCCGTCGCAGATACACGAGTCGACGAGCCTGCGCCTGCCGTCCCGACAGACGCAGCTGGCGCGAGCGCAGCGTCTGCCTCGCCCGCATCGATGCCCGCTCACGTGGTCTCGCATCAAGTGGCCCGTCTGAAGAAGGACACGATGGACGAAGATGCCTTCCTCGCGGTGTGGGCACTTGGCCAGCCGCTCGTCGTCGAAGGCGTGACGCCTGCCGAGGTGTGGGACCCGGCCAAGTTCATCGCCATGCATGGCTCGGAGCAGTGCATGATCGTGCGCTGCGACAAGGACGGCGGCGAGAAGATCGTCACCGTGGCGAAGTTCTTCGAGACATTCGGCCTTCCGCCGGACGAGAAGCAGGAGCTGCTGGGCAGCGGCATCTGGAAGCTCAAGGTGAGCTCTTGCGCTGCGCCACTTCTCGCCGCGCTTGCTGACACGCTTTCCTGCCAGGATTGGCCGCCGAGCGCAGAGTTTGCACAGGCCTTCCCGCTGCTCAACGCCGACTTCAATCGCTCCGTGCCGATGCCCGACTTCACGCGCCGCGACGGGCGCAAGAACATCGCCGCGCTGTTCCCTACGAACGGCAACGCGCCCGATCTCGGCCCCAAGATGTACAATGCATGGCCTGGTCAGCTGAGTAAGTGGCGGGTGCGCAGCAGCTGCTTCATCATGCAACGCTGACCTGGCTCCATGCTCGCAGCGAAAGGCGGCAAGGGCTCCACTCGTCTTCACATGGACGTCGCCGATGCCGTCAATACCATGCTGCACGCTGCCGAGCCGCCGACGCCCGACGCGCCACGGGCGGCCGCCTGGGATCTCTTCCGCACCGAGGACGCCGGCATTCTGCGTCAGTTCCTGCGCGACAAGTTCTCGCTCTCCGCAGACGGCGTCGACCCGATCCACACGCAGCAGCACTACCTCGACGAGACGCTGCTCGCCGAGCTGTACGCCAAGCACAGCATCAAGCCGTGGCGCGTGTACCAGCAGCAGGGCGAGGCCGTCTTCATCCCCGCCGGCTGCGCACATCAGGTGTGCAACCTGACCGACTGCATCAAGGTCGCCGTCGACTTCATCTCGCCGCACAGCGTCGGCCGCTGCTTCAAGCTCACGCAGGAGTTCCGCGGCATGAGCGAGGGCAACAAGAAGTCGTGGAAGCAGGACATCCTGCAGCTGCGCGCCCAGCTCTGGTTCGCCTGGCGTGCGCTGCGCACGCTCGAGGAGCGCGAGGCCGCCGCCGCCGCCGCCAAGCTGGCCAGTGCCGATAGCAAGCCCGCCGAGGACCAGGCTATCGGTGCCCAGCCCATGGCCGGTCCCTTTGCCGCTCCGCCGTCTCTGCCCGACGCTACTGCCGGCGACCAGCCGATGCCCGCTGGCTTTGCTGCTCTGCCGTCTTTGCCCGACGCCGATACCGGTGCTCAGCCCTTGGCGGCTCTCTCTCCCTCTCTGCCCGACGCTTCCGCCGCTGTCACGCAGGAGACCGCACCGTCCGGCGCTCCCTCCGCCATCAAGCCAGAGGGCACTCCGCCTCTGAGAGTGCCCTTTAAGAGCGACACGCTCGCCGCCTGATCCGCTTCCATCCACTGTACTGTTACCCGCGCGCGCTTCAGCCGCGCGACCCATCACCGTGTCACCTGTCTACCCGTTCTCTGTGTCATACACCCGCTCTCGCCCAATCAGACCGTCGCGCCAGATGCACGTGTGTATTTGCCAAGGCACTGCGCGCAGAGAGGCCTCTTCGTTGAGAAGAGGGCTGCGGGAGCAAGATGCGAGCGAGGGGCGAGGGACAGGGTGTGCGGGAAGTGAGGAGCGCTTGATAGGGAACCGAGTGAGGATGCTGTTGAATGCCGTTGGGTGACGAGATGGAGGACGCGAGAATGGGGTACATATGTTGAGGGAACGAGGAGCACGGAGCGCGACGGGAAAGAGCAGACGGGCGCCAGCGAGGCAGACGCGGGCAGAGCATGGCGGCAGGAGGCTTACTCCTTCTCGGCGTAGTCGGAGACGTCACCGCACTCGCTGTGGGAACGGAGGGCATCAGTGACGCTGTCAGAGAGCACTGACGGAGGCGAGGCACGCACCAGACGAGGTTCATGTCGCCGTGCGCGTCGTTGAGGCGGCTCGCGGCCGGCCAGAACTTCTTCTCGCGCAGGCTCTTGACGGGGAACACAGCTGTCTCGCGGCTGTACGGCCGGTCCCACTTCTCGTCCGTGAGGCACTCGACGGTGTGCGGTGCGTTCTTGAGCGAGTTGTTCGACTTGTCGTCGCCCTGCTTGCCGTCCATGACGTCCTGGATCTCGCCGCGGATCGAGATCATCGCCTCGCAGAAGCGGTCGAGCTCGGCGAGCGACTCGGACTCGGTCGGCTCGATGAGCAGGCCGGTGCTGATGGGCCACGAGCACGTCGGGGCGTGGAAGCCGTAGTCACTCAGGCGCTTGGCCACGTCGCTGACGGTGATGTTGTGGCTGCCGAACTCGGCGAGGTCAAGCAGGAACTCGTGCGCGCAGCGGCCGTGCTCGTTGGTGTAGCGCAGCTTGTAGTGCGGCGCCAGGCGCTTGGCCATGTAGTTGGCCGAGAGCAGCGAGACCGTCGAGCTCTTGCGCAGGCCCTCCCAGCCGAGCATCTTGATGTAGGCCCAGGCGATGGTGAGGATGCTGGCGCTGCCCCACGGCGCGGCCGAGATCGAGTCGATGGCCTGCTCGCCGCCGACGCGCGGGTCGAGCGGGTGGCCGGGCAGGAAGGGCGCGAGGTGCGCGGCGCAGCAGATCGGGCCCACACCCGGACCACCGCCGCCGTGCGGGATGGAGAAGGTCTTGTGCAGGTTCAGGTGCGTCACGTCGGCGCCGATGACGGCCGGGTTCGTGAGGCCGACCTGGGCCTGCATGTTGGCGCCGTCCATGTACACCTGGCCGCCGTTGGCGTGGATGATCTCGCAGGCCTCGCGCACGCCGGCCTCGAACACGCCGTGCGTGCTCGGGTAGGTGACCATGAAGGCAGCGAGGTTGTCCTTGTGCTTCTCGGCCTTCTCGCGCAGGTCGTCGAGGTCCAGGTTGCCGTCCGAGCCGTTCTTCACGGCCACGACGCGCATGCCGGCCATGACGGCCGACGCCGGGTTCGTGCCGTGCGCCGAGTTGGGCACAAGGCACACGTCGCGGTGGCCCTGCTGCGTCGAGTCAAGGTAGGCGCGGATGACGGAGAGGCCGGCAAACTCGCCCTGCGCGCCCGAGTTGGGCTGCAGCGAGACGGCCGGGAAGCCCGTCAGCTGGCAAAGGTCCTCCTCGAGCTCGGCAATGAGCTGTGCGTAGCCCTGCGACTGGTCCGTCGGCGCAAAGGGGTGGATGCCGCCGTACTGCGGCGACGAGAGGAGCGACATGGACGTCGTCGAGTTGAGCTTCATCGTGCAGCTGCCGAGCGGGATCATCGAGTGCACGAGGCTGAGGTCCTTGGATTGCAGGTGGTGGATGTAGCGCAGCAGGTCCGTCTCGGAGCGGTGCGCGCTGAAGATCGGCTGCGTCAGGATAGCCGACTCGCGCGCCAGGCCGTGCGCCTCGCCGGACGCGTCGCCGATGTTCAGGCCCTGCAGCGCCGCACCGTCAATGCCGGCCTTGTCGGCGAGGCTCTTGAGGTCCGCCACGCCGAGCTCGGCCTTGGACGCCGCACGAGCAAAGGCGTTGATGAGCGCCAGCAGCTCCTCCATCGTGACGGTCTCGTCGAGCGTGATGCCGACGCGCGACTCGCTGATGGGCCGCAGGTTGAGGTTCGCCTTGAGCGCCTCGGAGTGCACGGCAGCGGCCGGCGTGCCGGCCGGCAGCTCGACGGTGAGCGTGTCGAAGAAGGGCTGCGAGGCGTTCAATGGCGGCAGCTGCAGGTCCGCCAGCGCGAGGGCGAGGACGCGCGTGTAGGCGCTGCGCTACGAGTCAGTGAAAAGTGCAGAAGCGGAGCGAGAACAAGTCTGGGAATGCCGAACGTTACGCGGCGTGTTCTGCACAAAACACCCTACGCGGCCCTCTGTCTTCTGCCTTCGCTGTGCCCTGCCGCTGCGCCCTGTCCTCTGCACGCCCACTCACTGCGTCTTTGCGGCGATGCGGCGCAGGCCGTCGGGCCCGTGGAAGCAGGCGTACATGGCGGCCATGTTGGCGAGCAGCGCCTGTGCCGTGCACACGTTGCTCGTGAAGCGGCTGCGCTGCTCGGCGGTGGTGTAGTGCGGCTTGGCCTGGCCGACGGCCTCGGCCTGCTGCGCAACCGACGAGGCGGCGCGCGCGAGACGCGGCACGGCCAGCGCACGCGGCGGAGCGGCAGCGGCGCGGCGCGCAAGCAGGCGCAGCGAGGACGACGCAACCATGGCGGCGGAGAGGGGATGGAGAGGTGGTGGTGGTGGGAGCGTAAGCCAGTGAGCGATAAGCCCTTCTTCGCCCAGGCACGGCCCAGGGGACGCTCTGCTTCTGCCAGGGGCGCGTGCAGAGCAGGCACGCGCGCGGCGCAGCATCAGCGAGAGGAGGACGCGCGGGTCCGGCGGCCGCGGCCAAGCATGCGGCGGCCAGGGCGCGCCTTTCGTCCGTGCCAGCCGCCGCACGCGCGCAAAATTGTGAAAAGGGGGCGCGCCGCGTTTGTAGTGCCGGCTAGGCTTTTGGCTGCGCCTCGTTCAAATCGAAACGTGCGCCCACGAGGAGCGGAGCAGGCGGCCGCGGCGAGAGGGCCGACCGCCGGCGGGAATCGGGCAGCCCGGCCGCGCCGTGGCCTCCGCGGAGCAGCGCCGCGACAAAAGTTGGCGAGCCGAGGCACTTCGCCTTCTCGCGCGCCTCGATGAGGGGAGGAGCGCTTCTGCCTCGCCGCCTCCACCACCAGCAACACTCCTCGCACTCGCCGCTTCGCTCAGCCGGCACTCAACGCCGCCTCCCGCACGCACACCTGTGCTGCAGTCCATGCCGCTCGCTGCGCTGGCTCGGCGCGCAGGCGGCGCTGGCCTGCGCGCGCGCACGCTGCTGTCACATGCCCATCGCGCACCTCCCCTCGTGTCGGCTGCTCCCGCTGCGGCGCCGCAACGACGGGTAGTCGCACCGGCACAGCGCTGGAACAGCACGACGACTTATGCGCGTGCGGCGGAGCCCGCTGCACCGGCGGCGCCCGTGGCTCCGGAACTGCGACGCTGGGAGGTGAGTGTCGCACGAGGAAGACGCAGCGATGGAGAGTCACAGCAGAGAAGAGAGGACGTGCATAGAGTGTGCGCCCAGGTGACGTCCTATGACGTGTTTCGGCTCTTGCTGCCGTCTTTGCTGCGCCTTGTGACTGACACGCTCCCTCTCAGAGCCTTGGTCTCAATCCACGCCTCGCGCGTCAGCTACTCGACTCTTTCCCGCACCTGACGCATCCATCAGCGGCACAGCGAGCGCTGCTGCCGGCGCTCGGCTCGCGTGCCGATGTGCTGCTGCGGGCGCACACGGGCACGGGTAAGAGCCTGGCGCTGCTGCTCGGCCTGCTCGCCATGCCGCGCATCACCTTTGCGCCGCCGCCGCGCGAGAGCGTCTCGCCCAACGCGCGCCTGACCGCTGCTATGCTCGCAGCACCGCCGACGCATGGCACGGCGTCACTGCTGCTTGTGCCCTCGACGGCGCTCGCCCTGCAGTACGTCGAGTGGGCCCGCCGCCTCTTCCCGTCGAGCGCCCTGCCATCCCTCGACCCCGTCGTGCAGGCGCTCGTGCGTGGCGGCAACGTCTCGCCCGAGGCGCAACTGCAGGCGCTGCGCACGTCGCCGCCGCATCTTCTCATCGCCACGCCCTCGCGCCTCCTCGAGCTTTTCGCCAGCGAGCCGGCATATGTGGCACTACTTGGCCTACGCACGCTGCGCACGCTGGCGCTCGATGAAGTCGATGCGCTGCTCGCGCTGCCACCGCGCTTCCCATCTGCAAAGCTGGCCTGGAACCACAGCAAGCACCCGCCGGCCGGCCTGCAAGTGCTCGAGCACATGATGAAGCTGCGCCCTACCTACTCCGGCGGCGACGTGCTGCCGTCTGCCGGCCTCGAGCCCGGTCGCTCACGCCGCGGTGACGAGCGGCGGCCGCCAGAGCATGTCCGCCGCACGGCACATCTGGCGCGCGAGAACGCCGCACATGCGGCACCGCGGCCGCGCGACGACATCGGTGAGCCGCTGCAGCTCGTGTGTGTCAGTGCCACGGCCAACGCCGTGCTGCGTCACTTCCTCGCGGCGCGCACCGGCTGGCTGCGCACCGGAGTCACAGACGGCGGCGCCGGGCGCTGGATCGACTGCACGGGCCTCAGCGCTGGTGCGGCAGGCGCCGAGAGCGCGCCGTGGGGCGAGTTTGAGGAGAAGGAGCGCCTGCCGGTCAGCATTCCGCGCGAGCTTGCGCATTCGTGCATCGTCGTCGATGCGCCGGCAGACGACGATGGCACCCTGCCGCAGATGCGCAACATCAGCATGCCCGACGCCAAGCTGGCAAGGTCTTCAGTCGAGGAGGATGCACTCGATGTTCCGTCTCGGGGCGCAGCGAAGGACCTTGACGCAAGGACCGAAGCGGACGAGCTCAGCGAGGCCGATGCGAGCTCCTCAGGCGCCGAGCTTCGTGGCGCCACCGTGCTGACCACCACCGCGCCGGCCGAGGACGTCGTTGATGCGGCGCTGCTTCGCGCCCTCGCCTTCCTCTACGCCTCTGAAGGTGTCACTCGCGCTCTGGCACTCATCCCACCACGCTGGTCGTTGCGCACCGCCCGCGAGGTGCTCCGCAGCCTGGGCGTTCCGGTCCGCACGCTAGCAGAGGCCAGCCAGGCCGAGGGCGAAGACGTGCTCTTCCTTCACCAGGCAACCGACGTGCGTGGCCTCGACCTACCTGCCCTGTCGCACGTGTACATTGTCGGTCTGCCAGCCGTTGGCGACTCGGTGCGCTACACGCATCTCGCCGGCCGCGCGGGCCGCATCGGTGGCGCTCCCGCCTCGGCGCCACGCGAAGGCCGCGCGAAGGGCAAGGTCGTCTCGCTCGTGCGCGGTCTCGAGCCGGAGCAGCGCGAGACGGGCGCAGTCAGCTCGGCGGAGAAGAAGATGTCCAGCCTTTTCTCGCGCCTGTCGGTTCGCCTGCGGCGCATCGATCTCGACACGGCATTCCAGGCGCTCGAGCAAGCAGCGGTTGAGCCGGCGCTGGACGAGTCGGTGCTGAACGAGCCGGTACTCGGTGAGCCGCCGGCGCCGCGACACCCACACTTTGACGGCGAAGCCTCGTCGTCGCTGCCAGAAGCAGCGCCTCGCCGCCGGAAAGCTGCGCCCGCTTCTGCGCCCGCCGCTGCACCTCGCCAATCGCGCGGTGCCTTCTCAAGGAGGAAGCGAAGCAGCACGCCTCCGCCGCCTGCTGCCGACAGCAGGTCGAATCCCGATCGGTTCTTCTGAGACGCTGCCTCTGTCCAGACTTCCCTTGCCGCACGCCAGCTTCACCTCTCACCCCTCACTTGTACTCTACGCACTGCCTCACTCATGCACATCTTCAGCACCCGATCGATGCCACGGCATCGTATTCCGCCAGGCGATGCAAGAAGCTGCGAGGGACGGCGCAGTTGTGCTCGCCGTCCGGCCTCAGTACTCGTAGTTCCGCTGCGGAGGCGGCGGTCCGCCGTACTGCTGCTGCGGGTATCTGCCGCCGCCGTAGCTGCCGCCTTGCTGCTGCTGGTGCTGGTGCTGCTGTGGCGGCTGCTGTTGGTACGCGCCGGCTTGCTGCTGCGCGTATCCGCCTTGCTGCTGGTATGCTTGCTGCTGGTGCATCGGCGGCCGGCCGCCGTAGCCACCGTCGTATGCACCGCCGCCATTGTACGCTGCAGCGCCGACCGGCTGCATGAGCCGGGGCGGTAGGCCACCATACGACATGCCCTGAGGGCCGCGCATGGGTCCGCCGCCACCGCCGCCCGGTCCAAGTCGTGAAGGGCCAGGGCCGGTCATCGACATGCCCGACGGCATGTGCTGGCCCGACGACGGCCTGCTCATCACGCCCGACGGGCCCGCTGGCATCGGCGCCGGCGGCACCTGCTTGCGATTGTCGCGCCGCTGCTGGCGGTCAATCTCCTTCGATGCCTCGTACTTGGGCAGACTGTGGGCATGTCTCGTCAGCGCTGGCTGGCTTCGGAAAGCGCGCTGGCCACTTACGATGTGGCGAGCGCCGGGTACGGCGGCTGCCAGAACCACTCATGCTGCAGTGCCTCCTCTGCAGTCATGCGCTTGCGCGGGTCGAGCACGAGCAGCTTGTCGATGAGGTCGGCCAGCTCACGACGCCTGTGGCAACGCCGATCAGCAGCTGTACTGACGGCTGGCATGCTTCTCACTCACACGAAGAGAGGGCCCGTCGTGAAGTGCCCGATCACGTTGCGCCGGTGCTGACCGAAGTCGTGACGGCCCGGCGTGTCGTTGGCCGTCTGGCGGCCGTCCGGCTCGGCGTTCTTGACGCCGGGTAGCGAGTACCAGCCTGGGTAGTTAATCTCGTTTGGCGAGCCACAGATCTCCGAGATCAGCTCGAGCTGGTGGATCTCCGACGTGCCCTTGAAGATCGGACCCTTCTGGACCATCTCGGCGAGGATGCAGCTGGAGCCAGGAGGTGAGCAAACGAGCGCTGCCTGTGTCTGCTTTGCGGACTCACCCAAGACCCCACATGTCGATCGGCGGGCCGTACTTGCGCTCGCCAGCGAGCAGCTCCGGCGGACGATACCAGCGCGTGACAACCATGGCGGTGTATGGGTGCGCTGCGTCGCCGCCCTTCCAGCCGCCGCGCCGCCAGGCGTGCCCGGGTCCAGCGTCGTGATAGGGACGCGCAAGGCCGAAGTCGGCGATCTGCAGCTGGCCCTGGTTGTTGATGAGCAGATTGGCGGCCTTCATGTCGCGATGCAGAATCTTGTTCTGCGGAGCTGGCATTGAGCAAGGCGCACGAGGAAGAAGCACACCGCTCGACTGACCTTGTGCATGAACAGCGTGCCCTCGAGCAGCTGCTTCATGTACAGCTTCATCTGCGACGGGCTGAAGGTGATGCTCGGGTTCTCGAGCATGCCGTTCAGGTCGTGGTCCATGTACGGCTCGACCATGTAGATCTCGGACGGCCGGCGGGCCTCTGGCGCGGGCCGGAAGGCCATCTCGATGACGGGCACGATGGCCGGATGCGAGAGGCGCTTGAGCAGCTTGATTTCGCGGATGGCAGTCAGAGGGAACTGTGCCGAGCAGCTGGAGTCAGAGCAACGCGCAAGGGCTCAGCGCGCTGATGCTCACGCCATCCTTGTCGTCGTGGATTGTCACGCGCTTCAGAGCGACGTCCGCGCCCGTGATCTTGTGACGAGCACGCTCCACCACGCTGTGGACACACCGCATCAGCAAGAGCGAGACATCCGCACCGCAGCGCACTCACCCGAACGTGCCCTGGCCCAGCTTCTGTCCGACGTCGTACATGTCGATCGAGCTGCAGCCCGTGAACTTGCGCTGGTCCAGCGGCACGCGCGGCGGGCGCAGGCGGCGCAGCGCACGCCCGCTGATGCGCGGACCGGCGCCGGGCACGCCGTTGCCTGCAGCTGAGGCCTCTGGCGGCGCACTCGTGCCCGCCTCGACGCCCATCTCGACGTCGCCGTCTTCGTCCATGGCCGGCGGCGGCGGCGGCGGGCTGGGCTCGGGCGGCGGCGCATCTGCCGGCGGCTGTGGAGTCTCGCGCTCGGGCGCTTGAGACGCAGCATCTGGAGCTGGCGGAGGCGGCGGCGAGGTGTCTCGCTTCACAGACCTGGCACGCGGCAGCTCATCGGCACGCGCTTCGGCGCCGGAATGCGACGCCGGCTCTGCAGCTGGCCGTAGTGCAGCTGGCCCAGTCAGCGGGCCTGCATCAACGCGCGAGCTGTGCGACGTAGCGCCGTTACGGCCATCAGGGTGAGGCCCAGACGGAGGCGAGGCTGGTCGGACAGGGAGCGGCGAACGCCGCGATCTGTCGTCCTCGAGCCTGCCTGATCCTTGGCGCGTATCCATCTGCGGAGCCAGCGGCGGCGGCGAGGCGCGCCGATCCGCAGGACGCCACTGTTGTGCGCCTCTGCCCGGCGGCGAGCGCTCGCGAGCTCTCGAGCCCCAGCCGTCCGAGGTGCGGTTCGCACGGGCTTCAGAGTCGGACGATCGGTGATCAAAGGACGACGGATGGCTGTCGTACGAGCGCCGGTCGTCGCGTGCTCCGGGTGCGCCATAGCGGTCGCGAGGAAAGCGCGAAGAGTCGTCAAGGTGTCGCTGGCCCCAGCCATTGTTGCTGGCGTGGTCGTTGCCGTTGGAGCCTGATCGCCGCGCGTACGGCTCGGGCTCGAGCGGCGCGTGCGAGCTGCTGGCTGCGGGCCTCCACGAATCACCTGTGACGCCGGGGAGTACAGGCCGCTCGGGGCGACGCCCATATGGCTCGTCCCTGGCCCCAGCACGCTCTCCACGCGGCCCTTCCTCGTGGCGCGACCGCTCGTCGCGACCGATGCCGCGGCCGTGCTCGCGAGGCTCGCGGCTCCTGCTCCGCTCGCGCCGGTCGGAATTGCGAGGCCGCCGGGAGTCGTCGTCGCGCGTCCGGTCGCTCTCGCGGCTGCGCTCGCGCCGCCGGCTGGCCTGGCTGTCGTCGCGCACGGCATCCCGACCTGCGCGATCGCGGTCCTCTCGAGCGTGGCTGCTGCGACGCTCCGAGGTGCCCTCGCGCCCGCCGTCCCTGCTGCGGTGTTCACTTCGCTCGCCAGAGACTTCGCCGCTCTCGCGCCGCTCGCGCTTCTCTGAGCGGTCGCTGCGCGGCTCGTCACGCCGGCGTTCGCGGTCGTCTCGCTCGTATCGATTCGAGGTGCGGCGCTCGCGAGTGCGCTCGTGCTCTCTGCTTCCAGAGTCGCTCGGCCGAGACGAGTGCTCGCGGCGCTCCTCGTCCCGACGCTCGTAGCGAGGCTCACCGCTGCGACGGCGCTCCCGGTCGTCGCCGCTGCGGCGCCTGTCTCGCTCTGAGTCGCGGCGATCAGCGCGGCCCTCCGATGCCTTGCTCGGGCTCGTGGCCCTGTCGCGTGCTTCGCCGTAGCTCAGCGACCCCCTCCTATCCGAGGCCGGAGCGTCGCTGCGAGGACGCACGCGCCGCTCGTCTGCGTCGGCGTCACGATCCGGCCGCGCACTTTGTCGGCGCGGCGACGGGTCCGATGACTTGCGTGGCGGTGAGCGGCTCCGCTTGGTGCTGTCTTCGGCTGCACGGCTTGAGGCTGCAGCGTGTGCCAGCTCGCGGCTTGGCACCCGCGAGCTCTCTGCTGGCGCAGCCGTGGCCGGCTGCGACTCGAGGACGGCATCAACCGGTGCAGGTGGCTCGGGCGCTGCAGTCTGCTGTGGCGGCAGCTTGGCTGCGACAGCTGCTGGCGAGGCGGTGGCCGAGTCGCCCCTGCGCTGCGCCGCGCCGCGGATCGACATGACCGTCACTGGCGCGCTGCTCCCGGCACGCGGCGTCGGGGCCTTTGGCGCTGCCTCTGCGTCGCGGCTGGCCATATGTGCAGCTCCAGACACAGCGCTGCCCTCGCCCGCCTGCGAGGCCGCTGCGGCTGGCGAGGACTCTGCGGCGCGCGTCAAGCTGCTGCCGCGGCTGGCGACGCCGGCGATGCGGTGTCCCGTGCCAGCGCTGCTGCTGCTGCTGGCCGTGCCGGGGCGCGAGCCAGGCTGCCGAGGCGGCGTGCGCGGCATCAAGCGCTGAGTGGCACGGAGAGGGTGCGGCACACACGCGGGAAGAGGGAAGCGTGCGTGGAGGAGTGGTGAGTAGTGAGAGGGCCTGGAAGTGTCGCGCCGCGGCATGCATCGCAGCCGCGCTACGGCGGCGGCGCCGCTGAGCCCTGTGCCGCGGCCGCGCGACGCGGGAGCCCACGTGACGCTCCAGCCACCTCGCCTCTTCGGCGCCTTCAGCCAGCATCACTGCGCTCTGCGCTTGCATCCTAGGTGGCAGCAGAACTCGTCGGCTGTCGGTCTGGGATCGCTCTTGCATCGGCTGCCTACCTGGCAAGGGCAACGCTTCCGCGGCGAGCCTCGATGCTCCTGAGCTCGTGAAGCAGGCCCAGACACAGCAAGCCGAGCGGACCGGGGCTAGCTCCGCCCGGTGCCACTAGACGAATGATCGTGCAAGCTGCCGCATCTGGCTGTGGTCTTCTGACGAGGAGAGCCCTTCAGCTTGGCGAGACGGTGGTCGCGAGAGAGGAGGAGCAGGGCAAACGGCGCCGTGCTGAGGGCGCCGATCAGCCGGCGTGGGAGCAGCGCACGTGATCGGACCCCTCCACGACGAGGCGCTGCCCACTGCCTTGCACGATACGTCACGCTGCAGATGCAGCCCCGCTCGATGAGGGGCGGAGGAGGAGCGGGCGGCGGAGGGCGGCGCGCCGCGTGCGCCACGCACGTTGGGCACGGACGCGCATCCGCTGGCGGCACAGCAGGACCCTTCTGCTCGAAGAGGCAGGCAGCGGCAGACGCTTTCAGCTCAGTCAGCACTCGCAGCGTTGAAGGCGCGAGGGGGGCAGGGTGCTGTGCTGAGCGCTGGCTGTGCTGGGCAGCGCGTGGCCCGCGCGCGCCCAACACCCACGCCACGCCCGCGCCCCCCTGCCTTCCCGACCACCACCCCTCCAAGCCCATCATCCACCATGGTTTCCACCCGCGAACTTAAGACTGAGAGCACCTCGCGCGTCGGCCTCGTGCGTAGTGCCGCGCAGCAGGACACTCTGGCGCGCCGAAGCTGACCACCACTCCACAGGGCCTCGCCCGTGCGCTGCTCACGCCCGACACGCGCTCGCTGCACCTCTTCGCCTTCGGGTGCGTCCAGAGCGTGCTGCTCTGCCGCCGCAATCGCTCACACTCGCCTGCAGCATCTCCACGGGCGCCGCTGTCTGGCACACGCTCATCTCGGCCCCGGCCTCGTACAAGAACCTGCCGCGCCAGTCCTTCGGCAACCTGCAGGCCGTGCTCCTCCCCTCCGTGTTCGGCGTCCAGGCCGCCGCTGCCGGCAGCCTGCTCTTCTCGTTCCTGCGCGAGTACCCCATCGTCTACCACCGCTTCGACCTGCTCGACGTCCACTGCTGGCAGGCCGTCACGCTCCTCACGACGACGGGCCTCAGCCTCTTCAACCTCCTCGTCGCCACGCCCACGGCCACCAAGATCATGAACGACCGCCACCGCCAGGAGCGCGCCGAGGGCAAGGACTTCTCGGACCCGTCGGTGCGTCGCGAGACGATGCGCTGAGCTTTTCACTCTTGCTGACCTCCACTTGCAGGCCTCGGAGAAGATGAAGAAGCTCAACGTCGAGTTCGCCAGCGCCCACTCGCTCTCGGCCACGCTCCAGCTCTTCGCCATCGGCGGCCTTGTCGAGTACGGCCTCTGGCTCGCCAAGTACGGCCTCGGCGAGATGTCGCTGTGCGTGTGCAGTGGATGTAGCTTCAAGTGTGGCCTTGTGCTGACCCGCACTCCCTCTGCAGCAAGCGCGTCGTCCGTTCGTAAGCGTCGTCAGTGTATCTCTAATCCACCTGCGTCCGTTTTGTGCCGTGAAGGGAAGAAGAAATGCAACACCATCGCCCTCCGTAGTCCTCTGCATCAGTCTGCGTCTGACAGCCGCGCCACTGGTAGTTCTATGATACGATTCGCCTGGCGGTCTACGTGCGGGGACATGCCCGGCGGCGTTGAGAAGGGCGGCCGGGCGACGATGGGGGCGTGACTGATGTGTGATGAGGAGTGGGCCGGGACGTGCGGCCGGCGCACGGCCAGGAGCGCACGGCGTGTGCCGGGCTCGCTGCGGCGATGTGTGGGTCGTGAGGTGGACATGGAGGGGCCGGGAAGCTCTAAGTTTTGCGTGAAGGGAGGGGAAAGGGAGCGAGGCGCAGCGCGTCGCAGCACCCAGTCGCAGGCGCTGCTGGCTCGGCTGCTTAGCCGTCGCCGCCCTGCATGGCAAAGGCGCCACGCTTGGTGCGGGCACGGCGCATGCGCATGCCCGCCGTGCCGTCGAGCTCGTCGGCGGGCGGCGTGAAGCCCATGTAGGCCTTGGGCTTGGGCGCCGGCGGCGCGCGCGGCGTCGTCGTGCCCGACGTCGCGGCCGGCGTGACGCCGCCAGACGTGGCGGCCTGCGCCGCGGCCGTCGTGGGGCTCGGCGGCGGCGACGGCTGGAAGTCGTCCTGCAGCGTGTAGCGCATACCGATGCCGTCGCCGTCGGCCTCGCCGTCGGCGGCGCGCGGAGCGGCGGCGCTGCCCTCGTACGTCGGCGGCAGCTGCGCCGCGTCGTCGGCCCAGTACACGATCGGCTGGTTGGCGGCCGTGAAGCGCACGCCGTGCTTCTTCATGTAGCTGTGCAGAACGGCGTCAGATGCGAGCCCTGCATAACCCGCGCGCAGCACTCACTAAGTCAGCGCGGCAAAGAAGGCATTGCGACGCGCCCAGCGGGCGCCCCAGTCCTGCCTGCGGAGTGGGGGTCAGTGCGCGTCCATAACCATCCATTCGTCGCTTCCTCACCAGTTGGCGCGCTGCGTCATTCCTATCGTCACCTCGATGGAGCGCATGTAGTCGATCGACTGCGGCACAATGGCCGTGGACGGCTCGAACATGCGCTCCGGCTCCGTCTGCAGCCAGTGGATGAGGTCGGCCTGCACGGCGTCGAGCGTCTCGAGGGGCGTGTCGTAGGCGACCTGCATCGTCGCGCTCTCCCACTGGTAGCCCGAGCGCCGGTAGTTGACGATGAGCATCTGGGAGAGCAGCTCGTTGGCGATATAGATGTTGGTGCCGTTCCAGAGCGTGAACTCGGAGGAGAGCAGCGACATCTTCTTGACGCTCATGACATCCTCGCCCAGACAGATGCGGTCTCCCGTGTCGTAGGGGTGCGTGACCTATTAACAAGCCGGGTCAGCACAGGGCTCTCACGTGGACACGGGACGCTCCGCTCCGCTCTGCATCAGCGTCGTAGGATTCGAGACTAACGAAGATGCTGCAGATCGCGCGGTGTAAGCCAGTGCCTCGCAACAGCGCGGCGCAAAGGTACCCACAAGACTATCGAATCGAAGACGTTGCTGAAAGTCTCTGTAGGGAGAAAGGGGGGGGGGGGGAGGTCAGTCCAGGTCCGGGTGAGAGCGCGCCCGCGACGCGCGGCACGGCGCTGCCTCGGCGGCGACGACGATGCAGCGGAGCTCATCAGCGCCTCCGAGCCTCGAAGCAGGCCGTGATCGAGAAGAAGCTGCAGCGCATCGGCCAAATTCGGTAGCGCACCTTTGAAAATGAAGGCACCGGCTATGGCCAGTGAGTAGAAGGTCGTGAGAGAGCTGCCCACTTCTATGTTGAAGATTGCAAGGCCGACGAAGAGCAGGATGATCGCCGCGATGCACAGCAGGATGCGGTCGAGCTGCACAGACGTGTCAGCGAGAGGCCGGGCAAGCAGCAACAGCGCACTCACCTGGTTGACGGCGTGGTGCACGTCTTGCATGGAGCGCGTGAGGAAGCGGCGCTCCTTGTACGTCGAGATGATGGTCGTCTTGATCTCCGACGCCGAAATGTCCCCGTTCGCGTCCCGATCGAAGATGGAAAATGCGGCGCGCGCCTCCTCGGGCGTCTTGAAGGCGGCATTGAAGTCGCTCGGCACGAGATAGGAGCGCTTGTGGTGCCCGCGGAATGCCGTGAAGATGCTGCGCGCCAGGCGCTTGGCCTCGGCCGGCGAGTTGACGTCGGCGGCGACCTGGCCCACGCTCGACTGCTTGAGCAGGTTGAACGGATCGTCCATGGCGATGCGCGCCAGCTGGCTGGCAGTGGCGGCCTTGCTGCGCACCGTGCTCGCGCCGTTGGCGACGGCCCGTCCGACGGCCGTCTTGGGCGTGGACGGCGGAGCGCTGCGCGACGTGCCGTGTGCCGGCAGCGTGCCGGCGGCATCGTCGGGAGTGGGCATGACCGTCGGCGCCGGACGCTTCTGAGCGTGCTTCTTGCTCCAGAAGCCGCTCTTGCCGCCCGAGGTGGAGCGGGGCGTGGCGGCGCCGCCCTCGTGGTCGCCTGCGTACTCGTCCTCGACGTACGCCATCATCGGCGAGCGGCCAGGTGTGCGGGCGCCGGTGCGCATGCCAAAGGTGCTGCCGGCAAGGCCGAACGTGCTGCCGGCCTTGCCGTGCGTTGGGTACAGCTTCGGGCGGTAGTCCTTCAGGCGGTCGACAGTCTCGAGGGCCTTGGTGACCTCGCTGATGCGCTCGGCAAACGCAGAACGGTGGAACGAGAGCGCAATGGACCTGCGCGCAGATGTCAGTCTGTGCCCTGCGCTGCCGCGCCCCGCACACTCACTTGACGAGGATCTGCTCCACGCTGATGATCAGGATGAGAAAGAAGAAGAACTCGACGACCTGGTAGATGCGGTAGAGGTACGCGGCGCGCGACTCGGTCGCCGGGTTCTGCTGCGAGTAGAGACCCCAGATGCGCCCAAAGATGAGCGCCCAGCTGCCCCACGACCATGCGGCGTAGAAGACCATCTTGATCCAGTACTTAATGGCGTCGTAGAACTCGGCAAACGAGAGGATGCGCTGCGACACGTTGCCCCACGCCAGGCGCACGAGTGCGATGAAGGCGGCGGGCAGGATCTCGACAAAGGCGTGCAGGATCCACGAGACGAACAGGCCGAGCGCGGCCCACGTGAACCAGGCCTGGATGTTGTCCGCCACAAAGTCGCGGTGCGCCGCGTCCGGCGCGCTCTCCTCCACGCCGCCCTGCGGGCGGTACACGTACTGGATCACGATCGCGGGCACGGCGAGCGAGGCGGAGAGGATGAAGTTTCCGGCGAAGCTCGTGAAGAGCCAGCGGATCACTCTGCAGCAGGCACGGGTCAGCACGGGCCCTGCACTCGAGTTGCGCGCTCTGTGTGCACGACTCACTTGGACGGCGCCAGGCGGCCGCGGCGCTTCTTCAGCAGGTCGAGGCGGCGCTGCTCCTCCTCCTCGAGCTTGGCCGAGTCTTCAAGTCCCTCGTCGTCGCTCCAGTCAAAGTCGTCGAACTGCGTGTCCTCCTCGCCCTCGATGCTCGAGGCGTTGCTGTCGCGGCGCGACATGCCGGGGCGCACAGGCGGCGCACCACTGCTGCTCTGCGGCAGGCCGTCGGCAGCAGCCGCAGCGGCGGCAGCACGCTGAAGATCAAGGCGCATGTTGCGCGGCAGGTCGGAGCGTGCGCCGAGGCCCTCGGGGTGCGAGAGGTTGCGCGAGCGCATGTCCGCCAGCGGGTCGGTGACGGCAATACGCGGGCCATTGCGCGGCACAGCGGCGCCGCTGGGCACGACGTGCGGGTGCAACGCCGTCGGCGCTTGACTCGTCGAAGGCGGCGAGGGCGCCTTGCCCTTGTCGAGCGCCGAGTAGGCACTGCTGAGGTCGGTGCGCGACGCGTAGTTGGGCGGCATGCCGGCGTCGCTGGCCGGCGCGCGCGCGTCGGACGAGGAGAGCGAGTTGGAGTGCGAGAGCGAGAGGTCCTGCGCGCCTGCTGCCGCCGCTGGGGTCCCAGCGTGGTGCGCCGGCGCCTCCGGCTGCAGCGCCTGCTCGTAGAGCTCGTGGGCGTCGTGGCGCGCCAGGTGCGGCTCGCTGGGCCGGTACGGCGGCGAGGCCGGGCCGAGGGCGTCGTACACCGCCGCGGCGTCGGCGGCGGCGGCGCGCACGTCGGCGTCGTGCTCGCGCCCGAAGCTGCGGCTCATGCTGCGGCAGGTGCGGGCAAGACGAAGGTGCAGAGGTGGTGCGAGGGTGGGCGAAGGTGGTGGTGAGTGAGCGAGCTCTGACGTGTGTGCGCGAGCTGGACACCGGAGCCGCTTTCCGCGGCGCCGCGCGCCTTCCCTTTTCCCGCCACGGCGCGCGCCCAGCAGCAGCCAAGCCAAGCTCGCGGCCTGCCTGCCGCGCATCGGCTCCGCCGCGCCTGCACCTGTGACGCTTCGGCTCCTAAACCCAACGCACACACTGTAACCCTCGCACCCTCGTGCTTCCTACCTGCGCCGCACCGCAGCATGCGCAGAGTTGCCTGCTCGGTCTGCGCTGTCCAGCGGCGTGCCTTGCAGCGCAAACGGGGTGCCGGCGTCGCGTGGCTGTGGCTGCGAGGCGGATGCTGCACACGCTCGGCGTTCAACCGGTGGGCGGTTTTGCCGCGGCCGGGCAGGCGGATCGCTTGGCAGCATCGCAGCGCATCACGTGCCGCAACTAGCCCCTGACGCGCCGCGCGGCGGGGCGTCGGGCGTGGAGGGGCGCGGCCGGGCGTGTTGATTGTAGGATGGGATAGGTCACTCTGCTGGGGCCGGCGGCAGCTGCAGCGCTGCATCCATCTCACAGCGCCGCTTTGCCTCCGCTCTTCGCACCTCATCTCCCTCCTCTCGCAGCTGTCGCTGCCGCTGCCTCTCGACCGCAGCAACCCTCCACACATCCACCATGGCCTCGCCGTGGGCGCCTGCGCCGCACCCCGTCGACCACGCCGGCTACGTCGACTACCCCGCCGAGCCCGCGTCGCCCGGCGCACAGCCCTCGTCGCCCGGCCGCCGCGCGCTGGCGTGGTTCAGCGGCAAGGGCAGCAAGGCGAACTCGCGCTCGCGCTCGCGCGACAACGACGCTCGCAGCCGCTCGGCGTCGCCGCGCACCGACGGCCGCACGCCGAGCCCGACGTTTGTCGTGCGCAACGTCACGCGCCAGCCCGGCGGCGTCAGTCTCGACGCCCAGAGCCCGCAGCTGGCCGACTACCAGCAGCAGCAGTCCGATGGCGCACAGCTTCAGTACAGCCGCTCGCGCAGCCGGCCCGTCGGCGGCGTCAGTCTCGGCGTGCCGCCGGGCGGCCGTGGCGGCGGCACTGGCTACGGAACAGCCACCAGCAGCAACGACGGCCGGCCAGAGGGCATCGAGCGCGGCCGGACTGGCAGCGCTGAGCGCGGTACCTCGCAACAGCAGCAGCACGTCAGCCCCACACGCACCGGCAGCGGCAATGCTGGCGGCATCGCGCGGCCAGCCAGCCCCGGCGCCATGACCGCAGGCGCGTTCCGCAATAGCGGCCGCATCAGCCCCGGCCCCATGAGCTGGGCGCAGCAGCAGGCGGCCGCCGAGCAGGCGCGCTTCCAGAGCGGCGGTGGTCCGCGTGAGATGCGACAGCAGGGCGATCGCAGTCCGGCACGCACGCCAGCAGGCCCCCGCACCGCGCCTGGCGGCTTCTCCAGCAGCCCGTCGCGCAGCCCGCTCTCCAGCTCGCCGCTCGCTCCGCACGTCAGCGCCGTGCATGCGGGTGGCAGCAGCAGCAGCCAGCCACAGCATCAGCAGCAGCACTACGCCGTGCCGCGCAACATCGACATGCGCAACGGTCCACCTCCAGTGATCCCGCTCGATGGCATGCCCAGTCCGATCTCCATTCCGCGCCCGCTCGACTCGCCCGGTCGCTCTCCGCTCGGCACGCCGTCACCGGGCCGCTCGCCTGACGGACGCGCGCAGAACGCCGGCGGCAACAGCCCTGGCATCGGCGGCGGCGCAGGCCGCTGGATGAACAAGCTCTTCTCGCGCTCGCCGCGCGCGGCCTCGCCCGCAGACGACACGTACGCCGGTTGGGGTCGTCAGCCGAGTCCGGCGCTCGCGGGCGCGCAGGATGAGGGTTCCGGACCGACGCCGTACGGTATTCCCTCTGGCGTCTGGGGCGGCAACCGGCGTGCGCAGCCGAGTGACGACGAGCGCGAGGCGGCACTGCTGCGCGAGCGCAGTCAGCGCGAGGCGGCGCGCATCGTCGATGCCGAGCGCCGCGCCATCATGGAGCGTCCCACACCTGCGGCCTACGACCCAAACACTGACCGGCCATTCGTGCCGCGGCAAGCCGTTGATGATGAGGACGCCGCTGATGAAGACGTGGGCTTGGTGCGCGAGACGCGCAGCCCACCTGGACGCAAGCCGGTGCCGCGCTTCCACGAGACGCCCGACGTGGAGGAGCTGCGGCGCATGAGCCTCACGACGCGCGAGAGCGTCGCGCAGCAGCTTGATCCGCACGACGCGCTCAGTCGCCTCGAGGGCCGTCTGACGCCTGCACAGCAGTGAGTAGTGTTCAGAGCCGCCTGTTGCGCACGTCGCTGACAGATGCTGCCCAGGATCATCGCCGAGACACGTTCGCGCCATCTTGCCCGCGAGCGGGCCGAGGCCGAGGCGGCGGCGGGCGGCAGCGTGCCGGCGCAGGTGCAGCGCGGCTTCGAGGTGGGAGAGCACATCAAGGACGCCTCGTCGCGCGCACCGACGCTCCCAGCCAAGTCGCCCGCGCCGTCGCAGCGCCAGCCGTTGGAGGCTGCGGCGCCCGAGGTGATCGAGACACCAATGCGACGCAAGTCGACCAAGCGCGTGGCTGCGCCATCTGCAGCTGCGCCGAAGGCCGCCGAGTCTCCGCAGCGGCGAGCGGCGCCAAAGCCGGCAGCCGGCGGCGCCGGCAAGGGCCTGTTGCCAGGCGACGGCCCCCTGCCCATGGACATGTCGCTCCCGGCGGCGCTGCAGGAGATGATGATCCGCTTCTACCGCTTCGAGCGCTACTCGGTGCCGCTCATCCGCTCGCTCGAGACGCGGCTGCTCGACATTGAGCGCGACGCGCAGCTGGCGATCAACGGCGACGCCCAGAGCGCCAACTCGGCGCGCGACCGCGAGATGGACCGCTGGGTCGGCCAGATGACCAGCCTCATGCGCCACGAGGTGGGACAGCTCAAAGCCGCTACGCACGAGATCCGCGAGGGCCGCGAGCTGCTTGGTCAGGTTGTCAAGAACGGCGCTGATGGGCCGCCGGGCAGCAGCTTCCGCCCGCGCGTCTTCAGCGGCGCCGACAGCAGTGCGCAGGCAAGCCCGAGCAGCACGCGCGCAGAGACGGGCCAGGTCAAGGCGCCGCCGCTGTCGCCGATCAAGACGAAGAACCTGGAGGAAGACGACCGTGTGCCTGAGCTTGGCTCCGCACGCTCGCCGATCACGGCCGAGCAAGCTGGCCACGCTGCGCGCACGAACAACATCTCTTCGGCCTCGTTCCAGAGCGCTGTGCCGCGCGGCAACGCTGCTCCTGTCGACCCGCGCCTCGGACTGCCTGCTGGTGCCGCACCGGCGCTCGACAAAGACGAGGGCAAGAGCGCGCATGGCAAGACTGCCTCATCCAGCAGCGGAGCGCGGCGCGAGCGCAGCACGAGCCCCGGTGGCCGGCCGCGCTTCACGAGTGCGCTGGGCGAGCCGATGCAGAGCGGACGCATCTCGCCGCTGGAGCGGCGCTCGGCGAGCGACGAGGCTCCACTCGAGCCGCCGGCGCCCGGACGCTTCGCCATGCCCGGCGCCGCTGCTGCTGCCGCTGGAGCGCGTGTCTCGGCTGCCAGCCCGGCGCCGAGCGACACTGCCTCGAACGCCAGCGGTAGCGTCTCGATGCGCTCGAACAAACGCGGCCAGAGCGTCGATGAGCGCCTCAAGGCACTTGTGGCCGACCGACAGATGCGCACGCCGTCGCTGCAGAGCCAGTCTTCCATCGTCGAGACGCTCGAGGGCGACGAGAGTACTGACGCAACGTCGATGACCAGCACGCGCCTCGGCAACGACTACCCGCTGCAGGAGGCCAAGGAAGCCGAGCCGCAGCCCATGCCGACGCCCAAGCGTGCGCTGGTGGCGCCGACGCGCTCGCACACGCAGCAGCCTTCGGACTCGTCGCAGGCGACCTTCGTGCCTGCTGGAGCTCCGCGGCGCAGCACGCTCATGGCGCCCGCCGACACGGCGCCGTATCTCGGGGGCCGCACATCGCCTACGCCATCGTCGCACTCGGCCCACTCGCCGAACGCACGCCGCTCTGTCAGCCCAGCGAACCTGGTTCCGGGCGCCAGCGCCAGCATCAAGACGGCACCGCACGCCAGTCAGGGCCTCCGGGCGCGCGCTCAGAGCTACCTGCAGAATGCCGACTCCTCGGGCGCCGCCGCGACGGAGAGCCCGCCTAGCAGTCCGATTCCAGCCACCTCGTGGATCTCGAGCCGCAGCGGCGTCTCGCCGTCCAAGCTCGCAGAGACGACGACCGCCTCGACGTCGCGCTCCGCATCGCCCGACAAGCTGCGTCTGAAGAGCTCGAGCGGCGCAATGAGCCGGCCTGCCAGCCAGTACGGCCTCAGCCAGCAGAGCCCGGGCACGGCGAGCAAGCCGAGCAGCCCGACCAAGACCGAGCCGCTGAGCATCAAGAAGAGCGCCGGCTCGCTGCGCGCCCGCAGCGTCAACACGACGCAGGGCGCCGGCTCTGCCATCAGCGTCGCACCCGCCAGCCCCGGCGCCGGCGCACGCAAGGGCGTGCCCGTGGGCAAGAGCCTGCGCGAGCGCGCCGCCTTCTTCGAGTCGGCCGCTTGAGCCGGCCGGCCCGCCTACTTACGAGACTTCCGACTTCTTCATCTTGCCTGATCTACTTACCTTGCGCCATTGACCCTCATGTCCGCGTCCTCAGAGCCGTGCTCCGTATCATCTGACATTCATTATACAAAGCAGTCGTGAGAGGCGTCTGCGAGTCGCACTCGGGCGCGCAGAGCGGGAATAGAGGGGTAGAGCATCCGGTGGCGTGGCGTCTAGGCGAAGTCCACGTCGTCTTCGTCGTCTGCGCGTCGGGTGGGCGCATGTGCGAAGAGCGCGGCCGAGTTGCGGACGGGACTGGAGCCAGGCGCATTCCACATGCCGCCCGTGCTGCGTCCGAGGCCGACCGAAGGAAAGCCGTTGCCGCTGCCACCGCGCTCGGCGGCCTTGCGCGGAGATGAGCGCGGCGCTGAGCTCGAGCCGGCCGACGACGTCTCGGCGTTGCCGGCACGGCGCTCTCGGTAGCTCTGCTTGGCGCGCGTCGAGGCTGGCGGCGGCATGGCGGCGGAGTCGGGGCTGAGCAGCGGCGAGTGCGAGGATGGCAGTGGCGGCGGGACGACGCTGTCGAAGCCACCGGCCGCAGCGTCTGCTGCATCCTCGTTGGCGGCAATGTCGAGCTCGCGCACGCCGCCGAGGACCGGGCTGCGACCGCCGGCGGCGCGCGGAGCCAGGCCTTCACGAGGCCGGCCAGCGCTCGACGTAGTGCTGCGGCTGTCGCGCCGCTCGTGCCGGCGAGGCCGGTCTCGGTAGCTTGGCCGTCCGGCAGCACTGCTGCCGCCTTCATTCGAGCCGTCGGCTGAGCGAATGCGCGCATCATCGCTCAATGGAGCGCCGCCGAACGCGAAGCTCGGCGACACCTGGTAGCGCGGGCCTGTTGCCGAGCCACTTGCGCGGCTTTGAGAGCCGCTGCCGCCGGAGCCGGCGCTGCGTGAGCCGCCGAATGCTGCTCCGGAGCGCGGTGCACGCCGCTTGGAGAAGCCGAGGCCGGCGATGTCTGCATCCTCCTCGTCTTCCTCGACCTCGCGGTTCAGCGACTCGTCCTCGCCGACGATCGGACTCGGCAGCGCGGGCAGGGCGGGCGGCGAGAGGTAGCTGGTGGGCTCAGGCTCGCTGCCGGCCGATGGCGGCTCGTGGTAGTAGTGGTGGTGGTGCACGACTTCCTGCGGCAGCTCCTGCGGCTGGAAGTGCCCGTTGCCGGCCTCGTACTGCGCGTCGTAGAAGTGCTGCTGCCGCGAGTCGCGGTACTGGCCGTACTCATCGTGCTCGTAGCCGTTCTGCTCGTAGCCGTAGCCCTCGGGGCCGCTTGCGAGGCCCCAGTGCTCCTGCGGTGCGCGCCGGCTTGCGTGCGCGCCATAGCTGCCAGGATACTCGTCCGGCTGCTCGGGTGCATCTGCAAACTCGAAGCCGCCGGCGGCTGCCTCAGCTTCTGCCTCGGTCTGGTAGCGCGAGCGTCCGCCTTCGTCGCGCACTGCCGCCAGAGCTGCGCGCGCTGCTCGCCGCTCGGCTCTTCGTCGCTCCTTGGCGAGCGCCGCAGCCTCGAGGGCCTCAGCTTCGGCAGCTGCCGCGTCGGCCTCTTGCTGCGCCGCCAAGGCAGCCGCCTCTTCGGCCTTGCGCACAGCCTCTTCGTCGGCGGCCTTGCGTGCAGCTTCAGCCTCGGCCTCAAGGGCAACGCGGCGCTCAGCAGCCTCTTGCTCGGCTTTCGCTGCCGCTGCCTTGGCCTCGGCTGCGCGCTGCGCCTCCTCGTCGGCCAGGCGCGCCCGCTCTAGGGCCGCCTTAGCCTCTGCCTCTGCTTGCCGGCGAGCCTCGGCAGCGTCCTCCTCCTGCGCCTGCCGTTCGAGCTCAAGCCGCCGCTCTTCTGCGGCAGCTGTGGCTTTGGCGGCGGCTGCCTCCTCCTCTGCAGCTAGACGCGCCTCTTCCTCGGCCTGCTTGCGCAGCTCCTCCTCGGCCGCAACGCGGGCGGCCTCTGCCTGGCGCTGCAGCGCCGCGCGCCGCTCGGCGGCCTCTGCGAACTCGGCGGCCTCTCTGCGCTGAATCTCTGCCTCCTCGGCCTGGCGCTGTGCCTCCTCAGCCTCGAGCAGCGCCTGCGGGTCGCCGATGCCGCGTATCGCCGCGTCGGGTAGCATGCCGGCGTCCTCGTCGCCGCTCTCGCCCAGGCCGCGCAGGCTGTCGTCGAGGCTGTCGGTGCTGTCGGCACGGCCGTGGCGCGAGCTGCTTCCAGGCCGTGTCGGCTCGCGCGTCTGGATCTGGCCCTTTGCGCGCCCAAAGAGGCCGCACGCCATGAGCTGCTGGGCGCCGTGGCCCCAGTCGCGCGTGCGGCGGCCGCGCCGGCGCCGGCGCGAGCGGTCGTTGATGTTGCTGAGCAGCGAGATGGCGTCGCTGTCGTCGAACGTCTCTTCGGAGGGCAGCAGGCGCTGACGCACAGCGTCGGCATCGTCGTCGGGCGCGGCGCCGAAGCAGTAGGAGAGCGGCGGCGGCAGCGCGTGGAGGTAGCTGCCGAGGCGGGCAGCGAGTGGCGCCGGTGGCTGCTGCTGCTGCTGCGCCGCTCGCGGCATGCTGGGGCCGGGGCGCGACATGGCGGGCGGTGGAACGGCGCGCCGTCGCAACACGGCGGGCGGTGGTGGTGGTGCGGAGGCAGCAGTCGTGGAGCCGGCAGCGTATCTCCACCTTTCAACGCCCGGCAGCGAGCGGCCCGGGCGAACGGCTTGGCTCCGCCGTGTGTTGCACTCAGACTCGCCTCGGCGCGCCACGCACGAGACCCGCGCATCGACGCGTCTTGCGCCCAGTCGCTCTCGGGCGCGCTGGCCGCGGGGGCTGGTCTTGGCCCTGGGAGCGCACGGCCTCCTTCTGGGACGGCACCTCGAGCTCGAGCTTGCTCCCCATCCCCTGCCGCCGACGCCCATCCACGCCATCCACCACCTTCACGTCCTGCTGCAGTCCGCCGCCTCACACTGCGGCTGCCGGCCCTCACGACTCCGAACGACCCGCTCCGCCCCCCTCACGCCCTCTGCCCGGCGGCCTGAGCGCGTGCTGCCCGTGTGCTTCTCGTGCTCTGCCCTTGCATCCGCTCTGCTCGAGCCCCGCCGCGCCGGACCATCTTCACGCCCTCTTCTGCCACACCATCCGCTAAGCGTGCACCAGCATGGGTGACTTTGTCTCGCAGCCCGAGTTCTTGTGCGTGCATGCTGTGCCGAGGCCCCGTCGCCGGCGCGTCGCGCACCTCCACTGACGCCCAAGCGGCCCGATCGCAGTGAGGTGGAGCTCGGAGAGAGCCTGATCTCGCGGACAGAGACACTCGGTGAGAGGCGCCCGCTCGTGCTGGCGTCGCTGCAAGCGCTGATCAGCGGCCCCTGCAGCATCCTTCCGCGAGCTTGGTCCGCCGGACCTGTGCCACGTCATCAAGTCTGGGCGAGCTGCCAGCGCCAAGGATGTGAGTGCGCGCCGAAGCCCGTCTGACAGGTGGCAGAGACTGACTTGCATGACGGCAGATCGGCTCGTATCACTATGTCTCGGGCGTGGACGCGTCCAGCTCCGCAGCGCTGGCTGCCTACATAAACAGCCTGACGTATGAGCTCGAGCAGAGCCAGGCATGGTTCTCGACGGGCAAGAGCGCGTACAAGCTCAAGAGTGGAGCATACTGGTGAGTCGCGCGCTGGCTCGTCGCTCTGGCCCTCCTAGTCTGCCTGGTGGATGGGCATGCGTGCGATGAGGTGCTGACGCGAGCCTGGCAGCTGCTTCAACGCCTTTTCGCGCGTCGACGTCCGTGTGGAAGTGCGCATACCCGGCTCCGTGGACGCATATGTCGTTGACCTGCGCGGCGAGCGGCACGAGCCGACGCCCGAGATCTGGCAGGAGGTGTACCTCTCGGCGCTGCTGCGCGCCATCCTCTACGCCGACGATGCCAACTACCGGCTGGCGGGCTACCGAAAGCTCGACCCCATCAGCAGCCCAGATGCAGAGCACCGCTTCCTGCAGGCGGCCGAGAACCTCTTCTTTAAGGGTGAGTCTGCGCAACGGGGCGAGCGCGGCAGCGCGTGTCGAGCTCGCAGCTGTTTGCGTAAGGAATCGCTGGCTGTGGGCCCGAGCACCGCTCACCTATGCTCGTCTACAGGCTGGCAGCTTGGGTCAGATCCCGAGATCCAGGTCGCGACAGTAGTGTCGAACCACCTGACCGCGGGCATCCTCAAGTACTTTGGCGATGCGCACCGCTACGAGCAAGCAGTGAACCTGTTCGAGAAGCTCTACGCACGTGCGCCGGAGGTGGCAGCTCTCGTGGCGCAGGCGTACATTGGCATGAGTGAGTGGAGCTGCGCGGTGCACGAGAGGCCGCGTCGCTGAGAGACATCGCGCAGACGAGGAGGTCAAGGCCGTGCAGATCATGCACCGCGCGATCCAGGAGACGCCGCAGAGCTACGCGCTGCTGCACATCCAGGCCGACTTTCTGCGCACCAAGGGCAAGACGGAGTGGGCGCTCAAGCTGGCCAAGCAGGCCGTCAACTGCGCGCCGAGCGAGTTCGTCACGTGGGCCAAGCTCACCGAGTGCTACATCGAGCTCGGCGAGTGGGAGTCGGCGCTCTTCACGCTCAACTCATGTCCGATGTTCACGTACAACGAGCGGGACCTGCACCGCATGCCCACGCCGGCGCGCAGCCACCTGCCGGTCAAGGCCTTTATCGCCGAGAGCGGTCTGCTCGACGAGGAGAGTGCGCGGGACAATGAGGTGAGTGCTGCGTGCGTTGCCCATCTCTGCGCCTGCTGATCCCTCTGTCAGGCCGACGTCGCCCTGCTACGGCTGCCGGCGCCTGCCCTGCGCGGCACCTTCGCGCGCGCCTACGCGCTGCTGGCACGGCTCACGAGCCAGATCGGCTGGGACGAGCTGCTGAAGTGCCGAAGCTCCGTCTTTGTCATGGAGGAAGAGTACCGGGCGCAGAAGGCGACGCAGGACACGCCGGCCGCCACGCCGACGACGGAGCAGGTGCCGGAGCAGCACGCGGACGCCGACACCACTGTGGCAGAGTCGGAGACCTCCGACTCGGTCGACCACGGCGGCGAGACGGACATGCCGCCGCTGCCCGTGTCGGACGACACTGCCGACGAGGAGGAGGAGGCTTCGCGGCTGGACCGCAAGCTGAGCCACCTCAACATCTCCAGCCACGCCAACGCCTCGAGCCAGTCGATCCCGACGATCAAGATCTCGACCGAGTCGGACCATGAGCGCGAGCAGCAGGCCATCGAGTCGTACCTCAAGGAGCAGGAGGAGCGGAACGCCGTGCCAGACTCGGGCGCGACAAATGGCCACGCCGACTCGGAAGAGGACATCAAGTCGGATGTGCCTGTGCCGATCGTGCAGGTCGAGGCGCCGCCGCTGGAGAAGCCGGCGCAGGCGCAGGCTAGTGCAGCCCACGCACGGACAGAGTCGCAGGCCCTGGCGGCGGCGGCAACAGATCCTGGCGCGGCGGGCAACGCGCAGGCCGCTGCTGACGCCACGACTGCCGAGCAGGCCAACGACGGCGCGGCGGCGAGCAACAGCTTCTCGTTCACCAACAAGCGGCTGTGCGAGCGCTGGCTGGACAATCTCTTCATGGTGCTGTACGAGGTGAGTGCTCCGCGCGTGGCGTGCTTCTTCGCCGGATCTGACGTGCCTCTCAGGACCTGCGCGTGTACACCATCTGGCGCGCCGAGGTGGCGCACTACCGCGCCCAGTCGCTGCCGTACCGCAAGACGGGCACGGAGTGGGAGATTCTCGGCGAGCTGGCGCTGCGCCTGCACCACAAGGAGGAGGGCAAGGACGCGTTCCAGCGCTGCGTCGACTCCAAGTTCTCGGCAAAGGCGCTGCTGCGCCTGCTTGAGATCTACGCCGAGCAGAAGGACGTGGAGCGCACGCTGTGGACCAGCCTGCGGCTCACTGCCTACCACCACCGGTGCGCCTGCTGGCCCTCGCCTCTGCGCTCACCGCTGACGCAGCCTGTGCAGGTGGTACATGGAGGGCTCCTTCCCCGGCGCCGTGGCCAAGAACCTGTTCAAGCTCATCAAGGAGGTCGGGCTCAGCAAGGTCTCGTACACGCTCGTCTCGATGTCGCCGCCGCCGGCCATTCTGCGTCTGATGCAAAATTGTGCGTTGCGCTGCAGGGTCTGCGCCCCGACGCACAGCTGACCGTCCGTCGCAGATCTCGCCTACGGACAGACCTTCCAGCTTCCCGGCAGCACGTGGTGAGGCCTAGACGCGCATTGCAGGCCTGCTGTTGCCCGGGGCATGCGCGCGCGAGGGCCAGAATTGAGATGTGTCACTGCGTGTGCCGTTTGTACGTTGTGGTGACGTGGAGACAGAGCAGCGACAGCAGGGCCAAGGATGGGAGCTGGACGGACGCGTCCGATGAATGCGCTGCAGTAGTGCACGGCGGCTCGCACTGCTCTTCGAGCTTCCCGATACCAGAGTGAGGGTCTGCGGCGCCTTTGGCTGCCTCCGAGGACGACGGCCTGGCCGCTGTGGGCGGCGCACATGACTTCGAGCGTCGCTGCTCGCATCAGCCCGCGGTGGGCGCGCGAGCGCCTCCCCGCGGCGTGCCGGCCTCCTCGTCGACGTCAACAAGCAGTCGCTCGTACGGTGGGCCCTCTCATGCCCCACTTTCACCTTCAAAATCATCGCAGTGGTACTGTGTAGCTGCACATCGAAGGCTTCGCCCAATTACCACCTGCAGAGCTAGCAAGGCAGGGTTTGTCTGAACCTGGAGAGCTCACAACAAGGGTCATGGCGCTCGCCGACACGCTCGATTGCCGAGTGCACAGCATCTGCCGCTCGGTCATGCGGCAACTCGTCAACCTCCTGCTCCGCAAAGTTGCGAGCGAGAATCTGGGCAAAATCACCTGCAGCGCAGTGCATTCGTGAGCTGTCAGCATCCTGCAGCATCGCAGCGATGGCCTCCTCCTTGAGCCGCCAAGGCCTGTTCCCACGCGCTCCACGCTGCTGCAGCCTGACGTCGCCCAGCCGGCCTCTAGGCAGGCCGAAGGCTCCTCCTCACCATGCGACGTCGTTGCTATCTGCGGCTGCACCGAGTTTCAGAGAGAGGTCCACAGCGGCTCCCGTGCTGGCATGGCCAGAGGCTGCAAGAGACAGGAGAAGGGGCAGCCCTCTCTGGCCGCAGCGCCGCGGGTGGATGTTGGGCCCGCCGCAGCGCACGTGGGCGGCGCTGCCCCTATGCGAGAAGGAGAGCTGCGCCTTCTGCGCCGCTGCGGCGACTAGGCAGCGTCAGGGGCGTGCTGTGTGCCTGGACGTCTGGATGCTAGAACGCTGCGCCTCCTCTGGCCCTTACTACTCAGCCCCCAGCGAATGGGCTCTCTCTCTCCTGCGCGGAACGGCGGAAGGGTCGGCTCAGGAGCCCGTCAGAGGCAGCCGCAGCGGCGCCGCGTGAATTGGGCATCACGTGCCATTTTGCAAATCGAACCAGCCCGCCAGATTCGCACCGGCGGGCGGCGCGCGGTGACGCGGGTGCTGCGCGCCCCGCAGGCCCGCCGCGCTGCTGACCCGGCTGCTGCTGCGCGCGGCGGCCGGCTGACCCTCACCACCATCCCCGCGGCCCTTCCTCCCAGGCCGCACCTCCGTCGTCGCCGTCGCCCGTGCTCCCACTGCGGCATCCGGCAGCCCTCTGCAGCGCGCACTTCTCGCCGTCGCCGCCGCCGCTGCTCTCCGAGCCGCGTGCTGCTGTCGCCTGCGCGTCGCGTGCCCGCTGCGCCGGGCCCGGAAACGTGCGCTCGCCCTCGCGCGTGCGTCCGTCTTGCCGTCCGTTGGGTCGAGTGCAGTCCGCTCGCACTGCCGGGCGCCTGTCTGCGTCTCGCTCGCTCGCACTCGCTGCTCCGGCGTGGACTCTGCCTCGACGACCCCTGGGGCTCCGCACCCATCCGCACCGACGCTGCGCCAGACGCGCCTCACCGCGCCACCTGCGTCGCGCGCCGATCCGCCTCTCGCGCTCTGCGGTGTCCGCATCGTCGAGTGTGTGAGCCAGTGGTCCCGCCTCTGCCTCTTCACGACCCTCTGCCGCTCTAGACGCCTTCATTGGCAGTTCTAAGCCGGCATACAGCGCGCGTGGCAACCGCCTCGCCCTCTGCTTTGTTCCCCTGAAGCGCTCGCGCGCTTCATCTCGGGCGCCCATCGTCACGTCGGTCTCCGATCAGCGTACCTGACGGCGCATCTCTTCGCCTCTTCCGTCTCGCATCCTTCTCTCTACGACTACACGGCCGTGCAGGAGACGTCGCTGCGGCGCGCGCCTTCCTCGGCTCTTCGTCCTCACGGACCGCGACCCGCCTCGATCCACTCGCACGCCTGAACGCGTGCAGTGATCGTGTGTGGCTCGCACGGCTTGCCCACTGCAACCATGGCCGCGTACCATGCAGAGGCGCGCACCGACGCTGGCTACTACCAGCAGCAGGTGCACGCCGCCCAGCAAGCACAGCAGCAGCAGAACGTGCAGGTGCAGGCGCACGCTCATGCGCATGCTCAGGCGCAGGCGCACGCCCACGCGTACGCGACGCAGCAGCATCAGCAGCCCGGCGGACCGGCTGCGGCACCGACGTCGGCGTACCCCGCGCACATGCAGCAGGCGCAACAGCACGGCGCAATGGCCGGGCAGCCTGGCCAGATGGCTGACGGCGCCGGCGGCATCGTCTTGATCGACGCCTACGGCCAGCAGACGGGCTACTGGCCTCCACCGCAGGCGCCGCGCATCTCGGCCGCGGCGGCTCGCGCTGCCAGCATGAATGCGCGGGCGTACTGGGACACCAGCCTGGCTTCGTACCACGCCGCACCCTGGGGCGCACACGATGCCTGGGGCCGCGCGCCGTACCACTCGGCTCAGCAGCAGCAACAGCAACAGCACCAGTCGATGCTTCACCACCAGCTCGCCAAGCTGCAAGGCCCTTACTCGAGCGCTCCTCAAGACGCAGGCTGGCAGGCGTCGCAGCAGCGCCAAGCGCACGCCGAGCAGTACCACCAGCAGGCACAGGCCAACGCGCAAGCCCAGGCGCGCCACGCTGTGAGCTCGGGCTACGCGGTCCCAGCACACCTCAGTCAGGCGTACGATCCGGTCGCCCGACAGACGAGCCAGCCGCAGGCACACGCAGCGGTCGGACAGGCCTACCAGCCGGCCTGGGCTCCGGTGCAGAACCGGCGCTACTCGCAGCAGCCGCAGCAACAGCAGCAACAGCAGCAGCCACTGCCCATCTCGGAGGCATACTTCCAGCAGCAGCAGCAACACGCCGTCGTCGCCGACCCGCACCACGGCAACCCGTCCTGGCCCACAGCAGGAACGCAAGCACGGTGGAACGCGCCTGTCATCGCTGCACCGGTCTTCGGAGAGGCGCTCCCGCCGCAGCCGCCGACGTGGGGCCTGGGCGGCGAGTACGAAGCACAGCGTCGCAAGGCCGCTGAGCTCGCTGCTGCCAACGCGGCGCCTGCACCGCCTCCATCCGCCGAGCAGGCCGCGGCTGCTGCCGCTCCTGCCGACGGTCCGCTGCCGCCGTCGCCCAACACGCTCGACAAGTCCGGCCTGCCGCTCTCGGGCCTCGGCGCCGAGATCATCTGGGGCGCCTGTGCGGCGCTTCTCGAGCCCGAGCTCATCTCGTCGCGCCGCTCGAGCGCAAGCAGCCGCCGCACGTCGAGCTCGATCCAGAGCAGTCCCATGGTGATGACGCCGGTCACGTCGCCGCCTGTGCACGCTAGCAAGAACGGCGACTGGCCGGCCGCTGGGCGCCAGATCAGCAACGACGGCGGAAGCAGTCTGCTGCACCGTCTGGCCGTCGTCGGCGCCGGCAACGGCTCCTCCGACCCGGTCGACAGCTCCGACTCCAGCAGCGCCAGCGCCAGTGAGCCCGGCACTCCTCCGTCCATGAGCGGCTCCGAGATCATTCGCAGTGCTGCGCAGTCTGAGATCAAGCTTCGCGCCGACGGCTCGAAGCTGAGGGGTCTCGGCCTTGGTGGTGTCGGTGCCACTCGCGCCGGCAGTCCCATGGAGTCCTCTTCGCCTGAGCTCAGCTCTGGCTCGGACCGTCGCTCGACTCGCGCAGGCTCGTTCAGCTCCAAGTCGATGGACCGCTCGCGCACGTCCGTCTCGAGCATCCTGCGCCTGATCTCGCCCGACTGGCGCTGGAGCAGCAACGACGACACGCTGCCGTCTCTCTCCGCGCCGGCCTCCACCGAGACCCGTCCATCCGCCGCCACTCGTCCACGCCGGCGCTCGAGTGCGCACGGCTCGCCACACCAGCCCAGCATGAACGGCATCGCTGCGCCCGGCAGTGAGATCAGCCCTGCCTTCCGCCGCTTCGCCCATCAAGTTCTGGCTCAGACCCTCTTGAGCCCGACCGCCTTCCTCCTCGCGCTGCTGTACGCCCTGCGCGTGCCGCACCTCGCCGTCGGCGCCGACGGTGAGCTTGATGCGGAGGCTCGCGAGATCTTCGCCAGTCCGCCGTCGGCAGCGCCGTTCAAGATCTTCACCCTCGGCCTCATGATCGCGAACAGTGAGTCAGCCGCTGGCCTGAGCCCTGGATGCCACTAATATGAGTCTCTGCAGAGCACCTCGACGACCACACATTCACCGCTTCGACATGGCACGACGTCACTGGCATCCCTCTGCTCGAGCTCAACCGCATGGAGGCCTACTTCCTGGCCCGCTGCGGCTTCGAGGTGACCGTGCCTGAGCGCGTGTGGATTGCTTTCCTCAAGCGGCTACGCTCGCGCGAGGAGAACAAGGCTGCCGCCGCCTCGGCTGCCGCACGGCGCTCAAGCGTGCGCAGCACCGCCTCGAGCACCGAGAAGCTGGCGGGCGCCGTGACGCCGGACGAGGCTTCGCGGCGCCTGCTGCTCGCCATCGACGACGCTCTTACCGCGCTTGGCCAGTTCTCGCCATTGCCGTCCGCCGTCACCACCGCCAGCTCTGCCCTCAGCTCTCCGTCGGCCATGAGCTACGAGACTGTTGACGACGAGCCGCGTGACGTCGGCCGCATGCGCCGCCCCACGTCGGCGCTGCAGTTCAGCCACCACCACTGCCGCTCTGCCCCGGCATGCGGCAACACCTTCGCGACGCAGCCAATGGTCGAGGACGACGTCTTCGACGAGGAGGAGTCGCCTTACCGACCACAAGGCGGCGCCTCGCACTCCTCACGGCCGAGCCTCGACGCTTCGCTGGCGCGCTCGAACTCCGACTGGAGCGCGAGCCTGGCCAACCTGGCCAGAGCACCGCACAGCTTCGACCCACTGGCGTCGGTGCGCTCCTCCATCGACGCACCGCTCGCGCCTTCGGTGCTGCTCGCTCTGCTCAACAGAATGTAGTCCGGCTCGCTCAACGCCGGCCGCTCGCCGCACATAACAACACGCCACCCTCTGCGCTCGCTCCGAGACCTCTCTTCGCTCGCTGTCCACTATTCTTCCTGCAGCACGACCTCGCCGACCCTGTTCGCGCCCAGTCTTTCCAGCATCGGTGTCTCTAATTCGCGCTTCCGCCCGCTTCTCGCCAGCCGGCGTGCGCGACATCTTCACTGATCGTCGTCCGCCGCTGTGCCGCTTTTCCGACTCGACCTACTCGTCCCGCCGTCCACGCACGGCTCGATTCCGCTCCCGCACACGTCTCGTCTCACAGCGCGCTCCCGACATATCTCCGCGCACGGCCTCTCGCGCCGGCCCCGAACCCAGCATCTCAGCCCTCGTGCGCTTTGCTGGTGCTTCGACCCAAAACAGCGCGTATCCTACGCACTGCTTCCTGCATCCGCACCCGTTCTCCGGCACGCGCGGCCTTGTGCTTCTGCCGACCGCCACGCCACGTTCATACACTGCCCGCCTTGCGGGCCACGGCGCCCAGCGACGCTCTCTCAGCTCGCGGCGCCCCCTTGCTACTTCGTCACTCTCTGCTCTCTCACTCCACTTCACCTGCACATATATCCGCCCCGCACATTCTGCAGAGCAGGCGCACCCGTCCATGCGGCGCCCTTAGCCGAGGCCGCGCCCTGCGTCCTCGGCAGCAATCCATCTGCTCCATGCCACACTGCTGTCTGCGGCCGTCGTCTGTTCTGATGTGCTCGGGCGAAGCCAGAGTCTCATTGGTCTGCCTCGCTGCCGCTGTCGTCCTGCGGCCCCTCGTCTGCTGGACTGCCAGCGTCGTCCCGCACATCCATGGCCTCGCCTGAAGAGCCATTTGTGGCCTCTGCCGGCGCGGCGCCCTCCTCGGCAGCCTGCTCCTGGAGGACCACTGGCGGCGCCGGCGCAGCCTCGCCCTGCGCCGCAGCAGCAGCCTGTTGGGCGCGCCATGCTGTAGGTCGACCGTGTGAGCCACAATTGCACGGCGACGGAGCGCTGGAGCCACTCACCGTGGGCCATCGCGAGTAGCTTGAACGACGGCTTGCCCTTGCCCTCGTCCGAGTCCGGCCAGAGGAAGTCGTAGTCTGTGCGAGGAGACAGAGTCAGCAGTCGCAATTCGCCGACGTGACGGGCAGACTCACACTCCTCCTGTCCGCCGTCCTCGGTGTCTCGCCGCTTCTTGACGACACGCGGGAACATGGCCTCGACTTTCTTGAGGTTGGCGTTCGCGCCTGCGCCCTCGGCCAGCTCCTCTGCGGTGGCGCCGTGCTCTGCCTCGAAGGCCTTCCACGACTCGAGCAGCAACACGCGCTGGAGATGAGCAGAGTCAGCGAGTGAGAGGCGAGAACGGCTGCGACGCAACGCACCTCTTCTTTGAGGCCCTTGAGCTTGAGATCCTTGTACCCGCGGCTGAAGATCTCGCGTGTGCGCTCCTTGGCTGCGGCTCGCCGCTCTGCCCGCGCCTCGAGCTGTTCCTCTGTGAGCACGCGCGGCGCCTTCTCCGTCTCCTCCTCCTCTTCCTCGTCCTCGTCGCCTTCGTCCTCGTCCTCCTCCTCGGCAATCGCAGAGCCGATCTGCGACAGCGCGTAGGAGATCCAGACCTTGACGTGGCCAGTGCGCTCGAGGAGCCGCTCGAAGAGCTCGCGCACGTTCTCCCACTCGCGCTCGTCGAACTCAAAGTCGATGTAGGCCTTCCAGAGCACCTCCGGCATGTCCATGCCGGAGCTCTGCCGTGTGGCCAGGTCGAAGATGGCGCGTGCGCGCTCAATGTCGAAGAGGTTGCGCTCGAGCTCTGCGAAGCGGATCCAGGTGCGCGAGTTGCTCGCGTCCCACTCGATGGCGCGCTCGTAGATGCGACGAGCACGGTCGAACTCCTTTAGGCTTAGCTCGAGCTCGACGTAGCCGCGGAAGAGACGCTCCTTCGGCGCCATGCCGATGCTCGCGCCGAGGATCTTGCGCGCCGCATTGAGGTCTAGCCGACGCACCTCGAAGTGCGCGTAGTTCAGCCAGAGCTTGGCGAACGTGAATGTCCGGTGCGGCACGAGAGCAATGGCCGCCTTGTACACCTCGCGCGTGCGCTCGTAGTCGAGCGTCTCGACCTCCTCGAAGAGCGCGTAGCAGAGCCAGAGGAAGATGTAGCGCCGCCAATGCCGCTTCTCTGTGCTTGGCGGCACGTTGGCGACGGCGCGCTCGTACACATCCCGCACGCGCGCCCGGGCCGTGCTGACCTCGGGCGAGTCCAGCGCGCCGCCGGTGGACACCAGCGAGCGGTATGCGTCCTCCTCCAGCCGCGTGTAGTCGAACCACGTGTCGTAGTGCGACTGGGCGCCGGCACCGCTCGTCAGCTCCTCCTCGTACTGAATGCGCCGCTTGCCCAGCACCGTGTCCTCGACGCCCTCGCGCGAGCCAAACTGCTTCTCGAAGCGCGTGTAGCTGGCGTAGATGCCGACCGACTTTGTCCGCGGCAGGCGCTCGAGGGCGTACTTGTAGATGACCCGGGCGCGGTCGAGCTCCTTGGCGCGCGTCTCCATCTTCGCAAACGCAGTGTAGACGCTCTGCGCCTTCTCCATCTTGTCCTCCTCCTCGCCAAAGTACTCGAGCGCCATGGTGAAGACCTGCCGCGCCCGGTCCATGGCGCCGCGGTCCTCCTCGAACTTGGCCCAGCGGATCCAGAGCTTCGGCTCGGGATGGCACGAGACGCAGCGCTCCCACACATCGCTGGCGCGCTTCATCTCCTTGTACCGCACCTCGAGACCGATGTACGCGTTCCACGCCTTCTCATCCGGCTCCCAGCTCATCCAGCGCTCGAACACCTGGCGCGCGCCGCCGACGTTGCCGAGCAGCTCCTCGAGATGCACGTACTTGTACCACAGCGAGTCGATGCGCGGCAGGATGCTCACGGCGCGGTCGAGCAGGTTGCGCGCATGCTGAATGTTGCGCGCCTTGAGCTCCATCTCGACGTAGCGCAGCCAGAGCGGCACGTGGTGCGGGTCCACATCGAGCGCACGCTCAAACACGCTGCGCGAGCGCGGCAGCTCGCCCTGCGAAGCCTCCCATGCTGCGTACTTGATCCATGCGGCGATCTGAGGACGAGACAGGGTCAGTACGATGCGGCAGGCTGCCTTGCGTTGGCCACCCTGCCGCCGATGCGGCGAGGCAGCGCGCGCTGCTCCGCTCTGCGTGGCTTCCAGCTCTGCCCTGCTCTGCCAGCCTTCGCTAGGCCCTACCGCACACTCACGTTGATGCGCGTCCGCCGGATCTCCGTCTCGAACTCGCCGCGCTTGCGGCCGCGGTACTCCTCGAGCTCCTCGTGGTCCTCGATGCGCTGCTTGGGGCGCGACACAGGCGCCTCCTGGCGCTCCTGAGCCTCGCGCAGCAGCTGCTCGGCGGAGATCTGCACCGGCGCCGGCGCGCGGTTCTTGATGCGCGGCGCGCGCGACTCGCGAGACATGGCGGGCGACTCGCGGGAGGGAGAGCAGGGCGGAGCGGGTGGTCGAGAAGGAAGCAGCGGCGTCGAGCGGCCGGCGTGACGGCGCGACCGCCGCGCGGCGAAGCGCTGCTCCCACGCTCAGCAGCCCCTCCGCGGCGTCCGCGGCGCGCCCAACTTTTGGAGCTGGGCGCTCTTCGCGTGCTCCCTCCCTCCCTCCCACCACACCTCTCCGCCACCATGCCCAAGGCCGCTCCTACCAAGTCCGCCGGCGCCACACAGAAGCCAAAGGCGCCCAAGGAGCCGCGTGCCGGGCCCTCGAGCGGCCGCCGCGGCCCCGCGCCTGGGCCCGGCAAGCAGCCCAAGGTGTTCAGCGAGACGCTCGGCCTGCAGCACCTGCTCGCCCTCACGCAGGAGGTCACGGCGAAGGAGGACGCCAAGCTGCAGTCGCGCCTGCAGCGCAACCGCGACAGCGCAGAGTGGGCCAAGCGCGAGCGCCTGCGCCGTGAGGAGGAGCGCCTCGCCAAGAAGGGCAAGGGCCCGCAGGCCAAGCGCAAGGCAGAGGCCGCAGCGGCGGCGGCAGCGGCGGAAGACGACGGTGCGGAGGAGCAGGAGACACGCAGGCCAGCGCAGGTGCAGAGCGCTCCATTGGTGAGTAGACGCATGGGCAAGCGGAGTGCGCCCTGCTGGTGATGCGACGCGGCCGGCCGCTCTGCGATGGTCGCGTGCTGACCCGGGCCACGGAGCAGCAGACGAAGTCGGCCATCCGCGCGTCGCTACTCGCAGAGCAACGAGCCAAGGCCAAGGCGCGCAAGGGCGCACGGAAAGCTGCGGCCAAGCGAGCGGCAGATCCCGACGCCGTCTCGCCGCCGCCGGATGGGCCGCCCAAGAAGAAGCGCGTCGCCTTCGCCTAGCTCAAGGGCCCTACTGTCACATCACGCGCGCTGAGGCATGGAGACCGATATATTACAACCGGGCAGGAGCTGACTGCCAGACTGGTTCAGCGGAGCAGGGCTCGCGATGGACAGAGGCGCGTCGAGCGAGCATAGGCGTGCAGAGTGGGTATCAGTGCGTGGGGGAATGGGTGGAGATAGCAAAAAAAGGCTGAGCGGGACGGTCTCTATGGCGTTGCGCGGCTAGTCTCTTGGCCGAGACGGGCTGTCTCGCGCCGCCTCGACGTCCTCGTCAAAGCTCTGTCCCGGGTCGCGCCAGGCATTGCTGATGCTTTGCCGCAGCGAGTCCGGGGCACTCGGCGTCTGGAAGGCGCCGCCGAAGAAGTCGGTCGCCAGCTGCGACTGCGTCGTGTGCGGATAGGGACCCGCCGGGGTCTGCGGTGTCCAATGGGCGTCAGGCGATGCCGACCGCTGCTCCTCGACTGCCGCTCCGTTCGCCGCGCCAGCAGACTCTGCGGCCGCCTCCGGCGCGGAGTCCATGGCGACGATGGTAGAGCTGCGCCGGTCTATCGAGCTCTCACGCGCGAGCTGAGGTGTCGAGGCGTTCGCATCGTCCTGGTAGCCGGCGTCGACTGTCGGCGAGCTCGACACGTCGGGAGAATGCAAGCGCGGCCAGTTGCGAGCCACTGTTGCCTCGACATTGCTGCCGTCCAGCTCAGCGATGGAGCTGCGGTCGGCCTCTGCAACGTGCGTCACCGTTGACACGCCCACGTGAATGCCGCCGGCGCGCTCCGTCGGCGAGACGAGCGAGCCGTCCGAGCTGCTCACTGGCCGGGCGTGGCTTGCCCGCGGCAGCTGTGGCAGGCCCGGCAGCTCGATGGAGCTCGACTCGCGCTCGGGCATTGGCGCAGAAGCGCGGCCGGTGACCTTGAAGTCGGCGATGTACTTGTGCGCGTCCGTCGAGTTTGGCGTCAACGAGTGCCCGAAGCCGCTGCTCGTGCCGCGCGTGGGGTTCGCGCGGACAGACGTGTGTCCGTGCGGCGTGCTGCCCGAGTACATGGCCAGCGAGAGGTTGTCGCGCTGCACCCGGCGCACAATCTTGCGTGCATCACGGAAGACCTTGCCGGCGAGGATGGGAGGCATGCAGAAGGCAAGCTGGAAGTAGGAGCATCAGCGACTGGCAGCAGCGATGTTCAGCTGCAGAGCACTCACTGCTGATCCGGCGACCTGGAACGGCACACGGCTCGGGGGCTGGCTCCAGTACAGCGCGAGGAAGAGCACGTCGGTGACGAAGATGAGCACAAAGTACTGGAAGCCCTGGCGCAGCAGCGTCGCCGAGAGACGCGAGGCGCTGATCTGCTGGCGGTCCTTGCGCCGGAAGACTGCACCCAGGCCTCCCTCGGTCAGGCGGTGCAGCGTGAGCAGGATGACAGTGAGGTCAAGCAGCATGCCACAGCCTGCAGCAAACAGAGTCAGCATGGCATCGAAGCATGAGGCCAGGCGCGGCTGCTCACTTCGCCATGCGGCATTGTACGGCGTGCGCTCCTGGCGGCGCGTGTCGTACACGCACCAGCCGTCGGAGCCGGGGATGTCGAGGTTGACGCCCCAGAACGGCAGCGCACTGAGCGAGACACCGAAGCAGACGGCGTACGCCACGAGCAGCGGAATGCAGACGCGCTTGTCGAACGTGTACAGGCTGATGGTGCGGATGACGAAGACGAGCGGCACGGCATTCAGCAGCGGCACGAAGAGCGCGTTGAACACTTGGCCCTGGTGGCAGGATGGTTCAGCTCGGAACGATGTGCATGGGCATGCGCTCTCTGCTCACGTAGACGCGGCACGAGCCGGTGATGGCGCCCATGGGTGCGACGGCATCGAGGAGCACGAGCAGCAGCACCGTGGGGCTCAGCGTGCGGCACAGCAGGTACGCCACGCGCGACACGACCTTGGCCGGCCGGTTCCAGCCATCGCGCGTCGTGACGAGCTTGATGTCGAAGCCGATGTGCTGGACGAGGTCGAGCAGCGAGGCGCCGAAGAAAACGGCATACACGACCTACGGACAGGCGCAGCTTCAGCACGGACCACGGCAGGCCCGCAGCGAAAGCGGGCTCACCTGGAGCACCTGCACCGAGACGCGATAGCCGCCGTGGGTCGCAGGGCTGATGTGATCGAAGATCACGCCCGAGTCGGCCATCGGTCAGGTCAGGAGGCACCGGCCTCAGCTGATAGGGCGGTGCTTGATCGGATGAGCGCGGCCGCAGAGGGCTGCGCGCGCGAGAGAGAGAGAAGCGGGCCGGGAGGGGCGGCACGGGAGCGCACGGAACGAGGAGCTACAAGAGACAGAGCAGGACGGCGACGATGTGGGGGGCTGCGATGGGCGTCTGACCGGCGGCAGCGCATCTAATGGCGCCGGCGCTCTCGGGCGCGCCGTGTGGGAACGCAGCATGTCGCAGGCGCAGCATGCAGCCGCCAGGCAAGGCACAGCGAGGTGCAGCATGCAGCGGCAGCAGACGCAGCAGGCCGACGCAGCGACGCAGGCACATGCCCTGCTGCAGAAGCAGCTTCTTTGGCGAGCGCGCCGCCGGCACCGTGCCGATGCGATGCGGGCGATCGGGATGGGTAGTGGCTGCTCAGGCACCGGCAGAATGAGCGACGAGCGGCGTTGGGTGCAGCGCAGGTGCTGCCACGGTGCACATTCTGGAGGCGCGAGGTGAGACGGCGCCGGGAGCGCAGGAGCGAGGGCGGACCCTGACGCTGTGCGCATGCGGACGCGTCGTGCGCGGCGCAACGCCCGCGCTCCCGCGCCCGTGCTGGACGCCAGCGCAACAGCAAGGCTCGGCACTTGCGCCGTACCGTCCGGCGGCGCACACCTCAAGGACCCCTCTCTGCTGAGGCGATCATCTCCCGTGGCCAGCCGGGCACGGCGCCGGGCCCGCCGTCCGCCTCCGAGGCAGCGGTGCGCGAGCGCTGGTCGCCGCGGCGGCTCCGCAGCCACACGCGCGCGCATCCGACGGGCCTCCGAGCGCTGTCCCACGCGCGCATGGCTCCGGCGATGTTGTGGCATGCGGACAGCCGTGTTGTGCCTTCGAAGAGCCAGGCAGCGAGGGTTCTCCTTCTGAGGTAGAGCAGCTGCATCCGCAGTCTGCTGTCTGGCCGCTGGTGCTGATGCTGATGCGTGCGCTGCATGTAGACGACGACGGCGCGAGGGTCCACCTCGTTGCAGCTCCATCAGGCACAGCATCCCCATGGCACACCGGACTAACTGCTCCTTGCCCTGCATCTGTGTGCTCCCCCCGCTGGGCATGCACCAACATGGCGCAGGGCACCTGCATCGTCGGCGGCAGTCTAAATATTCAAAGTACGCCCCTCGACCAGTCGACTTGGCCCATGCCCGCTCCTCGGTCGCTGCTCGCTGCTCGCTGCTCCTCGGCCCGCGTGACGTCCCGGGCGGATGATCGGCGCGCCGGCGGCGGCAACGGGGCGCCGCATGCCGCAACGAGATGCAGGTTTGCTGCAACGCTGACAGGTGATCGGCATGGACATGCCCCCCGCTTGCCCGGCTGGCAGACCATGCGTCCGGAGCGTCATGATGTTGCATGCGCTCGCACGGCGGCTCAGGGTCCATCCGCGCGGGGAGGGGGCTCAAGCTCCCGGCAGTCAGAGTACGCTCTCTCGCACGGCTCTCGCATGCTTGGCCTGCTGGCACCCGCAGCCGAACGTACCACAAAGAGGCAGCATCAGGTGCTGACGGTGCATGCGGCTGCGCTTCGCAGCGACAGCCAGTCACTCTGCGCCCTCGCTTTTGCATTCGCGGGCGCCCTCAGGCATCCGAGAGCGCCAGGAATGCTCGCACGCTCGCGCGCCAAGCTATCACGCCTCGGACGTTCGAGACACGCTGTTTGTCAGCGGCCCTTGGCGCCATTACTCCGGAGCGTACCACAGCGGAGCCACAGCCTGAAGCCGCAGTCGCAGGTCGTCGACCGCTTGCGAAGCGATGGCCGCGCAGATTGCCGACGGCGTGCTGGCAGGCCGGTCGGACGACTCGCCAGGGGACGGCTTGGTGCGAGGCTCGACCGAGCGCCTGCGACTGTCCACTGCAGCCTCATCCGGAGCTGCTCCCTGGATAGCACAGCATCTTGAGGCGACCGACCGTTCGGCAAACTCGCGTACAGTCTTGGCATCGCCAATCCAGCTCGGGGTGGACTTCGCAGGCGACTAGCTGAGCACGATACTAATACAATTGCATGCGAGCAAACAGCTGCTCGTGCGACATGCTCTCCCGTCGAGCGCCGAGCTAGTCGTAGTCCTCGTCCTCTTCCAGTGCCCGCTTCGTGCCCCGTGCCTCATCGACGGCCATGGGCTGTGCGCCATGTGCAGTCTCATCGCCCTCGGGCCACACATCCTCTCCATCCTCCTCACCGATGCTCCCGCCTCTTGTCTGTGCATCCTGAGCAGCACGCGCCTTGTTCTCAGCCGCCGCTTCCTCCTCCTCGTCCTCCTCTGCTTCGGCATCCTCGTCCAATGGCGGCGGCGCGTTGGGGATGATGGAGTAGTTGATGTTGGCGAGCGTGTGCTGCGGCGGCGGTAACCGCACGCCGTAGCGGTCCGAGATGGGCGGCAGCGGTGTGGAGTTGAGACTCGTGGCAAGCGACAGCAGCATCTGCGCGCGCGAAGCGTCAGCACGGGGCCCAGTCTACCGGGCAGCGTTCGAGAGCCTGCAGACGAGAAGCAGCCATCTCTGCGACGAGGCCTGGTGCCACAGCCCTTCATGTTCCACCTCGCTTCACGTCCAGACGACTTGCGCACAGCTCACTCACCTCCTTGGGCATCGGCTGCGTGAACTCGTGGTTCACCTTGGCCTGGATGGCCAGCTGCACGTCGTCCAGACTGGGGCCCTGCGCCGAGCCGCCGGCGCGCGAGTGGTCGGCGTACAGCAGTGCGTCGGAGAGGATGTCCGTCGTGTAGCCTGGCGTCGAGGAATCAGCACAATGGCCGGGGGCGGAGTACGAGCCTACGTCCGCAGAACTCGAAGCGGGCCTGGCTGTGCTGCACAGTCCAGGCAGCACGAGCGCCTCTGCCGCCCAGTCAGATCCTCTGTCGTCTCTACGACGCAAGGCCATCCTTCCTCCCTTTCCTCCACACGCAGTCCTTCTTCTATTCCATCCGATCGTCCACCTCGACATCTCTCGGTTCACTCTTCACTCACGATGCGCAAACTCAAGCAGCATAAGCAGCACGGCCGGCTCGGCGTCGTCGATGCCCATGCTGGCGAGGATGAGGGCGATGATGCGTGCGTCGCGCGGCACAGGACCCGCCTGCGCCGCTGCCTCGGCGGTGCCTGCAGCATCAGGCGCGACGGCAGCAGCAGCGCCGGCAGCAGAGGTGCTGGGCTCGAGTGTTTGCGCTGGCATAGGAGCACGGAGAGGGCAGGGTTCGAGGGTGGAGGTGGGTGGTGGGAGGTGGGAGACATGTGCCAGATGCGCGGCGCATGCGCGTGTCACGCCGCCAGGCCGGTGCGCGGCAGCAGCTCGCCGCACCGACGCCGCGCGCGGTGGGGAGCTCCTCGCAAGTCGATTCTGAGTCTCGCCCCCTGGCTCGCCTCTTCGCATCGTTCCGTCACGCACACGCAGGCAGCAAGTCGGAAAAGTCATGTTACATTCGTCGTCGTCCCAGAAGTCAAGAGGTAGTCCAAAGTCAGCGTCATCACACGTCCGCGCCCCCACGCCCCGAGCCCGCGCCCCGTCTAATCCGCTCCGCCAGAGCTGCCACCACGCCGCCTCACGGCGCGCGCGGCTGGAAGCTCGTCACCTCCTCCCAGATCGCCGCGCGCAGGTTCTCCTTCGTCGCCGTCGCCTGGGACGAGCAGATGCGTCAGTCGAGCGTGCTGGTGCGAGACGGGACAAGGGACTCGACTCACCGGCTCGAGGTCAAACTTGAAGCTCGACAGCGGCAGCGGCTCGGCGCCCGGCTCGTCCTCTGCAGCAGTGGCGAAGCGCGTGGATCAGCGTGGATGATGCAAGGCGAAGGAGATATAAGAGGCGCACCTGGGTCATGGTACGGCTGCAGATAGTCATGTGCCAATGCCTGCTCGACGGTGATGCGCTTGCGCGGCGAGAAGGTGAGGCATTTCTCCTGCGAGTGCGTGACATCGTAATCAGCTTCGATCCTCCTCACTTCGGCACGCCGTTTGGCTTCGCACCATGAGATCCACCGCGAGCGGGTTGGCGTTGGGGAACATCTGTGCAAAGTTGCGCCGCTTGCGGAAGGGCAGGGCGCGGATGTAGTCGCGCGACCGCGTCGAGGAGATGGCGTAGAAGTCATCGAGCGAGGGCGTGCCGAGAATCTCGAGCGTGAGGGAGAGCTGATGATGGTCTGCAAGGCGGCGCGAGCAAGTGCGTGAGCGGAGCTGGTCGGCAAGCGGAGGCGGGTGGGGAGGATGTAGCGGGAAACGCACAGTCGCGGCCCGGGAAAAGCGGCTTGCCGGAGAGCATCTCTGCGAGGATGCATCCGACGGACCACACGTCGATTGCCTTGGTGTACTCCTTGAAGCTGCGTCGCGCGGCAGAGAGGGTCCGAGGAGCGGGCGAAGAGCGAGGCGCGCAAAGAGGAGAGAGAGCGAGTGTACGAGTTGACGAAGAGAGAAGGAGGAAAGGAGGGAGAGTCAGAGGAGGGCCAGCGATCTTCCTCCTCCTCTCCATCGTCCTCGCTTCCGCACTCACGTGAGCATAATCTCCGGCGCTCTGTACCACCTCGTCGCCACATATTCCGTCATGAATCCCGTTCCCTCCGCCTCCGGCTGATTGGCGCTTCGCGCGAGTCCGAAGTCGCAAATTTTGAGGTCGCAGTTGGCGTTCAAGAGCAAGTTGCTCGGCTTCAAGTCGCGGTGCAGCACCTGAGCAGAGTGCAGCGCCTTGAGACCGCGCAGCGTCTGATAGATGAAATATTGACAGTGATCGTCGGAAAGCTCTTGTGTGCGGATGACGCGGTGCATGTCCGTCTCCATCAACTCCTGCGAGCGAGGATAGCGCGTGAGCATCAGCGAAGATGGACTGTGCACGCGAAAGACGGCGCAGCGGGATCTCAAAGCGAGGAGAGCAGGGCTGAAGCCATGGAGCGAAGCCTGTGCAGCAAGAGTCCGCCTGTGCGCACCGGCGTGTATGGCCCCTTCCTGCTCAAGCTCGCAGCAACGCCCGACCACCTCCCTCTCCACCACTCTCCCTTCTCCCTCTCGCCACTCACTTGAATCAAGTAGACCTCTGTAAAGCTCTCAAAGTCTCTCGGACGAATCATGTCGAGGATGGAGATGATGTTCTCGTGCTGAAAGTGCCGCAGCAGCTTGATCTCGCGCAGCGTGCGCAGGCAGAACATGCTGTGGTCAAAGGGCGTGATGCGCTTGATCGCCACGCGCGTCTGGGTGGCGTTGTGGATCGCTGAGCTGGAGAAGAGAGGAGGGTTCAGGAGGATGAAGAGAGATGCGAGATGCGAGCGCGGATCAGCATGCTTTCACGCTCAGGCGCCCGCGCTCCCTGTGCTGGGTGCTTCTGGCTGGCTTGCGGCATCCCAAGCTCGGAAATGCCTCGATCTGCTGTCCACCAAGTAGAGCAGAGCGAGCTACAGCGACACCGGCGCTGCTCTGCAAGCGTGCGCTCATGCCCTCTGCAGCGTTCCTCTTCTCCTTGCTCCCTGCACCGCGGCGGGGTGCGAGGCGCCCCGAGCTCCCTTCAACTGCTCTGCCAAGGGCGCCAGCGACAGTATGCACGCGCCGCTCTGCAGCGACGGCGGCGCCCTTGAGGCTCACTACGCCCTCGCGTAGGCGTCACCTGTGCCACATGCGCTCGCAGCGGCGGGCGCTCGCTCGCTCGCGGTGCTAGCAGCAGCAATACGCTCTCTCGCAGTCGGCAGCCCCATGCCTCGCCTCGCCTCGCCTCCCCATCCTCCTTCCCACCTCTCCTCTCTCTCGCGCGCCTCTCTCATCCCGCTGCGGACTCACCAAACGACACCATACGCGCCCTCGCCCACGACGTCCACGACGGTGTACGCCGCGCCAATGTTGAAGTTGGCGGCGAGCGCTGCAGCGCTCGACTGGGCCGCCTGCGAGAGCAGCTGCGCTGGCGCGGCTGCTGCTTGGGCGAGAGACATGGTCGCTGCGGAGGGGGAAGGCAGCGGGTGGAGGAGGGCGACGGAGAGGGAGGTGGGAGAGGAGAGAGAGGTCGGCATCTGCCCTGGAGGCGCGTGCGCTTGTCGGGCGTGAGGCGCGGCGTGGCGCGGGCGCAGCGCCTCGCGAAATCGGCTCTGGCGCAGCCTAGAGCGCCGCCACGCCGCCAGGCGCCACGCCAGCGAGGCGCGCCAGCCGGACAGGAGAGGTGGCCCCAGCGCGCATGGCAGCCACTAGACTCCTTTCCGTTGCTTTGCCTGCTGCTTCGAACAAGAGTCCGCGCAGCATCAGCTTCGCCCAGCCTTCACGCCTCCTCCTCAGAGACGACTCCCTGCTTCCGCTTGACTTGAGAGATGCCAAAGGATGCTTTAGCGAGACCAGCTCTCAAGGCACAGGCACCGAAGCGCGGGGAGCGTTGGCGCGCGTCTCCGCAAAGCGCGCTGCGCCCCCTCTCGCCGCGCTCGGTTCCGCGCGGCGTCCGGCAGCGGTGCCGACGGGAGCCGCTCGCAGGGGCTCAGGGCAGCTCAGGGGCCGAGCGAGCCGGGCAACTCGCTTGCCGCTTGGAAGCACGCTCCTCTTCACTTCGCTTGGCCAAAGGCGAGGGCAAAGAGAGTCAGATGCAGAGTGGAGAGAGAGAGCTCGGCACAAGACGATCACAAGACGCACGGCGCAGGATTGCCCGCTGTCGCTGGGCGCAGCCGTCGGCGTGCCACGCCGCTCTGCACGATGCTCCGCTGCGCTGCTGCAGCTCGACTCTTTCTTGTGCTTGTACAGCGTGCAATAAGCCGCGCCTCCGCAGGACGAACAAAGAGAGGACACGGCCGAATGAGACAGGAGACTCTGAAAGGGTCTCAGGAGCAGGAGCAGGCACGGCACAAGGAAAGGGGAGCACTTTGCTGCGCCCTCGCTCGGGGCGTCGAGAGGTGGCAGCTCGGTCCACGCGCGGTGGTCGTGCCGAGTCAGGGAGGGTTGATGATGCCGTCACGTCAGCCTTGAAGCCTTGCTATACTTGAGCACGACCAGCGCTCTGAGCGAGAATGGAGCCAAGTTGGGAGGGAAGACGTGCGACGGCATGCGGTGCGATGCAGCCGCAGGCAGGGGGCCTCGAGAGCGGAAAGCTCAGCGAGCGAGCTCGGAAGTCGGACATCGCCTGCCTGCCTCCACTCGCCCTGCTCTCGGCGCCGTGAGCTGCTTGCTCCTTCCTGTCCCTCACGCCCCTCTCATCCGCAGCATGGCAGCCCGTCTCTCGCGCCTCGCAGCGCTCCCTCCGTCCTCTCACTCGCTCTCCCACTTCGCCTCCAACCTCAGCAGCTCGACCAGCGCCCCGCTGCTCCTCCGCGCACTCCTCTCTGCCGCCGCAGCAGACGTGCCGGGCCTGCAGCCCACGCCGGCACTGCACTGGAACGATGATGCGCAGCTGGGAGGGATATTGAGAGCCAAGGAGAGAGTGGTTAGGGTGGAGATGGCACGGCCGGGACGGGGTTATGTGAGGAAGGAGGGAGAGGAGTGGAATGAGGGACGCATGAGCTTGGGTGAGTGGCACGCACGGACGCTGTCGAGCCCGGCGGATGAGAGCACAGAGGGCCGTGGCGCCGCTGGAGACGTAATCGCTGGAGGCCGAATCATAGAGTGTGGCAGGCGTGGTGTTCGGCGCTCGATCAGCTTCCGTTGGACTCAGGAGTCTGCCGAATGATGGGGCTGCGACGCGCTGTCCTGGCCCGCCGCCATCTGAGGGAGCGGGCCTGCGGCGCTGTGTGCCGCCGCACCTCATCATCTGCTGCTCTCGATCCCCCTTCCTCTCGTCCACCACCTTCCCAGCTCCATTCGTCATAAAAGCGACGGTAGGTGGATCGCCCCGTAGAACGGCTCGGGTCCAGCATCGCAATCGATGCTGTGATCCGATACGTTCTACGACGCCTTCCTCTTCACCGTCTCCTGTATGACGGATCGGAAGGAGAGCTGGCTCTTGCTGGCGAGCTCAGCGCAGCGAAGTGTGCCTATCCCCTTATGGCGCGCGTAAAGAGAGGCAGATGCTCACGCCGGCTCTCTGACGCAGAGCTCTTCCACGCCGCCTTCCTCGCTCGGTCCATCCCCAATTCCTCCTCAACGCCCATGGTCGGATACGTAGCGCAACAGCCGCTTTCTGAGCTGGTAAGTCTGCGCCATTCTTCGCGCATCTTGAAGCGCTGCTAATCAGTAGATTTGCAGCCAGAGCTCGAGGCTGACGTGCCGATGCTGCCACACCTCAAGCTGGCAACGCAGGATTGGGGGCGCATGCTCTGGGTTGGCGGTGCCGGTACGTCATGCTCCTCGTCCCTTGCCGCTGCCTCCTTTCTCACACCTCTACAAACAGGCACATTCACGCCGCTCCATCGCGACCCACACCACAATCTCTTCTCGCAGCTCGTCGGGCGCAAGCGCGTGCATCTCTTCCCTCCTGCCTGCGCGGCACACCTCCATCTTCATGCTGGTGGGCCGCTGCAGAACACTTCGCGGATCGGGTCTGAAGAGCCCTTTCTGCAAGCGCAATCGGACGGTGCCGAGACCGAGCTATGGGACATCGAACAAGCGCTGAGCCACCCGGACGCCAAACATGTCGTGCTGGAGCCGGCAGACGTGCTGTTCATCCCGAAGAAGTGGCTGCACTGCGTCGCGGGCCTCGACGACAGCGCCAGCGTCAATGCTTGGTTCCACTAGGCCGGGCAGCGTCGACGACGTCCCTGTGTCTCACGTCGCAAGACGCGCAACAACAACCCGCCGAACAAGGGTGGGCGGACAAGGCTGGGCGCTTTCTCTGGGGCGGCCGGCCGGCCGTGAGTCAGACTTGGACGAGGCTCAAACCCAGCCCGGCTCTCTCCAGTGCTGTCAACGTCGACTGCGCAGCAACAGATGCCCTCTGCACCAGCGTTCCGCGCCACCTCGCTCTGCCCTTCGCCGAGAGGCACGCACGGCAGCCGATGCGCGGCCGGCGTCTGGCGCAGCTTGCGCCGAACGCCAGAGCCCATTCTGCCCCGCCGTCCACGCGCCAGCATCACAGCGCCTCCTCACGCCGAGCGCACCACCAACGCCATGCTCTGACCGAGCTTGCCTCGCGCAATGCCATCATTGAGCACGCCTTTTCATATTTCGGTGTTTTGCAGCAGCAGAGGGCTCTCTCGCAGTGTAGTGTCAGCGTCCGAGTCGCAGCGTGCCGAGCAGGCGGCGAACGCGCGAAAGGACGACGATGCGCGCGCGGAGCGGGCGAGAGAAAGGAGGAAAGAGGAGGGAGAGGGAGAGAGGGGATATCTTGAGATGTGCGAAGGCAGTCAGCAAGGCCTTGGCAAGACCTTACGTCGACTTCTTGCGCTCGTCCATCGAGAAGCCGCCTGGTTTACGCGCGAGTCAGCCAACTGCTCGACTTGCATCGCGCAGCGCCTCGTGCCCGCGCTCGCCGCCACTCACCTGGCCCCTGGTTGACGAGCAGCAGCAGGCCGCCGACAATGCTGAGCGTCTGGAAGAAGTCGTAGCGCAGGAAGTCGCGCGCCGGGTGCGCGGCGTGCACGGTCCAGAAGTTGTTGACGAAGAGCTGCATTGCGGCCGCAGTCGTATCAGCCATGCGCCGCATCCACCGCAGACTCGCGCGCCAGCACTCACGTTGAACACACTGAGCAGCAGCACGAGGAAGCTGGCGCTCCAGCGCGCCTTGAAGCCCACGGCCACCATGACGCACGCGCCAAAGCCGAGCACCGAGACGAGCACGCGCGCAATGGACCAGTTGCCTTGGATGATGAAGCCGATGAAGAGGAAGATGAGCAGCACGCGGCCAGCGAGCTGAGAGAGGAAGGGTGAGCCTCGAGAGAACCGGAGAGGATTGAGAGCTGGCACAGGCATCGCGCGAGGCACACAGCTTGCAGGTGCTGCATCGAGCACAGCGCGCGCATAGCTGCCAGCCCTCGCTCGCGCCTATGCACCCTTCTCTCGCTCTCTCGCACACTCACCTGGAAGTAGACCTTCCGGTCCGTCTCGCTAATGCTCGGCAGGCCGGCAAAGATGTTCTTCTTCTTGGCCAGGCTGTCGCTGAGGACCATAAGCAGGCCTCCAATGACGCTGAGGTTGCGCAGGAAGAAGTTGACGTCAAAGATGAGGCCGTAGCCGAAGCCCTGCACGACGACGACGCCGAGCAGCGCACCGACGCTGATCTCGGGGTAGCGGCGCGCAATGACGGCGATCGAGGCGGCCAGCATGACCTGCAATGCAAGAGGTCAGCAAGCTGCGGCAGGGAGGAGCACGAATTGATGCGCCCTCGTTTGCGCTATGCGGCGCGCCATCGCTGCAATGCGCGGCGACTCTGATCTCCTCCAAGCGCGCACGCTTCGCCTAGCCCGCCTGGCAGTCGTCGCAGCATCCGCGCATGCGCTCTCCCCCCTTCCTCCTCGCACCCACTCACCAGCACATTGACGAGCAGGAAGATATGGCTGATGCCCCACGGGAAGCCACGGTGCTTCTGCAGGTAGTACTTCTGGTCGCCCCACTGCGTCACGATGCGCAGCGCATCCTCCAGGAACGTCACCACGATCAAGAAGCGGCCTAGCGCCGGAAGGTGGGGCTTGATGGGCTGCGTGTAGACGTCGATGAGATCCTCAACCTGCAGGAAGAGGGGTGAGCAAGAGGAGGCGCGGCACCGAGCGATGGATGGAGCACGCGCGAGAAGGCCGCCGGGGTACGGGCTGCTTGTCGCTGCGCAGCTGCTGGCCTCTGCAATCCCTGCACGCAGCAAGAGACGCCAGCGCCGGCTGGCACGGGACTGGTCAGTCCCTCGCGCCGAGCCCGCCCGCTCTGCCCGACCGATGCCCGTCGCGTCCGCGCGAGCGAGCCAGACACGTTCTGCACGTCGCCTGCTTGTGCGAGGCGTGCGTGTGCGCAGCGCGCCCAGCTTGCGCTGCTTGCAGACGAAGCCCTGCCCTCACAGAGCGTCGGAGTACCCTGAGCGACGCACTGCACTCCTGCTCCATCGCCAGCGCCTGCAGTGACGCCAGTGCGCATGCGTTGCGCCGCACCCTGTCTGTAACGCCTCATGCATCCATCTCGCATTTGCCCTCTCGTCTGCGCCGCGCGCCACGCACCTTTGAGCTCCATGCGCGGACCTTGTCCAGCGGGCTCTCCTCGCCGCGTGCTGCGCCGCCCATGCCGCCGCCGCCGCCCATGCCGCCGCCCATGCCGCTGGCCGAGGCGTGGCCGGGACGCTGCACGGCCTGATAGGGGGACTGGCCGTAGGAGGCCATCGTGCGAGGGTGCGAGACTGCGAGGCGGGTGAGAAGCAACAATGGGAAGAGTGAGCGCTTGTGCCTTGTGGGTGCGCTGTGAGACGGAGCGCGATGTGGTGGTGGAGGGTGGCGCTTGAGATGGATGGAGAGGACGAGAAGGAGCCAGCCGCCGGCGCCCGTGCGATGTTTGCAAGCCCGCGGCGCGGCGCGATGCAAGGCGCACCTTCGCGCGTGCAGCATCCAGGCACGCGGTCTGTGTGCGTGCGTGAGAGCGGCCAGACGCGCGCGCGTGCGCCAGCGAGGGCGCAGCGCGCGAAGGCGGCGGCGGCGCCGCGGTGACGTGCCACGTCGCCCGCGCCGCGCGGCTCCTGCCGCTCGCACGCCGCGGGGAGGGCGGTGCGCCGTTCCTCCGCCCCCTCCCGCCGGACCACGCGGCATCCTGCTAATGCTGATCGGCGCTCGATGAGTGGGCGCAGCGCCGGCATGACAGAGAGGAGCGAAGCATGAAGCACCTTTCTTTTGCTTTGGGTGCCTGACCGTACCTGATGAGAGCAGGAATGCGACACGTGGCGCACGAGAAGATGCCCCTTCAAAGTCAGGACGACGTGGACCCCTCGTGATCTGCTGCTGGCGCCACCGCCACCATGTCGAGCGCTGAGCTGAGCTGAGGGAGAGAGCAAGGCAGACGCAGCAGACCAACGAAGAAGGGCGCTCAGAGCGAGCGGCACAGGAGAGGGGCAAGACGGCGGAGGCGTCCGGATGGCGGCGCAGGTCAAGCATGGCCGCCTTTCTCACCGGCGCCTCGCATCATTGACGAGCCCAGTGACAGCCAATGCAGACTAGCTGGTATGCGTCACTCAATCCAGCAAAGCGCCGCGAAGCGTTGGGTGCCTCTCGCAAGACGAGAAGACAGTGCTGTCCACGAGAACCGCCGCTGACAAGAGGCACGCACCCCTCGGCGTGCTCGGCCTGTGCGTCGCCGACGCCGACAGCTCTCATCACAGCTCCTCATAAGAAGTGCTTCTCAAGCTCCGCATGAGGAATGCCTCTCGGGAGACACGCTTTGCGCCCAATCAGCCTCGTCGGCAAAGCAGAACCGCGACGAGCTCACGGCGCCTGTGCAGTCGTAGACGAGGGAGGCAAGCGTGTGCTTAGACGTCGGCCGAGAAGTCGTCGCTCGGCTCCACTGCCGCAGTCGGTGGGCTCCCAGCTCAGCGCCTAGGGCCGCACCGTCTGCTGCGGCCCTCCTCGTCACCGCGTGCCGGCGCACCAGCGTTCAGTCGCAGCTGTCGACGAGAGCGCGCGAGCGCCAAAGCCGCGGTTCACGCTTCGCCGCTGCAGCATCAGCCAGCGTACGCATGCGCGATGCGCCGGGCCCGCCTCCTTCGCGCTTCTCGCCGCTGAAGCTGCTGCCGCACGCAGGCTGCACGAGGCGAGGCGTCTTCGGCGCGCGCGTCGAAAGCACAGCCCCTCGGCACCTCGGTGCCGGCCGTGGCTGCGCATGCCTTGCGCCGGCTGCGATAGCCGCTCTCGCAAGTTTGAGCAAGCGTCGAGGCCAGACATGTATGGCCATGGCGCTTGAGGAGGACGTCGTCGTCGTCGTTGTGAGGGCAGAGCATCCGCTCGACGAGGCAGCGCCGAGGTGGAGCCGCGAGAGACGTTGCAGCTGGGTGCTGCTGGCGGAGGAGCCGAGGCTATTTCGGGCAGGAGGCGCGGGCCCCAGGAAACGCGCGCCTGCAGCGGCAGAGCGGCGCTCGGCACTGGAGCAGCGGTACGGCCCGCGCGTGGCCTTGGCGGCGCAGCCCCTCGGCCCCTCAGCCGCTTCGCGTCTCGTGTCTCTTCGGCGCCTCGAGGGGCGCGAGAGGGGCAGTGCCGGCGCCAGAAACGAAGCTTCACCTGCCGCTCTGAGCGGCTGGAAGCGAGCGGCGGTCATAGAGAGGGGCTGCCGCTCTGGAAGATCTCGGCGCTCAAGCGCTTCATGTGGTGCCTGACGGCGCGAGAGGAGGGGCCCAGAGCGCAGGAGAACAGCGGCGGCGAGCGCCCTCTGCGGTGTCCTGCCTCTCTCTGCGCGCCTCGTGCTTCGCTCTCGGGCCTCTTGGCTGCTCTGCTGGCCGCCTGCCTGCCCGCTGAACCCGCGGGGTGGAAGAGAGGCGCTGCAGGCACGCACACGCCTGCGGGCTGCGCCGAGCCTTCACCTTCGCGGCTTGCTCCTCAAGCGCGCTCGCGCTCCGCTCTGCCCCGCCTGCCGCTCCGCCCATCAGACCGCAGCTGCCCAGCGAACCGCGACCGCTTCGAGTTCGTGCATCCGAGTGCACTTTGGGCATCACGCAGGCGCTAAAGCGGCATGGCGTCACAGCTGCCCTGCTGCTGCTGCGCCACGGCCGGCCGGCAGAGCAACGCACCGCCCTCGAGGTGCTGCACCTGCATGCTGTGCACGTTCGTCGGCCGGCTGTGTTTGACGAAGCAGCACCAGATACGGCGGAGCCCTCTCCTCTCCCATGCTTTTCCTCCCGCCGTCCCAACCACCACCACCTTCGCTCCCTCTGCCTCGGACCCTGCTTCGTCCTGTCCCGCGCCTCGTCTCGCCTCGCTGAGCCCGGCCCTGCCTGCCATACACGACCCTCGGCGCCGCTCCATCTCTTCGCTCTCTTCACGTCACGCACACACCGACCCACAGCCGCTGTGAACAGCGGCTTTCGCCGCTCGTCGCCAACACCTGAGCGCATCGCAGCCCACACCGCTGCTTCCCTCGCACCGCGCCTGCCAAGCGTGTCGCGCGGCTCGACCAAGACGCGCTCTCGGTCCGAAGCGTCACCTGCACCGCTGCACCCGCCGCGCGGCTTGGCCCGCGCCTCGCGCCGCGCAGGAAAGCGCGCCAAAGCCACCGCACCGCTGCAGCGCCTGCAACGCCGACGCCGCGTGTACCGCTCGCTCCTCGCCGTCTGGTAGCGCAGCACAGCCTCGAGCCAGACGCGCCGCGTGCTCTTCGGCGTCGTCACTGAGACGCCGACGCCGGGCGACAGCGCAGCTGTACCGCGCACGCTCTCGACGTTTGCCGAGCGCCTCCGCAGCGTCGCACTGCTGGCAGCCCAGAGCCCAGCATGCTGGCCGACGAGAAGGCGGCGCTGCGTCGCGAGCGGCGCGGCGCGGCAGCGAGCGGCAGCAGTGCGAGCACGAGTGACCTGAGCAGTCGGACATCACTCGATGATCTCTGTGCTTCATACGAGCTGCACGCGCTCGATGAGGGCGACGTCGACACGCCCGCGTCTTGGCGAGATGTCGCTGCTGTCCTCGATGCGCGCAACGGCGGACGGCGGAGCATGTGTCCGCGCCATTGGTTGCCGATGCTGCGGCATGGGCTCGCCAAGCGCGGCGCTCATGACTATCTGCCACTCTCTGCTGGCGCCGTAACCCCGCCCCAGCCGCCGTGCAGTGCGGCGCAACGACATGCAGCGCATCGACTGGCGCTGCTCTTCGCTCTCGTCGTGCTCCTCTCAGCAGGCCTGTCGGCCTTCTTCAAGGCGCCATCCACGCTCTGGCCATTCGTCTCGCTGCAGCTGTGCGCGTTGCCGCTCGCCGTGACGCTTGAAGGAGTCGGACGCATCAAGAGACGCCTAGGACGACGACGTGGCGGACGCTGCGCGCTGCAGTCACCGCACCTGGCGCCCACACCCGAGGCACCGCACTCGGAGGCGCGGCCTCGCGCAGTTTGGAGACGCAGCTGGGCCAGCGGTCTCTGGCGTCTCGTGCTCGGCATCTCGCTCATTTTCTGGGCCTGGTCTCTCTCTCCTTCGTTCGACACGCCCGCACCCTACATCGCCTCCGCAGTCTCTGCCGATGCACCGCCGCTCTTCATCGCTGCAAACCTCTACGATTCCGCCGCGATCCTGCCGCGCTTCAGCGACGCATTGCTCGAGCTCGTGGCGATGCATCGCGGACGCGTCTTCGTCAGCCTCTACGAGTCCAACTCGCCCGACGGCGGCAAGACGGAGCGCTTGCTGCGTCAGCTTGATGCGCGTCTGGAGGCGCTCGACGTGCCGCATCTCATTCGCACGGGCGAGGAGAAGCACGCCGCGGCTGCCGCACCCTCGCAGGCAGTCGCAGCGCCGACGCGACGCTCGCTGCTCCGGCGACTTGTCACCAAGCCACGCATCACCAAGGAGTCCGGCGACGGGCCCGGCCGCATCCGCTTCCTCGCAGCCGTGCGCAACGAGGCACTCTTGCCGCTCTCCAACGGCGTGGCAGATCCGCAGCGGCTGTGGGGCAAGGGCACGCGCTGGAGCAAGGTGCTCTGGCTCAACGACGTGCTGTTCAAGAGCGCGGACATGATGCGTCTGCTGGAGACGCAGCGCGGCGATTATGATGTGGCTTGTGCGATGGACTTTGGAGGGGCGCTGCTGGGGCTGTACGACACGTGAGTAGCGCGCAGGCGCTGTCTCTTTGCGCCATGCTGACCGCTTCTGCCTGCAGCTGGGTCGTGCGCTCCGTCACCGGCGACCGCACCAAGCCCTTGTGGCCGTATTTCTCCGACGCACCCTCCGTCGCCTCCTTGAAGGCACAACAAGCCATCCGCGTCGCCAGCTGCTGGACCGGCGCCGCCGCCTTCGACGCTCGTTGGTTCACCGACCGCACTGTGCCGCCGCGCAGGTCACCGCGCTTGGTGCCTGCGGGCGAGAGGAGAGTGCACGACCAGAGTTGGTGGGCGACGCCTGACGGCGCCAAGGAGAAGCAGCTTCGACTGCAGCACTTGCGACTGGAGGAGTGGGATCCGCCTCGGGCCGCGCTGCCTCACAGCGGCATCAATGCCTCGGCGCCCGCCGCGCCGCTCTCGATGCCGCTCACCTTCCGCTCCGAGTCGCGCTGCGTCTCCTCTGAATGCCTCTTGATCAATCTCGACATTCATCGGCTCACCGCACTCGCCACTCCCGCACGTCGGCCGGAGATCTTCATCAATCCCCTCGTGCAAGTCACGTACGACGCGCCGACGTTCTGGCTGTACCACACGCTGCTGCGGAGCGCGGTAGTGAGGCCTTGGCAGACGCTGTGGGAACGAGGCGTCGCGGCGACGCTGTTTGCGCCGCTCACGGATCTGGGGCGCAAGGCGCCCAACTGTCTTGACTCGTTCAGAGACGATTGGAACGAGGCGCACATCGCGCCGACGAACCGCTCGCTCACCGTCGACGCACTCGCGGCATGGCACGCGCAGAGCGCAGGAGCTGCCGTGCCGCAGCAATGACGCAGCAAGCCGTGTGCCGTCGCTGCTCCTGCCGTCGATCCAGCGCTCCTTCTCTCTCTCTCGCTCGCGCACAACCTCTCCTCACCTCACACACCTGGCCCCTCCCTCGCGCGCGGCTGTCTTCAAGCTCGGCCGGTCCGAGCATGTCGACGCGCATGTCGCTCCGCCTGTCCCTGTCTCGGCTCGATCCTGTTCTTCTTACCATCGTCACCTCGTCCACATTCCCCACCTCACTTCACCACACTTGACCCTCACTTCACGTCATCTTGACCTCACCTCACGGGCCTCCGTCCGACCAATACATCACCAGCTCTGACACATAGACACGCGCGCGGGGGGAGGGGAAGCGCGAAGAGCAGATGGTGACATTGCGGAAGATGACCCGAGGCAGAGCATGAGTGGGGCAAGACGGGGAAAGACGGGCTGCGTGACTGAAGCATCGCGTGCGAAGCAGCGCAGAGAGGGCAAGTCGTCGAGAGGATTGGAGGGTGCAGGGGGGCTGGGGGCGGCATCGCTTCGCTTACGAGTCATCGCTGCCCGAGTCCTTCGTCGGATCCGTCGTGCTGCCGTCTCCATCGCTTCCCGGCGCGCGTGCATTGCTGCCAATGGCGCTGTAGTCGTCGAGGAACAGGCGCTGCACGCCGGCGTCGGAGTTGATGATGCGCCAGTCTTGATGCTGCGCATTGCGCACGTAGTCGATGGTGCTGTTGGCGGGCAGCGCGCCGTTGGTGGACGCGGCGAGAAAGGGCAGAGAGGCGGTGATGTAGTTGCGCATCTTTGTGATGTGATCCCTTTTGCGAGCAGTGGTCAGCGAAGGAGAGGGAGAGGAGGATGCAGCGGCAGAAGAGGGGCTTACTCACTTGCCTTGAGCATCAGCTTCGCACCCCTGATCGCCATCCACTCTGTCCCGCGCGCCCACAAGGTACGCCATGCGTCTCGCCACAAAGCGCGGTGCCAGACCCGCCTGCGTCAAGGCCACTCCGCTGGAGTTGGCGTAGGCCGGCAACACGCCCTGCAGGCCGTATTTCCACTCGTCGAACGCATCGCAGGAGCGACGCACTCGCTCGGGACGCGAGTCGTTGAGATAGACAAAGGAAGCAGGGGCGCCGATCCAGTATTTGACACGGTCTTCCTCGCCTGTTGGGCGCAGCGTGGCGTAGCGATGCACGAGCTGTCCGCCGCGGGAAAAGCCGGCGACGACGAGCGTGACGAGACTCGGAAAGGCGGTGCGGTCGAGAAAGTGGGAGAGCAGAGCGTCGTATGCCTCGTACACGCCGACGTTGGAGCTGGGAGAGGAAGAGGAGGAGGAGGAGGCAGAGGGAAAGAGAGACGAGGAGCCGCCGGACCAGTCCGTCGCGGGATCCCACACCATGACGCTCGAGCTCGGAGGCGAGACGGACGTCGAGGCGTTGTAGGCGCGGTAGTCGAGCGTGGTGAAGATCTGCCTGCGGAGGCGTAGGCCATGCTCAGCAAATCGCGTCAGGACGACATCTCTGGACGTGTACGTACGGAGAGACAATGATGACCTCTTCCCGCTTCACGTCACCACCCAGGACGGCACGATCGAGAGCCATATCGGTATACTACGTCCAAGAGCAGAGTGGCGTAAGCAAGTGCGGTACTGCTTGCACCTGCCGGCGCATGATAGAGCCCTCCAAGCCTCTTTGGCTGCGCAAAGCTTGACAGGCTTGGCGGTGCGCACAAAGAGCTGCCATGCAGCGACTGCGTGTGTGTCTCTGCAAGGGCGGGCAGGCAAGGCGATCTTCGGAGGCGATGAGGTCTGCCCCTGCGACACTGACTACACCCGTGCGCCAGTCCTGCGCCTTGCTCACAGCTCGCTGCTCCAGCCACTCCGCCTCGTTGCCGCCTCCTGTCCACTCGGCCTCGGGGCGCAAGGACTCACCGTCCAGCTGTCCCACGCATCGCGATCGTCGCCGTGCTGCATCACCACGACGCGCTTCACATTGCGCGCATCGACGCCCTGCGTCATGTACGCAGGCAGCGTAGGCTGCGCATTGCTGCTGCTGCCTGAGCTGTTGGCGGCGACGGCGAAGGAGCCGACATCCAGCACGGCGCCGCGGATCGCCGGCAGGAACGTCCAGCCGGCGGCGGAACTGGCGGCGCCGGCGAGCAGCGCGGGCGAGGAGCTGCTTGACGATGCACTGAAGGCAGCGCCTGGCAGCAGTGCCAGTGCGCAGAGAGAGAGGAGCATGCTGCCCGATGCGGGGAGAGGTGGTAGTCGGGAGCGCGAGGCGCGGCTGGCTTGGGCTGCGCTTGGCGCACGCGGCGTCGCGCTGCCGCACGAGACGCGCGCCGCCCAGCGCCCACGCCGCCAGCGCACCAGCCATGCCACCCTCCTCGCCTCCACCTCCTCCTCCCTCCCGGCGCGCACCATGCCCTCGCAGCGCACCCTCAAGCGGCTCTTCCTGCGCTCCACCGCCCTCCTGCCCGCCGCCAGTGCCGAGCCGCCGCCGTCCTACGCCGAGGGCCTCGCCGCACTCGATGGCGTGCACTCGGCGCCGTGGGCCCTCAGCGCCGTGCTCGCGCTGCTGCAGCGCCCCGACATCGAGGCGCGCGAGGTAGACGCCCTGGTGGCGCGGGTGCTGCGGCGCACACAGGCGCACGAGATGCAGACGCTCGAGCAGCCCGCGCGCCTGGAGCTGCTGCAGCTGCGCAGGCGAGCACTGCGCATCGCCAGACTCGCACGCACACACGCGGCACTCGCTTCCTCCTCGCTCGCCGCCGCCGCCTCCGCCTCTTCTTCATCCTCTTCGCTGCACGAATTCCTCGCCCTCTCGGCGCCCCAACACGCCGCGCAGCTCGCGCAGCATGGCGACGCCAGGGGACTCGTGGCGCTGCTGCGAGCACTGCCTGCGCCGGCGCTGCGCGACGCGCGCGCCTCGCGCGAGGGCCTGGTGCGGCTGCTGTTGTTCGCGCGCGCGCTGCAGGGCGAGCAGCTGGATGCGCACGTCGAGGCATTGCTGCCGCGTCTGATGGAGAAAGGAGGTGTGTGGGAGGAGCAGATCGCTCAGGAGCAGCAAGAGGATGCGACGGATGCGACGGATGTGACGGATGAGCTGGAAGTGAGACGGCAGCTGGACGAGGTCTACGGCCCGCTGGACGAGACGCCCACTCTGCCGCCCAGTGCCGATACGAGCTCGCACAGCGCCGTCACGTCGTCTCGCGTGGACGGTGCGCACCGGCTGGCGACGTACTACGTCGACCTGATCCACTGGCTGGAGTGCAGCGTCGGCAACGCCGCAGCCGCACTTCAAGTGGCGCGCTTTGCTTCTGCGCAACTCTCCGACGCCACCCCCTCTTCTGCGACGCAAGACCTCGAGCGCCTGCGAGAGGATCTGGCACTCCTCTCCGCCGCGCCGACTTGCACCTCGCTGGCCGACTTCCGCCTGAGTCTGATGCCCGCACGACGAGATGCCACCTTGCTCTCCTACCTGCGCGCTTCTCCGCCTGCGACAGGCGCGCTGCTCGAGCTGCTCTCTTCCCTCGCTTCTCGCTCCGAGGGAGGGGCGTTCGATGCACACGTCTCCCTCCTCTCTACCCTGCTCACTCTCCTCGACGACGCCGATGAAGAGGCACTGCGCATCCTTGCGCTCATCTTGCCTGCTCTGCCGCTCGAGGAGGACGAGACGGCACGCGTCGTGCTGAGCGCCACGTACAGCACACAGGCGACGTCGGGAAAGTCGCGTGTCTATCTCTCTGCGCTGCTCAAGCCTTCGCTCGAGACGTCGACTTGCAGCACTGCACCAGTCGATCCGGAGCATCTGGCCGTCCTGCTCGAGACTGGCCCTCGCGCCAGCGCCCTCTATGAGCTTCTGCCTTCGCCCGCCTCGCCTCTGCTCAGCCTCGCAGCAGCCCACCTGCGCACCCTCAAGTTCTGCGCGGCGCGAGCGACACTCCTGGCGCCCTCTGCGATTGCGCGCGCAGCGGCAGACCAGCGCACGCAGGCGGAGCTCTGTCTGCGTCTGCTGCGCGCGGGAGAGGCCAGGAATCGAGAGTGGAGGACGTTGGCGCGGGAAGTGGGAGAGATGACGCAGGAGGGGGCAACGCTGGAACTGCTCGGTGGCAAAGAGGCGGCAAGGATGTTGCTGGAGGAATGCCTGAAGAGTGCCGGTGCGTGTGCCTCCTTGTGCCCGCTTTGCGCGCTACGGTACCACTTCGCTGACTCTCTCTCTCGCGTCCGTGCACAATCAGATCTGCAAGCTTTCAAATCCCTCCTCTCAGATCCGCACGCCGGCGCACAACTCTCGAGCGAAGAGCTCGAGGCGCTCGTGCTGCGCTGTTCGAACGAGCTCTTCGCGAGCGCCACGTCTGCCAATCTGCATCGCGGAGAGATGCGCGGCGCGTATGACAGGTGAGGTTTGCTCGATTCGATTGAGCGGGCATGGCGAAGGAGTTGGTGCAGTGCTGACGCGCGCGAACACAGTCTTGCAGTGCTACCGTCTTCGCCAGCTCTTCAAGCCGAACGAGCATTCATCGAAGGCGTCTCTCGCCTCTCCTCATACAACATGTCGACGCGCCACGGCACCTCCTCCAGCGCGCAAATCTCTCCTTCTCAAGTCCGATCCTCTTCCGATCGCCTCGACCTCATCGCGCGTCTCCTCTCGCTGAACGACGAGGCGTATCGTACGCCAGCGCAGATCTTGGAACTGGCGCACAAGCTCTGCGCCGTGCCTTCGCCCGGCAAGCAAGTGATCGAGCACTCGCTCATCGAAGCAAGAACACTCTCGTTCATTGCCGGCGCCGCACTTGCAGCCTCTGACTTTGCAGCTGCTCGCAGCGCGTGCGAGCAGCTTGTCGCGCTTGCTTCCTCCCTCGACGCACGCACTGCCGACGCCAGTCTCGGCGCGCCGGCGCGAGAAGAGGCGGGCCAGCGGCTTGCGCAGGTGCAAGAGGCCGCCTGGCAATCCTCGGTGCAGCTGGCGCGGCATCCCGAATGGAGCGAGGCGCGGGCAAAGGCCGACGTCATGGCCAGTGTGCTGGCGCTCTGTCCTCCAGCGCGCCTGGCTGCCTTTCTCAAGCAGTGGCGCGAGCTCGATGCCCTCGCTGCTGCTGCTGCTGCACCTGCGACGCGGCGCACTCGGGATCGGGGCACGGGCGCTTCAAGCACGACGGCAAGAGGCAGTTCGACTGCGGCGGCTTCGTACTCGCATCGTGCCAGTGCAGTCGCCGCCGCCGCGGCCTCTGCCGCCTCTCCCTTCTCCTCGCTCTTCAGCGCCACGCTGCGCCGCGCCTCGCCCTCTTCCTCCTCTTCCTCCTCGAGCGTGCTGGTGGGCGCCGGAGGCGCGACGCAGCCGAAGCCGACTGCACCAGCGGGCGGCTTCGGACGCGCCGCGCAGCTGTTCGACCGGCTGGGCGAGTACGGCGCCGGCGCGGCCGAGGCGCAGGGCCTGCACAGCGTCTATGACCCGGCGGAGAGGGCGGCGCGCGCGGCGCGCAGCTTTCTGGGCGGCCTGGCTGGCTCGGGTGCCGCCGCTGCCGCGCGCGAGGGCGAGAAAGACGGAGCAACGGCGGCGCAGACGACGTTTTCGCTCAGCAGAGGCGTGGGCTGGCTGATGGGCGAGGAGGAACGACGGTGATGGACGGACGGGGCAATGGCTATACATCAAGAGTACTGCTCTGTGTGAAGCTGAGAGATGTATGGAGAAAGAGAGAGAGAGAGGTCGAGAGGGAGAGCTGCGTGTCTCTGTGCATCCGACTGTTGCGTCGCTCGCGTGCCCCCAGTAGGGGAGGCTGGCAAGTGGGCGCAGGCCGTCGGGCGACATGGCGCCGCTTGCGCCATGCCCTCTACACATCGTACGCGTGACAGCACTCCTCATGGCCTCCCTCGCTCCCTTAAGGGCCAGCTCTCCCCCGCGCAGCAGCAGTGAGTGAGAGTGTGTGATTGGCTCGCGACGTCAGAGGAAAGAGAGAACATGCTGGGACACGAGAGCGCGGGAGCCACGATCAGGACGGCGAGAGGACGAAATAGAGGGGGCTTGGCGCACGCCGCCGGCGCTTCCTTCTAACGAAGAAGAGGAGAGGCACGCGCGTCGGTATCCCGGGAAGCGGTAAGAGCGATGCAGAGAGGGTGTGGAAGACGGGGCTAGCCGTCAGTCAAGGCGGAGTGGGCTCGCCATAGTAGAGCAAAGAGCGCACGGCAGCTCATGCAGCAGCCGTCTTTGGTTGGCCCGTCGATCTGCACAAAGTACGCAGCGCATCAGCATCGCGCACTGAGCCGCAATTCGTGGGGGGGCATGGCTTGGGACTCACTCGATGATCTGCAGCACGTACTGCTTCTCATCGACAAACTGCTCGTCGTCCTTGTCGTTGTGGAAGTTGGTGAGGAACTGCACCAGGCGCTCGCGGTTGCGCCGCAGGATGTTCTCGATCACCGGCGGCTTCTTCGGGTTGGCGACGAAAACCTGGCGTAGCCAAGGGGGGAGCAAGAGGGGGGTCAGTTCTCTGCTTGCACCTGCTGCCCACGGAAGCCTCGCTGGGGCCGCACCTTGAACACGTGGAACGCCTCAAACTGGATGTTCTTGCTCTTGTCCTTGAGCAGGTTCATCATGTCCTTGAGATTCTCCTCGCTCGAAATGTAGCGCGTCATGACGTTGAAGTTTGTGCGGTCGAGCAGAATCTCGCCGAGCAGCTTGAGCGACTGCCGCTTCGTCACGTAATTGGGCGAGTGCAGCAGGCCTTGGTACATGGCGAAGAACTGGCGCGCAAGGGGGGCGTGTCAGTGGGCTGCAGCGAATGATGCGCCACCTTCACCTCTTCCCCCTGGCCCTCATCCAACCCCCTTCCTCTGGCCCTCGTCCAACCGCCCCTTCCCCCTCGCCCCCGGCCTGCCACTGAACACGCCCGCTCACCTTGTCGTAGTTCTTCTCCAGATACTCGGCGACCATCGGCTTGTGCTTCGTCAACGTCTCCTGCGCACGTCGCCACAACGAGAGAGCACATCAGCTTGGTGCCGCCTCCCCCTGCACCGGCGCGCGGCGAAAGAAGAAGGAGAAGGGGCCCCACGCACCTTGAAGTTGGCAAATGCATCGCACGACACGCCAAACGTCGTCTTTTCAATGTGATCTGGGAACGTATAGAAGCTGGGTGCAGCAGTCGGGGGGGGGGGGGGGGGGGCGTTGGTCAACCTCGAGACGCAAGCCACAAGGCCGTCGTTGCGTGTCGGCCACCAACTCACCGATCGGAGTACAGCAAGGCCTTTGCCAGCACTTCGTGCCGCAGCATCTCGCGCAGAATCATGCCCGTGTTGAGCGCCACATCTGGGTTTTCGTACCTGCCGACACGAACGCGACAGACACACTCGGGTCAGTCTACTTGGCCTCCTCAGACTCCAGGTCAGGGGGAACCCACCCCTTGAGCGCAGTGAAGAGCACCTCCGGCTTGGTGGCGAGGTACTCCACCGTCGGCCAGCGCGCGCCAATCTGGCGACGCAGGAGATTGTTGAAGATCTGCGAGACGTCCTTCTTTGCCTGCGTTTCGTCAGTCCAGTGCCAAGGAGCTGATGCGTCAGTCACGCGCACGCGAAAGGGGGGTTGCTCAAGGGCGACGCACCTCAAACTCAAAGCGCCAGATGTTGGCGACGAGCAGCTGCAGGACGTCATTGTTGTACACCTCTTGCGCCAGCTGTGCCACCTGTTCGGGCTGCGGCTCTGCCTCTGCGTGGCGTGAAGGCCACGATGAAGGGGGTGGAGGGGGGGGCGTTAGAGTCATTGCTTCCACTGACGCGTGTTGGCGACGCCGAGCTTGCAGAGAGGCGCAAGAGGAGCGAGGGGGAGAAAGTGAGCACAAGACACTCACCGCCATCGCCATACAGAATGGCCTTCATCTGGAAGAGCATCTTCGACACTTCCTCGCCTGCCTGCAGGAGAGAGAGATAGAGGGAGAACACAAGACGAGCAGGCGTCAGTTTTGCGACGCCTCTCAGCCGCCCTCGATTGACAGTGGCCCAGCTCAATGCTCTGGCGTCTCCTCGCCAAATCAGGCCTGGACGTGCTTGCATCCAATCTGGCGTGAGCCTGCAGCATCGCTGCGACGCAGTTGTGCCCGCTTCCATCTTCGCCCTCTACTCCCATCGTCTCGCGCAAGCCCAGAATGCCAAAACCCCACTCACCTTTCTCCGTCCCTCGGCGCTGCCCGCATTGCCGCTCGCGCCGCCCGCAGCCTCCAGGCGCGCGACGGCGTCGCGCACGTTGCGGACGAGCTCGCCGGGCGTGCGCTGCTTCGACTTGAAGATGAAGTTCATGCTGCTGCTGCTGCTGCTGCTGCTGCTGCTGTTCGAGGCAGACGAGGACGGAGAGGACGACGAAGAAGCGGCGCTCGTCAGAGCGGAAGCGAGGCAAGTGGCGGCCGCTGCCTGGGCTGCCGACGCCGTTCGGGGGTGAGAGGCGCCGCGCCTTGCGCTGCAAGAGCTCGAAGTTGAGGCGGGGCTGAGGAGGCAGCAATGAGAACACAGCAATGGCTGAGCTGGAGATGCGGCCGAGAGAAGCGCTGCTGCGGCGGAACAGGAGGCGAGGCAGGACATGGGGCAAGGGTGGTGTGTGTGTGTGTGAGCAAAGAGGAACAAGGAGAGGCAGAGAGAGGCACAAGCCGGGCTGCCGCCGCGTTCATGTAGGCTCCGCTTCTCAAGACGGCAAGGCAGGGCGCAGACCGCAACGCGCAGCAGCGATGAAGGCCACAGCGCACTGACCCCCCAAAGACCCATCTGACCTCCTCTCATCCTCGCAGCGCATCTCGCGCCTCATCTTCTGAGGCGAGGTCTTTATCGCACTTTCTATGCGATTGAGACACGAGGCAGGCAGATGCGCATGACGTCGCTGGCACTTCGCAGCTCGCGAGTGGAGGTGCCCCGGGGGGCTTAGACTCACCTTCGAGGCTGCCGTTGCACTACTTCGACGCGCAAGCGTTGCTGCAAGCAGATGCTCAGGCGAGCGCTGAGGTGGGCCAGCGCAGCTTGCCCGCTCGGGGGTCGCCCAAGCAAGGCGCGTGGCGATGAGAGACGCCGCGCGCAAGAGGGGGGGGG